GTTCTTTGTATGTTAGTGGTTTACCAATGTTTTTGCTACCGAGCTCAAGCAGTTATGTAGTTCTGGTAATAACTGCGGTTAGGTAGTTTCGGAAGGGAATATTCCCTCCAACCAATTTAACTTTGGTAAGAAGGTTAAATACATTGACCTAGCACTGAGTAACAGGAATCTTTTATTTAGGACTGATACCAAATATCGGTCGGTCAGTCAATTTAGGGGAGGTAGCGTTTCACAGCAGCACGACAACTAAGCACAAACTAAATGAAAGCTCCTATGTTCCAACATGTCTTCTGCTGCTGATAACTCTAATTCATTCTATTAACTGTTTGGAGACTTGAGTAAATAAAAATTTTCCTTTAAATCCATTTTCATATATTCAGTAGGCCTGTCATCATGAAATTTTAGTCAACTCTTGTCATGTAAATAATAGCAATTAACAGTATAATTGTAAGTGAGTAGTAAGTAAGTAAAGTTTATTTATATAGCGCTTTTTACAACAGGTGTTGTCACAAAGCAGCTTTACAAGGAAATGAGCATTACAAAAAGAAATCCAGGTCCAAGCCCCCATGAGCAAGCCCCCCCCATGTCTTTTCTTTTTCATTGTAGGCAGCTATTGAAGTACAAGGCTAAAGTAACTAGATTAGCTGATTAACTATCTTGTTTCCTAGCAATGTTTACATGGTAGCAAATACTGGTTGTGCTTCAAATGATAGACTACATCATTGGCGACAGTGACCAGGATCATGTGTAGAGTCGAGCAAAGCTACTTTTTTTGGACAGTGAATATAAGCAAAAAAAATGCTCATTCTGCTTGCACACATTCTATAACTATTAGAATTAGATACATAGCTAACAAATAAACCCTCATCCTGCCCTTTAAATTTTCTTTCAACGTATTCAGTATACTTCTGATTCACCAACAATTCCAGCTGAGAAATAAACAAATTCATGGATAAACGGATCAATATTTCTGATGTTTTTTCAAAAACTCTGGTTTTCTGCCACAGTCCAAATACATGCTGTCAGGCCAATTGGACATGCTAAATTGCCTGTGTGTGTGTGTGTATGTGTGTGTGAATGAATATGTCTGTGTGTCTGCCCTGTGATGGACTGGTGACCTGTCCGGAGTCCATCTTCTTGACTAGAAATCAAGTCACATCTACGCAGTGCATCTTCTTCAGGAGAACACGCACACACGGCTGTGTGTTTAAATCAGCCAGTTTAATCATGTCCCTGTCAAGTTAGACTTGCTCAAACCTGCTACCACAGAGTTGCACATTTAAACATATGCGAATGTTTAGTCTTGGCTGTCTGAAGTGGTTTAAAAAATCTGATTAAAAAAATAGTTGCTTAACATTAATTAGTTTCTGCTCTCTTTCTCCCTCACTCCAAAATATACACAGACACATATACTGCACTAATAATAAGAACGTTGTTTGCCTGTACACTGAGATATGGTACGGAGAACTCCTTCAGTGTTATCAGTTACTGCAAACAGGTGTGGAGGTGTCTGTGTGGAGATATGTGGTGTCTATAACTGCCAGCGTTGTCTTGGGAAATGCCCACATCTGTTAACTCCCTGTTTGGATGCATGTGTTCTGATAGGCATCGCATTTTTTAAAAATTGTCATGGTAAAGTCCTGTTAAATTGCACAGGAAGGAGCCGTGCTCACAGGAAGAGGCTGTTTGTCTGGGAAAGGCAAGCTGCACCAGTCCTAGATTATTACTAGAAAGTGTTTTAAGAAAAACTACTGTGTTTTTGAAAGCGCTGCACAAGTACGGCTGGCCATTTTGACAGATTGAGATTGCTGCAAATGACAAACTGTAGTGTTTAACAAACCGTACAGCACTGAGCTTGAGTGGCTGCAGCGATCAGAAACATTAAAGTGCTGGCCAGTAACAAAAACATTCTGGTGTTTGTTACTGGTGAACTCTATGAACTCTTATTGGTCAGAATTCAGTAGAAATAGCATTCATTGTTTACTGATGGGTGACACTTCATTAGCATCGTCTGTAATTCATTAGTGTGTTCTTTAGCTCTGTGGACAGTTTATCATTAGAAATACTTAAATTATGACGCGAACAGACCTTTTAAGTTGCATATATTTATTCAAGGAGCATTTTTGTGAGACTTGGCAGTCTTTTGCAGACCCAATAAGAATAGATCAGGGCTGTCATCTCATAGTAGCTGTACACTAAAGGATTATCTTGCTAATCCACCATTACTAATCTTGCCATGAAAACTTTTTTTCCTGGGTGCTCACTGTGATCGTGTTCACTGCACATGCTCAGACGAGTCTGAGAGAGGCAGTGGGATGGGGGTAGGGGCCTGGAGTGAGAGAACAGACATGAAGCTGCCTGACCAAATATGGCTATGCAGGCATATCTCTCTCTTGCACGCTCAGGCTCTCTCGCTTTCTCTGTCTCTCTCTCTCTCTCTCTCTCTCCTCCTTTTCCTGTGTCTGTGTTGACTCGAGCTAAGTGGAATGTTGGCTAGTCCATGTTGGTGTTACCTCCAAAAAAAATTCCCTATTAGAGGCGCATCAACAAAGTCCTGGAGAGGAGGATTCAGTGGATACATATTTTATCCACTACAGTTGCTAGCCACAGTTAACTGACAGCTGCAGTTCATGTTTGTCTAATTAGAGTGGGAACAACTAGAGTCCTCCTGATACACTGTCATCACAGTGAAGCACAACACAATTCTTTTGCAATTTTTAAAGATTTATGCTAAATTTGTTAAATTACATACTGTAGTTTATGGCTTTTGACTCCAAATGATGCCTGTTCTTTTATTAAATAATAAAAGATCAATATTTGAGCCTCTGCATATCAATACTATTCTATTTCATTCTACTATCTCATCCAAAATATTGCTATACTGTATTATGTCGACCCCTACTGTCAAACCATTCAGACATGATTCACAGTTTTAGGGCAGTGCCTCACGAGTGTATCAGAGGTCTAAAACAGTATTGGACACAGGGTGGTGGTTGAGGGTTCTGGAAACTGAAAACTGGAAGAGAAAACTCTGGTCTTTTTCTGTATTAGAATGTTTTGTGTCTCTGGAGACACATCCTCTGCATGCTCACTGTGAGAAACAGGAAATGAACTCATCACATTTGTGTTCTATAGATTTTTTTTTTCACCCGCACACACACACTCACACACCCACAGACATACATCAGTGCAACTCTTCAGAGCTGTCTGACGTCGTTAATTGCTTGGGATATTTTTCCTAGCAGATATTTAGTGTTTAAACAGTGTGTTCAGTAAACATGGTTTCAGTAACTAGGAATTAGGGCTGCATTGCAAATTCTTATGTTCGATATACATTGTGATATGTTACAGGAATTTTCACCAGATGACTTGAATTGCGCTATTTGGAAAGAATTAATCATTCTAGAATGAGTGGAGTAATTTTATAGGGGATATTTTATATTCATGCACATAAAACTAATTATTGAAAAAGCTGATAAACGACTTGTTACTCTGAAAACTTTCAGTATGAATCATCCTTTCTTGAACTTTAGTGCTGTACAATTGTTTTCAACACACCAAATACAAAAGCAGGTGAGCGCTGTTTACTCTTCCCTGTGTATCCAAGAACCCTTAAATTGGGTAGATTAGATCAGGTAGACTTCTTTTTGTAGTCATGGAAATTGAGAACCATGCGAGCAGCAAAGCAGCAAAGTTGTAGCATGACGCATTTGATATTTGTTATTTGTTGTAAAGTCCCTAGATAGGACTGTTACCATTTGATTATATTAGTGATCAAGTGATCTACTGATTATTGTGGTGAATAATCAAATAATCGGCCAAACAGTAAAAAGGACATAACTGAACGACACTAAAACAAAGATTTTCAAAAATTCCAAAGTACTTTACATTAAAAAGATAAACTGGGGTGTCTTTAAAATTACTTTATGGATTTTAAATGCAGCTATATGGAAAGATATGCATATAAATGGGTCATTTAGATTTGATTTCTTATGCTCATTTAGATTTGATTTCTTATGCTTCTTATTAAAGTGGTAATTTAAAATATGCATTATTGTCATGCTGATTCATCAAGAAGAAAAATTTTTTAAATACAATTTGTTTTTTTTTATTATTATTGTTGTAAACGTGGATTGTGAAGTTTGGCATTTAACTTATTTAGCATTAACATATGTAATGGAAAAGTCAGTAAACAAACTCTTAAATCAAATGGAAGATAATCCATCCACAAAGTGATTATACTGTTTTATATAAAAAAAAGTGATTTAGCCTAATGCAAAGTGGAAGATAAAATTTTTTTTAGCAATGTGCACAAAGACAAGCAAATGCTGGATTTCATATTGGAGATTATTTGAACCTTGAGGCTCTAAATTGGCCCAGTCCTTCATATTTTATCTTCAGTTTGTTCATTTTAGTAATAATTGTCAAACTGGCCTCCCCCGGTCTGTGATCACCAAGGTAGCTGTACATGTTTTAATGGATTCTTAATTGATTCAATTCTAATGGGAATTTGAACAGTAGCACTGTTTATTAATCATATGAAGGATCAGAGGTGTTTACTTGACTGTGATCAACACTGCACACTCTTCCAGCCTGCCTTAGAATGGTTCTACAGGCTAGATGCTGGGTGTAAAGGGGGGAAAGAAATAGGATGATTTTTTCTGTGGCACTACAGGTCCTATTTTGTCTGTTCCAACTTATTAAATCTCAGAAGAATTTATTATTGTGATACATATCATGTATCGTGGTATAATATCTTTTGATATGTTGCTAGGTGTAATCATGAGGGGTGCTTCTAAAGAGATGGATCTCTGTTTAGCTTGTGATATGTAGCTTCAGCTGCGTGATAGTTTAAGATTTGTTTATTTTTATTTATTAATTATTTTGTTTTTCATTTGAGAGATTCGTAGGATTGAGCTTCGTGAAGGGTTTTTGATTTATGTTGTGGTGGTAAATGCTCTTTTAATGAGTTCGTGTTTATTTGTTTTTTTTCTTTTCAGATGGAGGTGAAGGTGATGTTGATAGCAGCTCTGCTGGGGCTTTTCTCCCTGTGCACAGCTCAGCTAGGTAAGATTATTTGTTACACATGCACACAAACAGTTGATCTAGGTACAGTCATCTATTTTTTACATGTAAACACAGAGCTTGGCTAGTTAGGAGATGTATATGCATGCATACATACAGTCAGCTTAGTAAGGTAAAATTCACTTGTCTTTAATAGAAGAAACTTGCTTCCATTCTTTCATATACTTGGGAGTAGAGATGTAAGTGATTAACCAGTGCTATCGGTTAATTTATTTAATTTCCAATAACCAACTGTTTCTATTTGGATAGGCAGGTTTGTCGTTTAAGCTGAAGAATGTTTTTGAATTGTATGCAAGAGGACCCAACACAATTTTTTTCCGCTAGATTGGCCTGCTGAAAAATGAAGTGTGCAGCTAAAAATAGTGTTCAGGACCACTTTTCAAGAGGATGATAGCACAAATACAACAGTGTACCTAATCGCAAGAAAACACCTGCAAGAGATAAAACAGGCAACGGTTTTGTCAGTGTTTTTTGACAGCAAGTGTGATCCATGCTGGTGTGATGAAGTCACACATGGGTGTGGAACGTTTTAGAGAAGGATGTGGTGGACCACAATAGCTTTTGTGAACTACTGAGGTACATTGAGCTTAAGCCAGCCTTGGTCATGCTGTTTATACAGTTTCAGGACGTTAACTTCATATACACGTTTATGCCTGGCCCTACCGATCAGTACTGCATTCCAAAGTACATCTTGCCGCATTAATACTGAATTCAAGTGACGTGTACGTATATCAGACAGTGATTTCGAATGTGATTGATTCAGTTCATCCATCCAGTTGCTAATGACAGTTGGTTAGTGCTCAAAGAATTTGCTAAAATTTGCATCCCTACTTTGGAGGATTTCTTTTCTCTAAATAATACTTTATCTTAAGCTGAAGATGCTCACATCCTTCAGTTGTCTTATTGGACACTGATTAAGTTTAATGCTAGGTTAATCTTCAGGATTATTTAGGACTTTCAACAAGAAATCACCATTGATGATGCAATTTCAGCACATAAACCTTTTATCAAAGTCTTGGAACTTTCATTCACGTAGTCCTCTAGACTCAAACATCTAGGCCAACAATACTTTTTACATGGATTTGAGAGAATTGCCATTGTGTGTTTTAGTTTAGGTCATTGCTTCATAATTATAGAAGAAGGCAGACCATAGTTGTCTCCTTCGTGCTTTAACCTGTAAAGTCACAGAGGCACGTCTTTCTTTTAGAGAACAGAAAGAAGTTTACTTGAATTAAATTATGTCTCATGGCAAACCATACTTATTTAATAATGTGCAAAGCCCACTATTCAACAAAGCATCTACATTCCAAGAAATCTTCTAATTTAGGATGAGAAACCTACAAGATGTAATTATATGACAAATGGCTACCCTGTTCTTTTAATAAGGTGATGTGGTTTATGGGAATACATTAATTGGTAAGTGTATGTTGATCGTAATTGTTTTTGTGTGTTTGTGTGTGTGTGTGTGTGCGTGCCCCTCTCTCTCTCTCTCTCTCTCTCTCTCTCTCTCTCTCTCTCTCTCTCTCTCTCTCTCTCTCTCTCTCTCTCTCTCTGTCTGTAGATGGTAATGATTGCACTAAAGCTTCAGCTCAGTCCTGTGGGGAGTGTATTCAGGTTGGAGAAAAGTGTGGCTGGTGCACCTCTGAAGTAAGTAACTCCAAAAACAGAAACAAATTGTTTTTATCGACTTTAGAGAGGAACAGTGATCTCTGTTTGTCTTGCTCGGTATGTGTTTGTGCAGTTTGAGAGTCCTTGTCTGTCAGGGGAAAATGTTTCCTGTGGCTAAATGGTTTGTTTATCTCTAGGACTGTAATAAGGACAGAGAATATTTTGAAAATTCAGATACCACAATGTTTGTAGCACTGTAACGGTTAAATTGGCCAATATAATTTAATATGGTCAAACATTAAACAGACTCCAGTGCTTTTAGTTAAACAGTCGTTATTTTTATGAGTGACATAAGATTAAAGTTCATTAATAATATAAATATTTGCGCATGAGGGGCGGAGCTTCCCAGAAGTCTCTTCTTTTACCTCCATAGAGTTTTTTTATTTTTAAAACAGTTCCAAGTTTCTTTTTTTCTGTCTTCCAAAAAGGCCTTCAGACATATGGATGAAATTTCACAACTAGTTTAATGACTAGTAACTCAACTTAGATAAGGTTTCCAGAGTGTCTTCACACAAAGATAATTTGTAAAATTATCTTTGTGCGAGAGTTAGCATTGGTGTGAATGCTTTTGCTGATAGTTAAGGTTACCTGAATGTCATAATATTTAATTTAATGTGATGAACTGTTTTATGTAACTCAGGCCACTGGGTGGTGCTGTTGTGTTCTTGAAATGTGCTCCTACTACCGCTGCTACTGAAATTATGATGTTCTTCTCTTTCCTTGTTTTTGTGAGACTGCTGAAACACTCAGGCTTTGCTGTACATCTTATAAACAAATTCAGAAAGAACTCGGACCTTAAATGGTGTCAGAACTCTGTGTTCTCTTTAGTGCCCAGTGTTCCATATGAGTCATGTTCTCGAATTCAATGAGGGCTTTAGTAACAGTGAGTCAGCTTCCTGTCAGGCCCAGTTTACTAGTGCCATATGAACAGAATGCTGGTCAAACAGTCTTGGTTTGATGAAGGAAAACTAAAAATATTTTAATAGTATGTTAACAGAGCAGTAATAGTAGGTTATCAGTGCAATTATCAATTTGTCACATTCTGTTTTTATTTTATCTTATTATTTAAAGTTCAGTGAGATCAAAATTTTAAGGCAGCTGAATAAACTTTTTTTTTAACACGCTTTAAAGATTTAATTCTTAGACCACTTATGTGTCACATGTCTGTCTATATATATATATATATATATATATATATATATATATATATATATATATAAAGTAACTAGAGGGACAACAGTGGACCCTCTTCAAGCTGCCTTCAGTATTCAAATATTAGTCCACCTTGTACCTTACAGTTGTGCTAGATATTCTGATTTGTGTTAATATTCTGTAGTCAGGTATTCAAGTACACTATTGTTGGTCAGCTTGCTGAGTAATCCAACAAAAAAGTACTGCTAACAAATGCTTTTACTGAAACATTACTGTACTGTGCTATTGTATAGGACTTTGTCTGTATGGGGTTTGAATACGCTGTGGCTCTGAAAATTTGGTAGTCCAGTCACGGAAGTAGCCCATTTAACAAATAAAAATACTTAAACATAGTTCATGCTGACCTCTCTTTCTTAAATTAACAACTTTGTTTATTTAAGAAAATTCTCATTGATAACATTTTTGAATTGTTAACTGACCAATTGTTGCAAACACTAAACACATGTTCTGTTGTATTTTGTAAATAGCGAATGCCACCAAAGGTTATAAAAGATCTAAAATACTGGCTTCAGGTGTTTTTTCTGTTTGTGTCCTGAAAATAGAAAGTTGCCTGTTTTTTACAAAAAAAATAAAAATAAAAATTAGTGTCTAAATTTAAAGTGGACCCATAATAAGGTGTTAATAAGGTATAAATAAAATGTAACCTGGTGGTGTAAAGGAACAGGTGTATTAAGGCATACGTGTGTACTACCAGGATCAGTGTAAACAAACGCTCAAATGCCCCAGTCACACTCTGCTTTTATCTGTCCTTCTCAAAAGTTTGTTTTCCTCCTCTAACCTGCCACATTACTGAAATCACATAATCACATTACTGAAAATGAAGAACAAAGGTCTTATCATAAAATATTAAGTTTGAGTTGTGAAAACGTGCCTGAAAGGATCGTTGTAATAAGGCAATGTCTGTCACAATTTTGCTTTGAAACATCCTAAATGTTGCATACATCTGTATCTGCAGGACTTTCTAAAGCAGGGGGAATCCAAGTCAACACGCTGTGATGAGGTTGAGGCTCTGATTAAGAAAGGCTGTGGTAATGGGAGCATTGAAAACCCTCGAGGGAAGGTCACCATCAACCAGAACAAACCTGTCACAAACCGTGAGAAAGACACGCCACAGACGCCGGACCAGATCACTCAGATTCAGCCTCAGAAGCTTACACTCAACCTAAGAGCAGGTGCCTACCTCAACACACCCGAATTACAATCAGAAGGCTATACTTTTGTAAACAGAAGTGTAATTAAAATAAGAAATTATTAAAATTCATAAAATACTAAAATTCTAAAATTGGTAATAATTAATTTATTAATAGCCATGAAAGCTGAGTGAAGTTATCCTTTAGCTTTAGGATGTGACAGTGGCTTATTCTCAACTTTAGCCTCAAACTGATTTTGTTTCAGGTGAGCCTCAGAAGTTTTCTCTGAAGTTCAAGAGGGCAGAAGATTATCCCATTGATCTTTACTACTTGATGGACTTGAGCTACTCCATGAAAGATGATTTGGAGAATGTGAAGAACTTGGGAACAGACCTGATGAAAGAGATGCAGAGCATCACGTCAGACTTCAGGATTGGTAGGAAAGCTTGAAGCAATCCAAATGTAATAGAACATCATGGAAGCTGTGCCAAGTTGACAAATAAGGTGTATCGTCAGTGTTGTACTTGTCAGAGTCGATACATCTTGAGTGTAATGTACATGACCAGTTAGTGCTGTTTTGTTCCATACATAAATTGCCAGTGTTAGTAATCTTACAGTTGTTATCCATGTTTATGTTAGTTAAAACAAACTTAAATATTTGTCTTTTAATGCAGGCTTTGGCTCCTTTGTGGAGAAGACTGTGATGCCCTATATCAGTACAACCCCAGCCAAGCTGCTGAACCCCTGCACTTCAGATCAGAACTGCACCAGCCCCTTCAGCTATAAGAACGTGCTAAAACTGACTAAAAATGGCGCAGAATTTAACCGACTCGTCAGTAAACAGCAGATCTCTGGAAACTTGGACTCTCCTGAGGGAGGATTTGATGCCATCATGCAAGTTGCTGTCTGTGGGGTAAGTTTGATGAGGTGTTTTAAAATAGTGTTATTTTATATGTTTCAGTGTGAGGTTCACACTGAATTAGAGCAATGTTTAAATTGAGAAGTTGTAGCCCGTTTTTCCCCCAAGTACCTTGTACCTAGCCAATTCAAGCTGTAAAAAATTAGATGAATGAATTAGAATTTATTGCTAAGGATATGAATTGGGTAATCTTTTAAACACAAGCCATCAGTTGTTTAAAGAATCCTGTATGCTTCATACAGCTGTATAATGATAACACCATATACTACTTTCTTATTTGCTGCAGTCTGATCAACTACAGCATCAACTGATTAAGGCTAACCCGACAGTGTAGCTGCAAAAGCAATTTCTTTTGTTTTTAAAAATATTAAAATTTGGAAAAAGAAATTGATAAGGACTTTCTAGCCATTTGTCTTTTCCATTTCATAGTAATGTGTACATTATGCCATTTCCAAATATCGTCATGTGCAATTGAACTACAGTGCAGCAGCAAACAGATGTACAAACAGATCATTCTTTCACCTGCGCTTATAATGTGTGCCCATTTTACAATGTACAATGATATGTGTAGGCCATCTCTGAGTTCTGTTGTCTTTGTTTGGGCTGTTTTTAGGAACAAATTGGCTGGAGGAATGTCACTCGCCTGCTGGTGTTCTCCACAGACGCTGGCTTCCACTTCGCTGGAGATGGTAAACTGGGTGGAATTGTGCTTCCTAATGATGGAAAATGCCACCTGAAGGACAATATGTACACAATGAGCCATTACTATGTAAGTTTGCTACAGTCCAGTGCCTAGGGGTCTACAAATATTCTGTCTCACACACAGAGGTGGTACTGAACGTATTCCTTCTTTGTAGGACTACCCTTCCATCGCCCACCTTGTGCAGAAATTGAGTGATAATAACATTCAGACCATCTTTGCTGTCACCGAAGAGTTCCAGTCTGTCTATAAGGTAATCACTTAGTAATTTATGCTGGCGGTTCATATTACGCTAACTGAGTGATGAAATGCCTGGAGAAGACACAGCAAACTGTTCAAAATATTTTTTGAAACAGTTAATTTCTTCATTTTTAGGAACTCAAGAATCTGATTCCAAAGTCCGCTGTCGGAACATTGTCTTCAAACTCCAGCAATGTGATAAAGCTTATTATTGACGCCTACAATGTGAGTACATACTAATATTTATTTTCCACCCATTCACTTTTGCTGCTCATCTTAGAACATATTCTGGCCTACCAATACCAATACTTGGTATAATTCCTAGTGCGCTTGTTACTTTTTAACAATTAAAGGCACAGTAAGCAATTCTGGAAAAGGATTTTTGATATTTGAACTCAACAGCAAAACAAATACAACCCCCCTTCAGTGCTCCTTCAGAAGCTTCACCCCCCCATCAAGTCATGGACACGCATTGCTATGGCGAATGGCACTAGACATTTGTTGTTGTTTTGTTTGTTAGTTTGTTTGTTTGTTGTTTTATTTATTTATTCATCTGTCTATCTATCTATCTATTAGATCCCTTCACAAACGTTGTATGAACGGTTACCATGATGAAACATTTTTCGAACGATGACATAGCAAGTAATTTTAACTAGGCTGAGAGTTGGCACTGTCACTACAGTTGCTGCTGTGAAGCTAACCAGTTAGGATTAGCCATCACAAACATTAACCAAAGGGACAAAACAATACTGACCTATTGATTCTGAAACAGTCAAAATAAGTTAATGGCCCACCTGTCAAGCAGAAACAGAGCAGCCTTGTTGTCCCTTTTTATGTCTTTCAGCTCTCAATTCTGAAGTTGCTTCTTTGTTGCCGGTTTCTTGTTGGAATTTTCTCATTCCACTTTATTGGTGCAGCAGTTACATTCTGGCGTCTCAACAGTGGAGAGTAGACAGGGCTGAAGTTAGCTTGCTGTTCGCCAGCTGAGGCACCCGAATGTAACTTCTGCACCATTTAAGGTGGACTGGGAAAATTCGAAAAAGAAGCCCCGTCAGCTTTCTGAGGATCTCTTCACTGTTCAGGTGCCTCACCAATGTTGTGGTTCGGTCTGAACCACTTTGTTTCACATGTACAGAGTCAGGAATATATGCGAACACTGGATGTTTTTTTTCAGTGTGCACACCGAACAGACAGCTAGTGAACCGTGAGGAGATATTTGCTGAATTTAACAAAAATGTTTTGGATTAAAATCCCTTACAGCACGTATAATTACTCACTGTCAGATCTTTGAATTCTTTATCGCCATAGATTTCTTAAGGTAGATGTAATTGCGCTGTTTGATGTTGAATGTTGAGTTTTCTTTAATGGTTTAAAAAACTCTGCTTCAGTCTCTGTCATCTGAGGTGATCCTGGAGAACAGCAAGCTGCCTGAGGGAGTGTCCATTTCATATGTGTCCTTCTGCAAGAATGGAGTGAGCGAAACGGGAGACAATGGAAGAAAGTGCTCAAATATCTCCATCGGGGATGAGGTGAGAACAAATGATATGAGAAGGAAGAATCTTGACAAACAGGTTAAAGACAATGAGTCCTGCCTTCTCTGACAAGGCGAGACTGTGTTGGAGATGTCTTGTCATGTGGCAATGTTCCTGTTGTAGGTGTCTTTTGATGTAGCCATCACTGCTAAGGGCTGTCCATCTCAAGGTAAATCGGAGACAATAAAGATCAAGCCACTGGGGTTCAACGAGGAAGTGGTGATTGTCCTCAGCTTCATCTGTGAGTGTGAATGTCACAACAAAGGAGTCCCCAACAGTGAAAAATGTCACTTCGGAAACGGAACTTTTGAGTGTGGAGCGTGCAGGTAGGAGATTGCCCTGAAATATACACCTGAGTATACCTGAGTTTTGAATTGTGGATGATGCCTTCATATTTTTTCCTCAGGTGCAATGAGGGGCGTATTGGCAGAGTTTGTGAATGCAGCAAAGACGATGTAAGAACGGAGGATTTGGATGCAAACTGCCGCATGGACAACGGGACAGACATTTGCAGTAACAATGGAGACTGTATCTGTGGAACATGTGAATGCAAAAAGAGAGACAACCCAGAGGAGAGGTACGAGGGGAAGTTCTGTGAGTGTGACAACTTCAACTGTGACCGATCCAACAATAAACTCTGTGGAGGTGAGGCTGCACATTTTAACATCCTTTCTTTTAATATCCATTATCATTAAATTTGTTAGAATGGATATCTCTGTCAATCAGGCAATAGTAGACAGTGTTTGACACTTAACATGTGGATGGCAAATATCACCCCTGACATAACCAGAATTCTGGACATAAGCAGGATATTTTAAATGAATCTTTATTGATAAAAGCCTCTAGTATATTGTCACTGTATTCTGAAGTCCAGTCAAAGACAAAGAAGAACAAAAATATTTTTACCTTGTTGGTTTAATTAAAATTGTATTGTTAGTCCAGTTTAGTTCATGTCCAAGTGCTAGCTAGTGTTTAACAGCTAGGAAATTAACTAATATCCCACTCTCACTCAAGTCATGCATTAACAATGTTACAAAAGAAAAAGTTATATCCCTTTATATCATGTATTTTTGTGCCTGGAAGCCTCAGACTTAATTAAAAATGAACTTATAAATAGAAGATTATCGATTTGATACCCTTTCTGCATCAGCAGATATGTTTGTGAAAAATACTGGATATCTACAGTAGCCCACGGTTCCAGTAGGTGAAAAGCTAATATATTCTGTTTTGTGTCTGTAACAGGTCATGGTCAGTGTGTGTGCAGGGTGTGTGTCTGTGACGCCAACTACACAGGCAGTGCATGTGATTGTTCTCTGGACACGCAGCCCTGTGTGGCCAGTAATGGACAGATCTGTAATGGCCGTGGTACCTGCGAATGTGGAGTGTGTAAATGCACTGACCAAAAGTTCCAGGGCCCCACCTGTGAGATCTGCCCCACCTGCCCAGGAGTCTGCACTGAGCACAAGTGAGTCCAGACCAGAGCAGCTTACAGGGAGCTCAGGCACTATATACATTTTTGTTTGGGTTGTAATCCAGCTGTTGAGCATCACAGACTTTTTTAATGCGATGTTATTCTTGACTGCTTACTAGGGGTGGGAATCACTAGGCACCTCACGATTCGATTACGATTCAGAGGGCTGCGATACGATTATAAAACAATTATCGATGCATCTTGATGCATCTTTTTTTTTTTTCTATACAGGATTTCTTTTTTCTCACTGTGTGAGGACTTGGTACTTTTAAAGCAAAGTATTTGTAATGATCCATAATTTACTTCCAATACCTTTTATTAATAAAACAAATGGAAGTGATGTGGCAAGTGAACTGGAAGGCTCTCATTCACTGGTCTTGTTTGGAGCACATGAGACACTGGCTGCCACTCATCTGTGATAAAATGCGCTGTTACGGTGAGATCTAGTAGCAATGGGTGTCCACGCAGCACATGTTACAGTTGTTCTACCTGTTTTCTATTTTTTTTTTTTACTATTATTTTGAAACTTTGGTCTTGTTGTAGAGAGTAAAATATCTTTGAGACTGGACGCTGTATCTTGGCTCAAAAAGTGTGCAACATAGCGCAAAAGCCCTGGTTCTCAACGACTGAGAACTGCCGTGCAGACTACAGGTCACATAGCAACACAGTCTCGCCTAGCTAGTAGCTAACGAAAAGGCAAAGAGAGAGATTTAAGACGAACATTTGGAGACGAATGGACTTATCCGCATTTATAGGCAGCGCAGTTGGTTTCCTGGAATGTTAAACCTGCAATGAGAGACTGTCAAACACTAGTAAGTTGCGAGGCTGAAGTCAGCTTCTCTTTCGAATTCTACCGTTCCACCTTAAATGGTGCCGCATTTACATTCTGGCACCTCAGGCAGAATTTAATGTGGAACAGGGAAATTCAAACAAGAAGCTGAAGAATAAGAAGCGACTTCAGTCTCGTAAAACAGACGAATGTTGAGAGACATTTTACAAGAAACTGATCTACTTTTGAGGAAAAATTTTCTGGCGGAGATGGGAGGAAAGCGGCTATAGCTAAAGCTTAAAGCAGAGTAAAGTAAGTCTGTGTTTTTGTTTATATTTTTTAACCTATACTAGGACATTATCACATACTGAGACATACAGGACACAAAATGTTGTGGCTCCCAGGGTGGTTTGATTTTTGTTGAAAGGACAAAATGGCTCTTCTTAACATTTGGGTTGTCGACTCCTGACCTAACCTAGCTTTTAATGCAGAGGGTGCCGGTCGGATTTCTCACTCATCCAGTTGTGTTTTTGTTATGTGCCGCCACAGACTGCCCGGGCGCTGCACTTCCTCACTTCCAAGTTCCGTCTTTTGCGTTCCGTGAACATTACATTATCAATTAAAATTTAGAAAATCGATTTTTGACGCCTTATGCATCTAAGAATCGATTTTTTCCCCCCACCCCTACTGCTTACTGTACAATATGTCAGGTGCTACATTACATGCTCACTTGCACTAAGTATGCTTAATGTTAATCTGTTCTCTGTACAGAGCCTGTGTCCAATGCCGTGCATTTCAGACTGGAGAGCTTAAAGACACTTGTCAAGAAAAATGCAGCTATTTCAGTCTGACCATGGTGGATAAGAAGGAGGATCTTCCACAGCCAAACAGCCAGCCCTACCTCACTCACTGCAAAGAGCGTGATGCCAATGACTGCTGGTTTTTCTTTACGTACTCCACCAGGAATGACACAGTTCAAGTCTATGTGGTCAAGGATCCAGGTAAGTGGGCAGAATTTGTAATGGTTTGAATGCTCGAGTTTGGTAAAGAGCTTCTTGTCTTGTACTAATGGATGTTCTGAAAGTGTACGATGAAAAATGTCAAAACTTGTTTCCTGATGCTTTCCTTTCTTTATATGTTCCCAGAGTGCCCAGCTGGTCCTGACATCATCCCCATTGTAGCAGGCTTAGTTGCTGGCATTGTTCTGATTGGTTTGGCCCTGCTTCTGATCTGGAAGCTGCTTATGATTATCCATGACCGCAGAGAGTTTGCAAAGTTTGAGAAAGAGAAGATGAATGCCAAGTGGGATGCGGTATGTGTGTGTATATATATATATATATATTTTATAAATTCAAATTAGCATTCCTAATGTGAAAACGTTTAACAATGGTTCTTCTGACCCTAGTCAAAGACTACTAGAAATTTTGTGACTGAGGATCCAGCACCACTTGCTGTTAGTGAAGTAGCATTGGAATTGCCTCAGTTTGGTGCTGTGGCATCACCAGTTATCACTGAAGCAAACGAGATCTAATCCTAATGTTTTTTCTGTACCACAGGAAACCCCCCCACCCCCCCACCCCCACCCCAATGCATCTTGAAGTAGGACTGGGCGGTATATCGACTTTTTTACAGTTTATCGATATATTTTCAAATGAGATATAGGATGGGACAGTACCGCTTATATCGATGTAGTTTGATGTTGCCGTGTTTGCATCTCTCTTCTCTCATGCTCTCCACTCAAACCCCGTCCCCACTCTCCCACTGTGCCCAAACTCAGCCCCACTCACTCCCAAGCTCTCCTGTAACATGGAGGGAGACACCGCTCCAGTCACTGCCGATAAATACCTGGTTTGTTTAAAAAAAAAAAATACAGTGGTTTGATTATTTGGAGATGGTTCAGGTTTAAAAGATCAGATGAGCAGGAGAACCAAGTCATGCATAGACAGTGCCTTAAACAGGTAGCATCCAGAGGTGGAAGAACTTCAAATCTCTTACCTTTTACAACAGTGCCATAAACTGCAGTACAAAAGGGTGTGTTAAGCTTCATGCTGATGCAGCAACCCCAGCTGCAGAGCCTTCACAGCCTTCTTCCCCAAAACAATGCATATTGCAAGTTTCATTTCTCATAGTGTGGTCTGTTACATCACTAAAGATATGGTCCCTGTTGCAAAAGTGGAACAAGAAGGCTTTAAAAAGCTGTTAAACATAATATTTGCACAGCTGTGTATGTTTATAAGCAGGGGAGGAAAACCTGCAATTGTTGTTGAAAACAACTGAAGAAGCATTCTGAGAGATGGGTCTATTTTTATTTAATATAGACTGTTTATTTATATCTTGTGCGACTGTACATTTCCAAACACGGAAGGAAACCCTGGGGTGGATATTTTTCCCCCGTTAGCTTGCTAATGCAGAAGAAAGCCCAATGGCTGATGTTACTGCTAGGCGGTTAAATATCCACCTAAACAGTTACAAGTTTGGTTGGTTTGACCAAGTGCCATAAAGTCTTCCATTCTGATGGAGCGGACGGGAAAATAGCGAACGTTTGTGGCAAACTTCTCTATGAACAGTTAAATTTGAATGATTTTGTGTAAACATTTAATTTCAGCAGTAAGCCTGAAGGCCAGAACTACCTCCTGAAACTGTTTCCGAATTTGAACGCACCGGTGGCCTAGACATTTAGACAACGATGCAATGTTTACAACTGTAAGCGTTATCTGGAACGTGAACAGGGTCTCTTTTAACTTCTCTTTTTCAGCTCCATTAATGAATCCAGAGAACATGCATTTACTGTCTGTGCTTCTTTTCACTGCAGTTATTTGCTCAACATTCCCTTTTCCAAATTTCTTTTCCTTTTTTCTGTTCTTCATCTGTTCTTCATTCTGTCATCTCTTCTTCTTCTCTCCTTCAGCAAGAGAACCCCATTTACAAGAGCCCCATAAATAAGTTCCAGAATCCAAGTTATGGACGCAAAGGCGGGGCGCTCTAAGCCAGAGTCTGTACCCTCCTGCTCAAACCAGGCTGTCTGACGTTCTGTCTGCATGCTCTTCTCTGTCTGCTGTCTCTATATACGTGTCTGACCTGTTCACTCTAACCACTAACACAGATGCTCTTTTGAGCGCTAGAGTACTGAGGTGCTTGGGCTTTGAGGCAGATGGAGAGAGAGAAAGTAATTTTAAAAATGGTTTGCGCTTGAAATTTAATGCACTTTGTGCCATTGACTTATTTGCTTGAGTGTTTTTAAATAACTTGTCATGAATTAAACCCTGTTAAAGTACTTTTTGCTTTTATGGCATAATTTTTGTACAGAATGCAAAGGAAAGTTTCAGAGGTATTGTTCTGTTGAGTGTGATTTTGGCCCTGTTCACATTAGCATTAAAATGCATCTTGGGTAATCCAGTCACAGTGGACAGTTAGGTACTGGTGTGAATGGGGTCCAGTGCATCTTGGAGATGCACTCTGATCCATCAGACATAGGGATGCATAACATTTGAATGCTAAAGCATCCCAATGCATCCTAGACAGCAATAAAGAGCCACCTAATCAAAGAGATGCAGCTGCATTGCATAGCATCTTTCTTCATCTCCTCTCCTCTTTGTTTCTAAGGGGCATTATCAGTTTGCTGATAGTAGTCTAAGTGTTTGTTACAGCCTGTACATTTACGCAAATGAGGACTCAAACGCAGCACAAGACTGACTTAGTGAATGTGCGGAAATGCCAGGTTTAAACGGTTATACATCTCACTGTCCACTTAGATGTGATTAATTGAGAAAGATGCTGATACCAAGTGTGAACAAGGCCTTAGGTAGTTGAAACACATTGGTTAATTTCAGAGAACAGTTGGCTAGTTGGTCAGCCTGATATCAGAATCATCTAGAAACATTGTGTGAGCACAAAAACACAATGGCCTGTATCTCCTAACAGCGAGTGTGCTCCACTAGTGCTGGTCTTGTGCAATTCTGTGTGCATCACACTGCAGCCCACTTCTCTCTATAGTAGTGCGAGACTATGTTGCTTAAGAAATACCACATGTTCTGAGAGTAAGTTGGGTTGCAGTGAAAAGAGTGGCAGTGGTTTCGTTGCCCTGCTTTTTGTGTCATGTGGTGAACAAGTGCTGTCTGAAATACATCCTTTAAAATGATGTAAACTGATCATAAAGATTTCTGTCACATTAGCATGAAGCACCAGCTTATGTCCAAAAGGCCATTTTGTCTGTTTAAAACTTGTTTATTGTATTAAAGTTGGAAAAAATTGGCCCGACAATATAGTGGGGCACAAAAAAACGCCATGTATTTGTGAAGGGAAAGTTCCACCAAATAATGCTACAGTTGCCGTAAAAATAGTACCTTTAGTTAAACTGTTCCTTTAATCAAACATATTGTAACAAGTATTAACCTCTTTATACTCAACAAGATGTATGTAGTGTTGTTGCTGTGTGATCGAGTGTACAGTCTGTTCCTGCCCACAAGCTACTTGTCCAGCTATGCATATATTTCTGCTTTTTCATTTTCAAAACTCCTATGCATTCAGTGAAGAGAAACAAGCACTCAGACACTTTGTTTTTGTTATTTAATACACTTCCAATACATATATCCACTTCACATTTACACACGCAACCTGACTTTGTGCTTATAAATATGAAAATGAAAGTATGTATTCATACGCATATACAAACATATGTTTAAAAAAATGAAATTGGTTGGAAAAAAAAAGGGCTCAGACACCACAAATATAAATGTTGGCAGTTACATCACTTCAGCGCATCTACCGTAAGAAGTAGTTCGCTTTTTGCAGAATTGTGGTTTCATTTTGGCAAGTTCCTCCTGGCAAACCACCTTTGGTTCCCTGAGATTACATTGGTCCCTCTGATGGACTCTGGAAATGGAAGCCTTTGAAAATAAATTTGTAATCCTTGCATAATTTTAAAAAGGTTACTCCAGAACCAGGACTGCGAAATTAACCAGGCTATGCAAGCCTAGATTGACTAGCACCTTCACTTTCTTTTATAGAAAACCAGTCTTTAGTTACTTGAACTGTGTGCTTGGGCTTGTTGTCTTGAAATGTCAGACGATTAAGTCCACTTCTAATATGTCTTGGTACATCACTCCATTCGTGTTTCTTTCAATGACATCCAATGCCCCAGTACCCAGGTCTTTGCTAGGGCTCTGTAGCTTTTCCCTGAGTATTTTAGGATGCTCCTTCAGCTTCACCATGCTTGCTTGGTGTGTGAAAGCTTATCAATGACAATGTCATTGGTTGACACCAGGCACAATTTGCACAAGAACTAATTAATATCATAAACTTGTGTTTATATGTAGTTATTTAAAATAGTGTCTGAATAGTCAGTTTTGTTGTTTAAATTTTGTTTATTCCTCTGAGGACGTGTAAATGTAGCCTGTGCTGTACTGTATCTTCCCTTTTTAAGTCCCCCCACAGCATTGTCTAACCAGGGTGAGCCCACAGTGTGGTGTGAAGTGGTCTGATCTAATCTAATCATCCTTTGCCATTCTTTGCCATGCCAGTCTTGTTCTGATTCAGTGTTTTTCCCCATTTCCAGGGTGAGAATCCCATCTACAAGAGCGCTGTGACCACAGTGGTGAATCCTAAATACGAGGGGAAGTGAAGGACAAACCGTCCGTCTCAAACACTGTATGCAAATGAATTCAGGAGCAATGGAGGAGGAGGTTCATTTTCAGTTTTCTTGTTTTTTTTTGTTTTTGTTTTTATGTTCATTTTTTAAAACACTTTGTTAGCTGTGCATTTCCCACAACTTGCATTATGTTTTATCTAATCTGTATTTCTATGCATTCTGTACAGTGTGTATAAACTTGAGTTTTTACTTTTAATTGTGGAATTTTCAGAATGTTTTTTTCTTTGTATATCTGTGTGTTGTTGCCTCATGACTGGCTTTGGTAATGCAATGAGTTGTGCCTTTTGAATAAGAGCTATTTTTATGCTTGCACAGTGTTTCTCAGTCCTTGTCCTGATCTGTGTTTTCGTGTATTCTCAGCCCCCACCATACTTCTTGACTCACCTCATCGTCTAATTTGCAATTCTTGCATGAGTTAAAAGAGGTTAAGCAGAGAGACAGTAAAATGTAAAGTGCAGCATTGCTCCAGGACTGTGAAACACTGTGCTAACGGATTTCAAAGCCTATCATGTCGAGTCAGGTTTGTTCAGAGTGTTGGAGAAAGATGGAGTAACCCAGTGATGGGGAGGCTTTAGTGCAAAACACTGGTTTAGGTCTGATCAATGAAAATGCATTGTAATTAACCCTGTAAAGGCCGACAATGACAGTTATTATTGACACTGATTATTTGAGGAGTCGTGTGTTTCACTGGTTTGAGCAAAAGCCTTGATGGTTTGTGATCGGCGCTCTCCATCACTGGTGTAGCATGTAGCATGTAGCGGGCCACTGGGTGGAGAGTGCATGGTGCTGTTTTCTTTCTGGACGTGATGTTTCCATTCCCTAAGAACCCCAGCCAGCTTTGTTCCAGTGAAATTGCCTAAGGCAGGAATGTTAGGAGCTGGAATAGAATAAAAAAGTGGGGACCTTAAGCTTTGATTAGAAACCACTGCTCTGGAGAACAGAGAACAATGTTGTGTACAGCCTGCCACTGATACGCAGGCTGTGGTGGTTTGATGTTCGGTTTGTATGTTCAGGAAGACTACAACTGTCAGCTTTCTGTGGATGTGCTTTTTGAGATGCACTCTTCCTTTTTTTTCAGTCGCTTTATATATTTATATTTTAAAAATACATTAAGTAAATCTAAAAGGACGTTGCATTGCCAATCATTACGTTAAAATTCATTGTTTAAGTGCAAGGGCTCTAGTTTAACAGTCCGAAAGAACCAAATCCTTCATTGCATTGACAGTGTGCCTAACAGCTCATTACAGATCTGCAACCCTCACAGCTGTTGCAGAGCAGACTAGAGCCTGTGAGCATCTCAGGGCCATAAACCACAGTGACAGATGTTTGTTTTCAGTGTTTTCAGAAAGATGTGATTCCCGATTAAGAACTGAACAATCAAAAGGAAAGCATTGTATAATCTAAGGAGAACGCAAATGTACAGTACTGATGGGTATGATAACTCGAGCCTTTTTCAAGGCTTTGTTTTCGAAATATTGAGGATAAAACTCAGGTTCTTAGTTCCTCTCAACCACAAAAAAGCCAAATATTTACTGCCTTCTGACTTTGAGCAGCCTTATTTTGATTGTCATGTCTGTTACCCACCAGAAGTGGACTTAATTTGCTTACTTTGTATTGAACTGTTCTTGTTTTTTCCTGTTGTCTGAAATCTAACCTCCTCAGTCCTGAAAGGGGGTTAGAAGAGGCACAGACAGACTGTTATGACGCTGTCGTTAAAGATCAGTGTTAATGAGAAGGACCTCTGAACTTGCTGTTTTTCAAATGCTGTTAAACCTTTAAAGCCACACGCCTCACAGACTGCGTTTTTTTTTTTTTAAGTGCCTTTTTATTTCTGCATCCTGCTCACTCTCACAATCCTTTGTTTCAAAAGTTATTTATTAAAATAAAGAACCAAAATGATGGACTCGTCTTTTCTTTTTGTGACTGTAATGTTTGATAATGTGGATATCTGATCCTTTGGTATTCACTGATTATGAAAAAAGAAAGAAAAAATATTCATACAATTTCCTAAAATGGAATGTTCAACATTCTGCCCTTTAGCAGAAAAACAGGTCAGTCTCCCACATCTAGAGAATTACTTTGTCCACTCTCCCTGATTCCTGATGTAACTCCCTGATCCTTGGTCTTCTCCCGTGTACAGTGTACCTGCAGTTCCCACCCTTACAGTGATTTGCATCTTGGCTTTCATGTTTGAGTTTCTCATTGTTGTCATACTCTGATTGATACCAGCCAATTTCCACATCTGTGGAATGTCACTGAGGAGCTCGATACGCTTGGAAGAGTGCACTAAGCAAAGGTGGTTGTGTTGTTAGCTGTTAGTGCTACTATTAGTAATAAAAGTTAACTAGATTTGTGTTTTCTGAAGAAAATACAGTGTAAGGAACAAAAATATTTTAAAATAATAATTCTATGGAATGAGTCACAGAATTTAAATGTTATAAAATGAAAAGAAGTGAAGTGGGAAAAGAAAGGAAAGATGGAAAAAATAGATGAAGAAAATGAAGAAAACAAGGAAGGATGGAAGAAAAAGAATGGATAAAATACAGAACATCTGAGTGAAAAAATAAAGTGAAAATTAAATGAGAGTCCTAAATACTAAAAAAATACATGCTTTAAATTCATAGAGGACTGAAAAACAAGGAATGAAGAAAATGAGAAAAATAAAGGAGTGCTGAGGTATGATGACAAGTGAGGAGTAATATGAAAAGAATAATAGGGATAACAATTCAGTTCTCGCCTTGTATGTTATTAATGTATGTTAATGTCTGTATGCATTTTTAATGTTTTATAATTAAGATTAAAGTTTGTTAAAAATTCCAGGCTTACTACACACCGATCAGGCATAACATTATGAACACCTCCTTGTTTCTACACTCATTGTCCATTTTATCAGCTCCATATAGGTGCACTTTGTAGTCATACAGTTACAGACTGTAGTCCATCTGTTTCTCTGCATACTTTGTTAGCCCCCTTTTACCCTGTTCTTCAGTGGTCAGGACTCCCATGGACCCTCACAGAGCAGGTACTATTTGGGTGGTGGATCATTCTCAGATCATTCTGGTGGTGTGTTAGTGTGTGTTGTGCTGGTATGAGTGGATCAGACACAGCAGTGCTGCTGGAGTTTTTAAACACTGTGTCCACTCACTGTCCACTCTATTAGACACTCCTACCTTGTCAGTCCACCTTGTAGATGTAAAGTCAGAGACGATAGCTCATCTGCTGCTGCACAGTTTGTGTTGGTCATTCTCTAGTCCTTCATCAGTGGTCACAGGACGCTGCCCACAAGATGCTGATGGCTGGATATTTTTGGTTGGTGGACTATTCTCAGTCCAGCAGTGACACTGAGGTAGTGGTGGTGTGTTAATGTGTGTTGTGCTGGTCTGAGTGGATCAGACACAGCAGTGCTGCTGGAGTTTTTTAACACCTCAGTGTGACTGCTGGACTGAGAATAGTCCACCAACCAAAAATATCCAGCCAACATTGTCCTGTGGGCAGCATCCTGTGACCACTGATGAAGGACTAGAGGATGACCAACACAAACTGTGCAGCAGCAGATGAGCTATCGTCTCTGACTTTACATCTACAAGGTGGACTGACAAGGTTGGAGTGTCTAATAGAGTGGACAGTTGAGTGGTCACAGTGTTTAAAAACTCCAGCAGCACTGCTGTGTCTGATCCACTCATACCAGCACAACACACACTAACACACCACCAGAATGATCTGAGAATGATCCACCACCCAAATAGTACCTGCTCTGTGAGGGTCCATGGGGGTCCTGACCACTGAAGAACAGGGTAAAAGGGGGCTAACAAAGTATGCAGAGAAACAGATGGACTACAGTCTGTTACTGCAGAACTACAAAGTGCACCTATATAGTAAGTGAAGCTGATAAAATGGACAAGGAGTGTAGAAACAAGGAGGTGGTCATAATGTTATGTACTAAGGCTTATTATTCAGTAACTACAGGGACATCAGTGCAAACAAATCAGAAACATTATGTGAGTATTGACTATTTACAATATACATCTAAAAAATGATGATAATAATAATCTTGGCTGCTAATGCAGTGTTTTTGTACGCTCCAATAAAAAGATTGCTAAAAACTTTAGGCTTCCAAAATGGCCAATATTAACACATAGCAGGTTTTCTTGGTAATATTTTACAAATGGTATCCATCCACACACACACACACACACACACACACACACACACACACACACATATATATATATATATATATACACACAAACCCAGTTTTTTATAACATCTTGTGGGCATTAATTTCAGAATGTGTGTATATTAACAAAAAACAATGAATTTGATAACATATAACACAATAATACATATCTTGTCTTCATACTGCTTTTGTTTTAATACAGGTTAAAACATGTATAAATCACTGCTTTCTGGTTTTATTCACACTTTTACCTCTATGCTAACTAATGAGCTGTAAAAATATTACAAAAATTAAAAAATATTACTTATCCTTTTCGATCTTTCATTCAAAATATTAGCAATAATCTAACCTTCATTTGAGGTATAATGATTAAAAGAAAAAAATAAATCTTATCATAAAAAAATATATATACTTTTCGTAAATCTATGTGTGGCACAGTTATCAACATCCCTAAAAATTCTTTGGAGTGAAATCTAACTGACCTACATTCCCATTCCCAAGCTCACCAGTGTGATTAGGAACACTTAAATGGTCAGCCATGACTTCCTGATTCACTGGGAAATTTATATGAGGTGACACACAGGTCAAATTCCTTCACTCATCCATCACTATAAGAAAAACCAGAGAATACAGCAATGTAGCTATGACAAAGCTGCACAAATCAGGAAATGGCTTGAAAAAGTTGAAAATGCCCATTTCCGCTATCAGGGCAATATTCCAAAAGTTTAAAACAACTGGAGATGTTAAAAATCTGCCAGGAAGAGGACACATGTTTCTACTATGTTTCTACTGACCCCACACAGTGAGGAGGATGTTTCAAGCAGACAGGGAATCTCCAAGAATCACAGATGGGGAATTGCAGACATTATTTAGGTCTTGGGGTCAGAACATCTTTCAAACTACAATCAAACACTACCTATGTAACCACAAGTCGTTTGGTGGGGTTTGCCAGATTTACCAGAAGCCTCTGCTGTTAAGGGACAAAAATCTCAGGCTCCTACAGTTTGCCAGACTTCATTGGAACTTACAATGGGACTGTGTTCTGTGGTTAGATGAGACCAAAATAGAGGTTTTAGGCAACAAACAGCAGAGGTGAGTTTGGCATGGACACAAAGATAGTCATGCAGAAAAGTACCTCATCCCCACTGTGAAGTATGGTGGTGGATCTGTAATGTTGTGGGGCTGTTTTTCTTCCAAAGGCCCTGGAAAACATATTCATATACATGGTATCACAGACTCTTCCTGTGTGAAGAGAAAAAAATCTAAACCTCACTGACTCAGCCAGGAAGTTTAAACTGGGCCATACTTTAGATCTTCCAGCACAGCAGTGATCTAAAGCACACATCAAAATCAACAAGAAAATGGTTCACTGACCACAGAATGAAGGTTTTGTCAAGGTCCACCTAAACCCCATAGAAATCCTGTGGGATGAGCTGAAGAGGAGAGTCCACAGTGTGGACCTCAGAATCTGAAGAATCTGGAGAGGTTCTGTATGGAGGAGTGGTCTCAGATCATTTGCCATGTGTTCTACAGTCTCAATAAGCACTACAGGAGAATCCTCATATATACATATATACATATATATATATATATATATATATCACCGATCAGGCATAACATTATGACCACCTCCTTGTTTCCTTGCTCATTGTCCATTTTATCAGCTCCACTTACCATATAGGTGCTATTTATCACTTTGTAGTTCTACAATTACAAACTGTAGTCCATCTCTGCATACATGGTTAACCCCCTTCTACCCTGTTCTTCAGTTATGGACCCTCACAGAGCAGGTACTATTATTTATATATATATATATATATATATATATATATATATATATATATATATATATATAGATAGATAGATAGATAGATAGATAGATAAAGATATAGATATATAGATAGATAGATATAGATACAGATGCATACACATACAGAGAGAGAGAAACCATCTGGGAAAGTGGGGGGAACAAACTATACACAGCTGGAAACTAGGGGTGGTCTACACAGGAGGAACCAAGACAGAGCGAAGCCAGGAACAGGGCATTGTGACATCACTTGAGATTAGGGGCTACAAAAATAACCAAACAATAAAAATAAAAAAGTCATCAACTACGATGAAGTAACAGTATGTGTCTTTAAAAGTAATGTTAATATATTAAGTAACGATCAACTCTAAATACCCCCTTAGGTCATGATTAGGTAATTATAAAGTAATGCTATCATTTCAACAATAGACACACAAAAAACCCTCGTGTGATTGCAGAGGCCTTTGTTTGATATCACATCTCTCTGAACAGGAAGAGAAATCCATCACATCAGCATGACGTTTTTGGTTCAGAAAAGGTGGATGTTTTGTGTGTGTGTGTTTTTTTTTGTTTTTTGTTTTTCTTTGCACAAAACAGAAGATCAGGTACTATATTCTTTCTTCACTGCTCACTGTCTTGTTCTGTCAGTTCTCTCATGCATTCTCAGGGCCTGTGCCAGGAAATGCCTGAAGGTCTTTTGATATTAACTCTTGGTTCTTGGTGAAATGTTCCTGCATGTTGTATGGGCTGATGTTGCTGCGTCAGTGAGCTTGTTTTGATGCCCATTATCTGAAATCTCAGTCGCTCAGATTGTGACATTTACCATGACTTTATATCACTGGACTTGACGCATGACTTGACAGTTGAACTTTATATATGTCCAATGCAACAGAATAATACAGCAAAATGTAAAGAGAAAGCTCTGAGTGATGAAATGTTATTTATGTAAGAATTTGTTCCTTCATTTGTTTTTTTAAATAAACTTTCGTGTAAAGTGAATTGCCATAGTTATAATTGTCTGTGTACATTTTACATTCTTCATGCAGACTCAAAGCCACTTTTCTATTAACTTTAGGTCCAGGTGTGTTGAAACTGATCTACATATCACCACTGTCTAAATTTTGCTGTTATATTTCTATAATAGAAACTTTACAGGAACAGCCAAGTTACCTCTTATTATAAGGTAATATAACAAGAATCTATTTAAATGTGAGGGCAGCTTGTTTTATGATCAGTTATGAATCTGATCGTTGACCAGATGGTTTAATGCCAGGTAGATTAACTCTTTAAACTGCAAGGGACTATTTGTGGGTCCACACTTCAATTAACTCTCATTACATAACTTATATATCAGCTTCACAGAAGTTACTGAATCATTTACAGTAGTTACTGAACCATTTATAATAATTACTGAATCATTTACAGTAATTACTTGAAACATTTACAATAGTTAATGAATCATTTATAGTAATTACCAAATCATTTATTGTAGAGAACTTTGTATAATAGTTACTGAATTACTTAGAATATTCAATCATATATATCACACATAAAATCATGTATAGTAAATACTGAATCATTTATAGTTGTGGCTGCACCAAATACAATAGTTAATGAATCACTTACATCAGTTATTCAATCATTTGTAGTACATATCATATACATACATAATCATATATAGTAATTACAGAATCATTTTAGAAGTGATGGAATCATGTACAGCAGTGACTGAACCATATATAATAGTTACTGAATCATTCATATTAGTTGCTGAATCACTTACAATAGTTATTAAATCACATATAGTACATATTGAAACATGTATAGTAATTACTTGAATCATTTACAGTAATTACTGGATAGTTTATAGTTGTTACTAAATCATTTGTAGTAGTTACTGAATCACTAACAGTAATTATGCAATCACATATAGTACATATTGAATCATGTATAGTAGATACTGAATCATTTATAGTTGTGACTGCACCATTTACAATAGTTAATGAATCACATCAGTTAGTGAATCATTTGCAGTACATATTGAATCATGTATTGTATTTACTAAATCATTTATAGTAGTGATAGAATCATTTACAGCAGTGACTGTGTCAGAAAAATTCAGTATTATACTCTATGTTAATGCTTGAATCACCATATATGGTTATGCTTAAGCTTAGAACTCTGTAGGCAGAAGAATTCAGACAGAGTGCACTGCGTACACTCTGGGGTCAGATGAAGGGCTCTCCTATCAATAAGAAGTGGAAACAACCGTACATAGAAAGGAGAACTTAACCTTTGGGTAGACTCGAAGAAAAGAGATGTATCGGAAAATAGATAAACCAAAAGTTAAAGAATAGTTCAGCGGAGTAAGAGTAAAACGTACATTTCCAAAGGTATAAGACAGGGCATGACCCAAAGCACTTTGAGCATTACATTCTAGACTTGACTCTGTGTGTAACTGCTCCCTTGCTGCAAGAATAAAAGCCTCAAAGACATCGGTGGTCTCAGGCTGATTATTTAAAGAAGATTTTTCTAACAGGCTGAACCATATATAATAGTTACTGAATCATTCATATTAGTTGCTGAATCACTTACAATAGTTTTTGAATCATATATAGTACATATTGAGGCATATGTAGTAGTTACTAAATCACTTGCAATAGTAATTGAATCATATATTGTACATATTGAATCATGTGTAGTAAATACTGAAATATATATGAAAGGTGAGGCTGAAGGGAAAATAACTAGCTTAGGGCCTTGGGAAAAAAACACTGCCTTCCAGACACAGTGAATGTGCTGGTTTTTTTACATACCTGACAGCAAAACCACGACAAGTTCAAACCTGGGTGCACCAAGTCAGAGCAGCAGCGCAGTCAGAAGCACAGCATGAAGTCTTAGTGACAAGCCAGAGCACACAGGAAGAATGTAGGTGGGGCCAAAGAGAGAGTGAGAGAAAGAGCTAGAGAAGTAGACTTTGATAGTTGAGTGTTTCATTGTTGTTTTTTCAGTTGTTTAGCGGAGGGTTCAACTAGGATTCTGTCTGAAATGGCTTTCAACTAGTGAACTTCACTTTGGGGAATAAATAATGTGTGAATTTTCTTCAGCTATTTTCTGAAATCAGGTTCCTTAACATTGAGGCTTAGAGAGCACCAGGTGCAAAGGTAAGTCGCTCAGGTACTTTTTGGTTCTTTCTTCAAAAATGGCAAAATTCTGAATAATTGAGCTGCTGCATGTACTACTTCTTAAATCCTGTAGCTCTTTGGTTTTATTAATCTTGTGCTCATGAAAGCCATTTCTTTCTGCTTCTTGAGTAAATCACCCCGTGCTTAAGAGGAGATCAAAATTCTGTGTCACTAATCTCACTGCTGTTTTGACTAGAAAGCCACTGTTAACACACAAGACCTCATTCTAATTCATCTCAAAGGGGAACGGCTCAAGAAGACGCTGTGTCTGAGGGGTGTATTTGTTTATAGCTGTTGAAAATTTAAAAAAGTCAGTTGGTGACGGCTCCTTTTAATCATGGCTTGCTACTCTGAAATCACTTTCAACACAATTCTGATTCTGAAAGGTGGATATCCTGAAATGTGGCCCACCCTGCACTGTGCTTCCTGTCTAGATTTCACTCACTGCCTGGATATCAGAGTTAATGTTTAATCCTTACATTTGCGCCTCGTTAGTCAGAGGAACACCTGCACGTCAGGATGTGTTCACATCAAACGTGTCAAAGCAAGAAAGCTGATAGGTATATAATTCATTTTTGATCTAGCTGATTCTAAGCTGTTGTAGGGTTGCGTGTAATCATAAAGGCCAACTGATGTTGCAAAATGTTGGATCTATTGTGAATCAGTGTTTGCAAAATTGGTTGAATGATCCTTTAAAATCTAACCATAATGCCTGTGATGTGATATTTACTTATATTTCACATTGTTTTTTAATTTCATATTTACCAGCTGTAGTTAATGTTTTGGTGTTATGAGTAAATGCGAGAGTTGCTATAAAAAGTAAATGGTAACATTTCATTTGAAGGCTACACCCTTACGAGAAAGCCATTCTTCAAGGGTTCCTTATTAAAGGTAATACATAGAGCCAGGAAACCTCAGGGAACCATTTGAATGCATAAATGGTTCTTTTCCTGGTTAAATGGTTCTTCTCTGTAATGGAGACCTGTTGTATATAGTCGCTGTCTGAACAAAACCTGGTATTGCCAACATGGTACACTTCTAAAAAAATGGTTCTTCAGTGATTTTTTAATAAAGACAATAAAGAACCATGAACACTCAAAGAACAATTTGCATGCTTAAATGGTTCTTTGCATGATGGTGAAATAGTTCTTCTCTCTAGATGTAGAATGTGTCATAGATGGTTCTGTATAGAAGCTTTTTGAAAATGGTTCTGTATAGCACCAAAAATGATTCTGCTATTGTTACAAGCTTGACATTGTAACAATAGTAGAACCGTTTTCAAAAAGCTTCTGTATAGAACCGTCTATGACACATTCTCCCTCTAGAAAGAAGAGCTATTTCACCACCAGACAAAGAACCATTTAAGCATGCAAATTGTTCTTCGAGTGTTCATGGTTCTTTATAGAAACATTGTCTTACTAAAGAACACTTGAAGAGAGTAACTTTACAGGAGAGAGAAAAACTTAACTTACTCATGATGCAAGTTAATGTAACCAGACTTGTTTCCAAGTAATTTCTGTTGGTCTGTTTGTCATGATGTTTTAACACGTTTTTAAATTTAAGGCTTTTTGCTTGGCGGAGTTCCACTATTCTTACAAGCCAAAGAATCATTTCATATCAGCTACTATATGGTACTATACAGAACCCTTTTTATAAGAGTGTGCCTACATAGGGACTTCATAATCTGTGCATAAGCAAAGAAGAATTGAATAATTATCCAGCAGAACTTGTGTTTATACCCAGCTTATGCCAGTAATCACCATATATGTATGTATATGTATATATTTATATATATATATATATATATATATATATATATATATATATATATATATATATATATATATATATATAAAGACCCTCAATACATTTTAACAATACCATATTAAAAGTGAAAACTGTGATTCATTTGGTCAGTACAGAATAGTTTCCATATTGTGATTGTGCACTCTGTTGTCCTGTTTCTCAGCACTGTGTACTCAAGGAGTGTCAGATACGTTCACTGTTACTCTCTGTCCCACCCCCACTTCCCTTGCTCCTACAGATACACACAATACACCTAGCCACATGCTGGGCTGTGTATAATCTGCCATATCTCATGTCTTATTGTTCCATTCCCAGATGGACATGAAAGTGATGTTGGTTGCAGCTCTTTTGGGACTCTTCTGCTTCACGATAGCTAAACTAGGTAAGATCCTGTACTTCACTACTTGTCAATTCGAGTTCCTACAGAACAGGGGTGTATCTAGGATTTTATGGGCCATGTGCAAAAATAAATAAATAAAACAAAATAAATCCCCCCATACATGACCCTCAGCTAATGACAAATAGACAGTGTCATTTGTTTATTTACTCACTATTGCCATAAAAAGTAGGTGCTGTAATCTAGGCTAGTGGTTGACGTGAAGAAATTGAGTGAAAATCTGTGAAAACCTGCATAAGTGGTGATATGAGTGGGCCCAGTCTTCACGGCACCCCATGCTACAAGCCCCAGCCCCAGATTTCCCGGCCTGCACTGACATTGTTATGCCACTGCTACAGAGAATAGAGCTAAAATGTAGACTGACTGAGGGTCTTGAAGAACTAATAATAAAAACAATAATAATAAGACATTGTATTTATATAGTGCTTTTTGAAGACCCAAAGACGCTTACAATAGTAATACTATACAGAACACAAAAAACAGACAAAGACATAACAAAGTACAAAAGTAGACAACAATACAGAGAGGACGTATTACAGACATAACACATTAAGTCTGTGGTAAGCTGTATTCTAAGAAAAAGAGATGGGCTTTAAGATTTGATTTAAAAGTGGAGAGAGACTTAATATTGTCTGACTCAAAGGGGGAGTTCCAGAGAGAAGGTGCAAATCTTGGGAATGCATGGTCACCAAGACTAGAGATTAGATGAAAGAATGGTTAGTAGGCCAGCTGAGGATGACCTAAGATCTGACAGATAAGAAGAAGCAAAGTTGTTTAGAGGTTTGCACACAAGCAGAATTTGTGTATACAGTAGTGTTGTAGTCGAGACTGTTAGAGATGAGCCAGGGCCAGAGCCAGGTCTTGCACTGATGTTGGACGAGAAGGCCTGGCTCACGATCGATGTTCCAGTTAATTCTAAAGGTGTTCATTGAGGGTGGGGTCAGGGCTCTGTGCAGACCACTGGAGTTCCTCCATACCAAATGTGACAAACCATGTCTTTATGGAGCTCACTTTGTGCACAGGCTCACAGTCATGCTGGAACAGGAAAGGGCCTTCCCCAAACAATTGTCACAAAGTTGGAAGCATATACAGTGACATGCAAAAGTTTGGGCACCCCTGATCGAAATTCTCTTGCTGCGAACAGCTAAGCAAGTAAAAACTGACCTGATTTCCAAAAGGCATAAAGTTAAAGATGACACATCTCTTTAATATTTTAAGCAAGATTACTTTTTTATTTCCATCTTTTACAGTTTAAAAGTAAGAAAAAAGGAAAAGGCCCAAAGCAAAAGTTTAGACACCCTGCATGGTCAGTACTTAGTAATACCCCCTTTGGAAAGTATCACTGCTTGTAAACGCATTTTGTGGCCAGCTAAGAGTCTTTCCGTTCTTGTTTAGTGTATTTTCAGCCATTCTAGCCATTCTCGCTTCTAGTTCTGTGAGGTTCTTGGGCCGTCTTGCTTGCACTGCTTTTTAGGTCTATCCATTAATTTTTGACGATGTTTAGGTCAAGAGACTGTCAGAGCCATGGCAAAACCTACAGCTTTCACCTCTTGATGTAGTGTGTTTAGGATCATTATCCTGTTGTAGAATCCTTCCTCTTTCCATCTTCAGCTTTTTTACAGATGGTGTCATGTTTGCTTCCAGAATTTGCTGGTATTGAATTGAACCCATTCATTCCTCCAGTGAAATGTTCCCCTTAGAAATGGCTGCAACACAAGCCCAAAACATGATTGGTACATCCCCACTCTTAGCAGTTGAAGAGGTGTTCTCTTCATGAAATTCTGCACCCTTTTTTCTCCAAACACACTTTTACTCACTGCAGCCAAAAAGTTTTATTTTAAATTCATCAGCCCACAGAACTTGTTTCCAAAACGCATCCGGCTTGTTTGATGTTCCTTTGCAAATCTCTGACGCTGAACGAGGACGCAGGAAAGGTTTTCTTCTGATGACTCTTCCACGAAGGTCATAACAGTACAGGTGTCGCTGCACAGTAGAACAGTGCACCACCACTTCAGAGCTTGGTAAATCTTCCTGAAGGTATTTTGCAGTCAAACAGGGGTCCTCCTGGAAGGTTTTCTTGGTCTTCTAAGCCTCAACTTAACCTCCACCATTCCTGTTAACTTACGTTAACTTACACAAATTACATTATGAACTGAGGAAACTGTGAAATGCTTTGAGTGAGTGCTAGAGGAGCCCATGGCTGCTGATTGTTGGGACAAGGTTGGAGGAGTCAGAGTATTAATAAAGCTTTGAAATTTGCATCATCTGGCCTTTCCTAACAACGATTGTGAGCAAGACAGAGCACTAACAAGCTAATTAAGGTCTGAGACCTTGGTAAAAGTTTTCTGAGAGCTCAAATCTCTTGGGATCCCCAAACTTGATTAGCAATAGCTCTTTCGAGGACATTAGAAAAGTATGAAAGATCATAGATGGGGCAATAAAATGAGCTGGGTCTTGGCCAGGAACTGCAGCAATCTTACAGACAGAGGGAACCTGGCCAAGAAGGAGCGTTTGATTAACAAGTGAGTTAACGTGGAAATTGCATTCCAATCACCCTTGTAATTCCCTGCAAGTGTACTGCACACAGTATTCAGACATTATGAGGACCCTGTGGAATGGAATGCAGCTTTAGAATCTACAAAGAAGAATCAACATTACTTTAAAGAGGTTTAAATTGAAAAAAAAAATGGCATAGTCATATTTGTACTGTTAATAAGATTGGAACGATTAAGCTTCTCTGTACGTAAAGCATCTCTATCGGCAGATATATGTTGTTTGCAAGCCACAGCATGAGCTGACCACCCTCATAGTGTGTTGTTCAGCAGTATACCAGGAGGAGGAAGTGGTTAAGACAACAGTGTTAGTTCTCATAGGGTCTAATGTATTGAGGGGCTCAAAATGAGATTCATTAAGCATTGTAGCAGACTCTTCAGGCGAAGAAGGAGCAGATTTAGACTAAGTAAGGGTAAGAGAGTTGACAGACTGGCTCTTATGGAAGGAATTAAGGAAATTCTTCTTTGCAGAAAGTGCAAAATTTAAGAAATAGGTAAGCAAGCAAAGACTCATTGTTATGATTATTATGAATTTGATATGATTATTACATGCAAATGTCCAATAAACACTAGGTCACCGATCACTAATTTTTATGACTGATTCTGATTCCAGCTACTTCACACCCAAATTAGTCAAGAGCCAATTTTTTGGGCTGATTTTTATTAGGCAGTATTTTTAAATCAACAGGCAATAGAGGCAATAACATTGTTTGTTTGCTCTTTACCTGAAGCTCACATTTTGCTAGTGTGTTAAATGAACACACTGATATGAAAGACAGTTCTAACAGATGTATGGACATGCATGCACCTCAGATAAAGCATTCAGAGAAGCATACGTTTTCACGGGAAGCATGACATACTTAAATGGTTCTCATAGCCTATAAAATACATCACATGAGCACTTCTAACTTTGTTATAGGGATCAGTTTTAGACTGATTGTGCTGTTGGCAGGTTAGTTCAAGTGTATATGAACTAAACAACAGTAAGCATGGTGGTTTTGGAGTGTGGTTTTCTTTAACAGCTCAGCAGAGAGCTAAGAGGCTAACAGCCTCCTACAACAATATTCAGTTAGACGCTAAGCTGAAAAGGATATTAATATACTTACAACTGTAAAACTGCAAAGTACAAAGTAAGAAAATATTACAAGTACATCTTCAAATCTTCAAATGTCAAAACTGCCATAAGTAAAGTTAAACGCTCTGTGGGAAAATGAATGTAAACCACTGCTGGCTTGCAACATAGAAAGTTCCATAGAGGAAGAAATTAGCATAATGCTAGCACTGGTAATCGGATAAAAAGGGGTATCTATAAGGTAAATTATCTACATTAAATACTGCTATGTAACAAAAAAACGGTTCACAATTATATGGCAGAAGTTCACGATCTTACTGGAATGTCCAATGCTTACTTTTATGGTCATAGAACCATGCTATGGAAGACTGGTGCTTCACACGAAAAACAGTATAAAAGAGCTTGCTAGGCTAGTTAAACACTATTCGTCTTCAGAGTATTCAGATATTTGAATAGCAAAAATTGTTGAGACATCAACCCTAATTTCACATTCTTTTTATTAGCCAAAGTATCAATGGGTAAAAACATGAATGCAGCGTCCCTGTACTTAGCTGACTCACATTCCTGACACAGTAAAAAATGAAATATGGATTGGAAATAAATAAATAAAATGAGCCATTGCCAAACGTGAGGTAGGAATGAAAATTGTCCAGCTGTGGCTAATTTCAATTGTGCACCCCTGTTTAAGACTCATTTCTCATGAATAGAGAGCCATCAAGATCTTTCTATTTCCTGTCATTTTTTGATGTGCGTAATTGATCACACCCTGAAAACTGCTGATTAGTTCTGCATATGAATGTTTCGTGTCATTATGAACGGACCTTCTCATTTCACTCCTCTTCTTCAGATGCTGCGACTGTGGAGGGTAATGAATGCACAAAAGCTGCAGCTCTCTCCTGCAGCGACTGCATTAAGATTGGACAGCAGTGTGGATGGTGTACCCAAAGAGTAAAGTGTTTTTCTTCTTTTGGTTTGTTAGTTCTTCTTGGGGGGGTGCTTGTCTCTTTTGCTTTGGCTTATTGGACTAACCAAGAAATCGTACCTCAAATCCCAACCCAAATGGTTTGTCATGGTTGCTAGTCAGTCATACCTTAGTCTAACAATTGATGTAACAAATCTACTCTGAAATATAAAGAATAGCTTCTAGCGCAACGTAATGTAAATCAAAGTGGGTAAATCAGAGTGTTAATCTGTATATCGCTGTTTATCGGAAGAAAACCTGTTATCTCCAAAATGGTAACTTTACTTTTAATATAAGTAAATGGAGCCAGACTTTTCCAAGTCGTTTTGAACCATTTATTTCGGTCCACTCTTCATGAAATTTACACACGATGTAAAGGACAACAGGCATTTTCACATTATGTCAAAAACTGAAACTTTTCTTCCAACAGCTGCATTATGCTTTTACCTCCTGCATGGATTTACTATCTGCTGTCAAATAAAGAACAGTACTGGTCATTTTGATTGAGAGATATTTGCCATTTTGTGCTTCCTCTGTTGGATTTGAGTCGATCAAGACTATACTGGAAGGCACTGACATCAAGTGATTGCTCTAACCAGTCATAATTAGGGCACATTTTTTGTCAGTGGATTCTTTCCACAGCCCCGCCCCTCACAAGCCAAAATCTCTTTAGCTGTGCCTGACGCACGACTTGTCAGCAAGCTACTCTGTAAATAAAATGCAGCTTTTAAATTTAAAAAAGTACACTGTCAAAATAATACAGCTTTTAAAAAATTGTGACTATGTTAACTTGAATTGTGGAGTTCATTGTACTTCAAATAATAAACCTAAAACTCAAATTGTTCTTCTGTTAACTTAATTTTCTGAGTTTAATGAACTCAAAATTTCACGTTTAGCTGGTTACTTATTTTTTTAAGATAATTTCTTGCAGTGCAGCTTTTAAAATTAAATAAGATAGAAAAAACAGGTTAACTTGAAATTTTAAATGAATTGAACTTAAGCTCACAGAAGAATCATTTGTATTTTGCATTTGTTAACTTGCATTTTGTTATTTTGTTATTTGAATATTTCAAATTCAGTGAACTTTGAAATTTCAGGTCAACCTAGTTACTTCCTTTGAAAAAGTTTTAAAAGTTGAAGCTTCAACATTTTTACAGTGATTTTACAGTGTAAGTAACTAGGACTACCTTGAAATTTTGAAACTTTAAATATTTAAATAACAAAATAATTTCTGTTTTACATTTGTTAACTTACTATTTTAAGTTCAGTGAGCTCAATATTTCAAGTTAATCTGCTTACTTACTTTTTTAAGTTTAAAGCTGCATTTATAACTACTATAACTACAGTTACAGTTACCATTTTAAAAACATCCTGACTGTGGTAAAATGACTATAACACACGACTTGTCTGCGGTCTGCAACTAAAGCAACTAAATTTGCAGACTAGATTTTCAGATTTGATTTTCAAACTAAATGCTGACAAATGCTCACATTGATTGAATGATTTATTGTCTATCACAGCCACCTTGCCACAGTGCTATATTTTAGCATATGCTAAATTTGTGTGTATGATCGGCAGCTTATTGGCAGTTATTCCTGATTGATACATATCTCATAAGTTTGACTTCTGCTAGAAAACAAAAGCTTAAAAAAATTGCTGCTGCCATGAGTTTGTTTACGATTTATTTTCTTTAAATCTGTTTCTGGTTGACGTCTAGTCAAAAATAATCATTGTGATCAAGCTGCCATCCCCTTTAAAGGAAAAATATCAGATTAATATAGGCGTATCACTCATTTCAGTCTATATCAGTATCAGAATGTTTCAACCCACATAAACTAATGGCTGTTTTAATACTTCCTTTTATATATCAAAGTGAACATCATCTAAAAATTTTCTTCAGTACTTATACTGACAAACCGCACCTCAGCTAATGTAGTGACAGTGTACTGTAGTTGTTTGTTATTGTTAAGCGTGGTACGTTTGAGTTCCATCTGAATTTACTGTTTAAGGAGAGACCAGCGCCTACCGTGTTTCTCTAATACATGTTTGACCTCACTGCAGGACTACAGGTCTTCACGATGTGATGAGATTCAGGCTCTGCTTGATAAAGGTTGTCCAAGCATCAGCATGGAAAATCCTCGAGGCACTGTTTCCATCAATGAGAACAAACCTGTAACAAACCGTAAGAAAGACGTGGCGGAGAACTTGACAACAGACCAGATCACACAGATTCAACCTCAGAGGCTCACACTGAAACTGAGAGCAGGTACTCACTTCATCTCAGCACACCTGAACTGGAACAGGATCACAGACCTTCTCCAAGACAACACTTACTGTAATCAAAATAACATACTGTGTACTGTATACTGTGTACTGCATCAGCATACAGTCATATGCAAAGGTGAATACTACGTGTTAATAAAAATGACGTGATTTTCTAAGTTAAAATAAGTTCACAAATCCTGTACAGGGAACAAACTTAAATAAGCCATTTTTCTGCTAATTTTAGTGGACAGTTTCTACTTATTTGCTAAGCTGGAATTTGCTAATATATTGGAAAAAATAAAATATAAAATATAAAAGGTGCCATAATTTTCACACAGGCCATTTTATGTTTTACCCCAAAATGTTAAATCCGGCAAATAAACAGTAATTGTGAATTGTGGAATTCTGCAGACGTGTGTTCTCTGTAGAGCATGTGTTATCTTACTTTCACTTAGAAAATCAACAATAACATGTAATCTTACCAGAGGGCATCCAAACTTTTGCAACTGTATACTGAATTCTGCAGGCTACTCTTCATAGTGGTATACAGTACAGTACTCAGTATGCCACAATTACCATCATGTGCTGTGTATCATACCACAGGGTCACACAACAACCAGATGGTTGTGTCCATGATTGCATTCTCCTGAAATGATTGTGTTGCGTTATCGTGCTGCGGTATATCACAACACACTAGAATATTTAGCCAGTGTATTATGCCATCCAGTGGTTCTGGCATACTGGAGAAACTCACAATGTCAAAACAGCACAAACAAGAGATGTTTAATGTTTTACCTAATCAACTTTATTGAATATATGGAATATAATTCCAAATTTGATGCCTGCAACACATTCCAAATGTTGGGACAGGGCCAATGTAAGACTGGGAAGTTTGTGGAATGATCAGAAACGCCCATCTGGAAACTAGTGAAAAGGTAAATGGGCGATGCTATCATGATTGAATATACAAGGCACATTCACAAAAGGTTAAGTAGCCACTTTGCAAAAAACTGTGTGAGTGAATGGTACAACAGTTTAAGAACATTTCTCAACGAATGATTGCAAGGAATTTAGGGATTTTGCCCTCTACAGTCCATAATATCATTAGATGATTCAAAGAACTTGGAGAAATCTCTGTGCATGAAGAGCAAGGTCAAAAACCAATATTGAATGCCTGTGACCTTTGATCCCTCACACAGCACTGCATAAAAGGCCTATATGCTTCTGTAATGAATATAACCACATGGTCTTGGGAATACTTAGAAAACTCTTGTCAGTAAACACAGCTGCATCGACAAATGTAAGGACTAACTGACTAATTCTTAATGTGTTCTGCTTGGCTCATATAGCTGCGGTACATCAGACAAATACGTTAATAGAGCAAATTATAGATCAGACCTTAAAGTCTATTCTGTAACATACTTGTAGCCAGTGTAATGATTTAATGCTAATGTTAGCTACCAATAGCTATTATAGCCAGATTTGTAAGTCATGAGTTAAAGTCTGCATGAATTAGAAACCGTAGCTTTTCTTCCTTTCATACTGTGATGTACTTTGTATTAGTGGACGGTCTCTAAGCTATCTGAGTGTTTTCACAAAATGATAGGTGAGGGTGGTGAAACATGATATTATGGGTTAATATTACTTTTTCCCACCTGCTGGTGCTCAGTGATGTACTTAATATTAAAAAGATGGACAGATCTTGTTAAAGTTTAATTAAAAGTTACAGGAAAACAAGGATTTTGTTTTTTAAATGATATGATATGAATTAACTAACAGGGTGAAATGGTCATTGATGTCGCGTTGATTTTAACAGTAAATTTAATTTACCCATTTAACATTAATAGATAATTAAGTTAAATTACATTGTTAGATTTATATAAAATAAAAGACAGTCAAGATTAAATGAATACACCATGAATGAACCATATTTATGCAACTAGTTAAGTGTTGCAGTAATGTTCCTAAGTGCCTGCTAGGCTAGTATTGCTAACAGCTATTCAGTGTACCCATTACTTCAGACTAGATTCGCCCACTCTATCAACCCCATAAACAGCAGTGTCTGAGCTGATCCTTCATCCTTGTCTTAAATTTGTCCAATAGGTGAGCCTCAGAAGTTTTCTCTGAAGTTCAAGAGGGCAGAGGATTATCCCATTGACCTCTATTACTTGATGGACCTCAGTGACTCCATGACACAGGATCTGCAGAATGTGAAGAATCTTGGAACCGAACTCGCTCAAAGGATGAAGGGCCTCACCTCAGATCTACGGCTTGGTAAGAACTACAGTTGTCACGATAAACAGTTTTGACACTGATACCAAATTCATGCAACAAATCAGAAATGCAAACCAATAATATGATCATGATCGGATTTAGTCAGTTATCTGATTAATCAAGTGGTCATGCAAACAGCATATGCTAGTTTTTTTGATCGGATTGAGGCCGTTGTCAGATTTGAAGAAATCTGATGAAGAGACCTGGATTTTCGCTCAGTACCTGGAGGTGGGCTGGGCTGACAAAGTATGGATAGAACGAAGGAAGAAGTAGGAGATGGGGTGGAGGTGGGGATCGAGAAAACTTTGTCCCTGTAAATAAAAAGGAGGTAGAGATGGGAATTTATAAGGTGTTAGATTGGAAGGAGGAGGGGTTTCCAGTATGCTCCACCTCACAAAGGTAAGTTACTATTATCAAATGTTTAAAACCAAATAAGGAATGTGTTATATGTCAGTTTTATTGTTTCTTGGAACATTAAGGACCGGAATACAACTCTCAGTCTGTACGTTTGAGATCTGTCTCTGCCCATACAAGTAAAGTTAGCATACAGTTATATGCGAAAGTTTGGGTGATCCTGGTTAAAATTACATTTCGTTAAGTTAAAATAAGTTAGCATATCCTCGACAGAGAACATGCCTCTGTATGTTTTAATACATAATTACTGTAATTTGACCAGGGGAGTTCAAATGTTTGCATGCGACTATAACTAATCAACGTAGTGTCAGCCTTTTTAAACAATAACAAAGCAAAATAAATATATTGTTACCAAGGAATAGTACGTTCATACAGTCAAAAACAGCACACATATGCTTTGATATGTCTCTCTTCTGCAGGGTTTGGTTCGTTTCTGGAGAAGCTAGTGATGCCCTTCGTGATGACCACCCCTACAAAGATGGCGAACCCATGCGCTCCACTCTCCTGCACACGACCGTTCAGCTATAAGAACGTCCTGAGCCTTACCGATAAAGGCCAAAACTTCAGCGAAATAGTCAGCCGCCAGAAAACCTCAGGAAACTTGGATTCCCCGGAAGGAGGGTTTGACGCCATCATGCAGGCTGCTGTCTGTAAAGTGAGTATAAAGTACTGTAAAACGTAATGGCTTCACTGTATTTGTGAGAAACTATTTGTAAGACTTGGAAATGGACATCATGTCATGCTGCATTATGGGATCGTTTCGCTGTATTGGCAGGGTTTGGTCTTTGTTTACATGCTGCAAATACTCACACTGTAAGAGCTTAAAGAAATCGCTGTTTTATTGTTTTTTCAGGCTTTGTCCTGCTTCATATTCAATCAGATGAGATGAGACTGTGTCTTAACCAATTCCAGGGTGATGTCGAACAACTATGCAATGATTAAACTCGCTCCCAAACACACTCCCCCAACAACAAGTGAAGTAGTGATCTGGACATGTTAATGTTACCTCCATTCACAGACTAATATAGCTGGTGTGTGGTTAAAAGTGCCTGTTACTTTAGGTAGGTCAAGCGTTTTATGTCACCCAAAGCGCATGCACAGTTTACAAAAGGTTATTTTCCTCAGTCCCTGCAGATTTAACTTAGTGACTGTCATATTTCACTCAGCCACTACAGATTTAACGCAGTTACTGTCATATTTCACTGAGCCACTGCAGATTTAACTCAGTTACTGTTATATTTCAATAAGCCACTGCAGATTTAACTCAGTTACTGTGATATTTCAATAAGCCACTGCAGATTTAACTCAGTTACTGTCATATTTCACTTAGCCACTGCAGATTTAACTCAGTTACTGTTATATTTCACTGAGCCACTGCAGATTTAACTTGGTCACTGTCATATTTCAATAAGCCACTGCAGATTTAACTCAGTTACTGTCATATTTCAATAAGCCACTGCAGATTTAACTCAGTTACTGTCATATTTCACTCAGCCACTACAGATCTAACTCAGTTACTGTCATATTTTACTCAGTCACTGCAGATTTAACTCAGTTACTGTCATATTTCACTCAGCCACTGCAGATTTAACTCAGTTACTGTCATATTTCACTCAGCCACTGCAGATTTAACTCAGTTACTGTCATATTTTACTCAGTCACTGCAGATTTAACTCAGTTACTGTTATATTTCACTTAGCCACTGCAGATTTAACTCGGTTACTGTCATATTTCAATAAGCCACTGCAGATTTAACTCAGTTACTGTCATTTTTCACTCAGCCACTGCAGATTTAACTCAGTTACTGTCATATTTTACTCAGCCACTACAGATTTAACTCAGTTACTGTCGTATTTCAATAAGCCACTGCAGATTTAACTCAGTTACTGTCATATTTTACTCAGCCACTACAGATTTAACTCAGTTACTGTCGTATTTCAATAAGCCACTGCAGATTTAACTCAGTTACTGTCATATTTTACTCAGCCACTACAGATTTAACTCAGTTACTGTCATATTTCACTCAGCCACTGCAGATTTAACTTGGTTACTGTCATATTTCAATAAGCCACTGCAGATTTAACTCAGTTACTGTCATATTTCAATAAGTCACTGCAGATTTAACTCAGTTACTGTCATATTTTACTCAGTCACTGCAGATTTAACTCAGTTACTGTCATATTTCACTCAGCCACTGCAGATTTAACTCAGTTACTGTCATATTTCAATAAGCCACTGCAGATTTAACTCAGTTACTGTCATATTTCACTCTGTCACTGCAGATTTAACTCAGTGACTGTCATATTTCACTCAGCCACTGCAGAATTAACTCAGTTACTGTCATATTTCAATTAGCCACTGCAGATTTAACTCAGTTACTGTCATATTTTACTCAGCCACTGCAGATTTAACTCAGTTACTATCATATTTTACTCAGCCACTACAGATTTAACTCAGTTACTGTCATATTTCACTCAGCCACTGCAGATTTAACTCGGTTACTGTCATATTTCACTCAGCCACTACAGATTTAACTCAGTTACTGTCATATTTCACTTAGCCACTGCAGATGTAACTCAGTTACTGTCATATTTTACTCAGCCACTGCAGATTTAACTCAGTTACTATCATATTTTACTCAGCCACTACAGATTTAACTCAGTTACTGTCATATTTCACTCAGCCACTGCAGATTTAACTCAGTTACTGTCATATTTTACTCAGTCACTGCAGATTTAACTCAGTTACTGTCATATTTCACTTAGCCACTGCAGATTTAACTCAGTTACTGTCATATTTCACTCAGCCACTGCAGATTTAACTCAGTTACTGTCATATTTTACTCAGTCACTGCAGATTTAACTCAGTTACTGTCATATTTTACTCAGCCACTGCAGATTTAACTCAGTTACTGTCATATTTTACTCAGTCACTGCAGATTTAACTCAGTTACTGTCATATTTTACTCAGCCACTGCAGATTTAACTCAGTTACTGTCATATTTCACTCAGTCACTGGCAGATTTAACTTAGCAAACTCAGTTACTGTCATATTTCACTCGGTCACTGGCAGATTTCACTCATTTACTGCCATATTTCACTCAGCCACTGCAGATTTAACTCAGTTACTGCCATATTTACACTGTCATATTACAATAAGCCACTGGCAGTTTTACCCAGAGAGGATTTGTGCAGATTTCCCCTCATTCACTGGTGTATTTCACTCGGTTTTTGGCATATTCCACTGTAGGAACGTTTTAGCAAACACTGCTTGTTTAGCTAGTTAATATAGTGACGCTTACTGTGCTGTACAATATTAAGCCACACAAAATCCATGCTACATGACATGACTCATACATTTACACTGAAAAGCTAGTCAGCCTACAGTATTTAAGAGAAACAGACAAGTAAATGCTAATTGTCTGCGCATTATATACCATCTTCCTGTGGTAAAATGTTATTTGCATTGTTACTGCAGTAGCACTTAATGAACAAACGCAGTATACAAAATCGGGCAGTTTGGATGTGGACTTGTTCTGTTTCATTACAGGAACACGAAGAAAATACAGAGAACAATTTAATGAAATCCACCTTTCATGTTTTAACAGGACTATAAAATGTGAGGGTTTGTGAGTAATTATGTATATGATATTTTGCTACTGAGTGCTTTGTCAAGGATGCAGTGTAAAGTACAGGACTGAGAAGGCAGATGTAGCATGGCTTTTTTTTTTTGCTAACTAAGCTATGCTAACTGATCTATCTGGTGTTATTTGGGTCCAGAAGTAGTGGAAACATATTTTTCTGACAGGCTAACATGTTGGCACATTGTCCACAGAGGAGAAAAGACCTTGTGCATTAGCATTAGCATCCGGTGTTGTACTATAGTTACTCAGCTCACAGAGGCAGCTTCTGCTACTCATCCAACACCAACACTACTGATTTCTCTCTGCTTTTTTAATAAAAAAGTCTTCCTCTGCTTACTGCTGAATACATTTTGTGCTAGTGATTTTACACCAGAAGTATCACCAAATCGAATAAGACCATACGTCTATTTCAATCTTAGTATTTTTTCCCCTTTCCCAGCATCGTCCAGATATCTTGTCATTAACTCTTCAGATATTCAGATATCAAAATTTGACAGAATGCACATCCAAATGTTATAGGAGTGTCTGAAATCTAAGTATGTAGTTGAGGTAGGAGAGGCCCTCTTAGCATGCCTGTACTGAACTGTGTGTGAAGGATTGTGGGAGACTGTTGTTCTACTGTGGAACCTTTACACAGACGAACACAGCCATGACAGAAAATACACAAACAGGCAAAGGAGTAACGGCATCAGCAACAGAGTAACAGTAAACATCAGTGACCTCACAACAAAAAAGTCATATCAGAAAATAAGGAAGACTTAAAAGTCCCTGTAATGAAATAAATAATTAAAAAAAATAAAGGTAAAAGAGGAAGAGGACATCCAGCAGCAAGACAGATGGACACAATCAGAGATATCATGAACAAGCCATTAAGGAGCATAAAACTCAAACAGAAGACTGGACAATTCATATGATTGCCAGGAGTCTGAATCAATTTGATGGCATTTAATACTAACTATTCTCTGCGTCAGCTAAATATTGTCAACTGTGTAGGCTAATGAACATTATCATTGTAGGCTCATAAAAAACCTGCTACAAAACATTCAAATGTAATGTTAATTAAAAACAATAGGTTATTAGCTGTTAGACAAAATATCAGTTAATGATAAAAAGTCTGTCAGGCAAGGATGTGGCTGAGGTTGTGTCTATAAAAAAAACCTTACAATAATTAGAAACCCAAGCTGTATAGGAAATAATCACAGGCCACTTGACATCTTGTTGATGTTCTTTCAGATGTTCACAAGTCTGCAAGCTGATCTGTCACTGCTCTGAATGTTTCCATATTCATGTTCATGATAGGTTTACGTGAAAACAGCCCCATCCGTATTAATTAGGGGTGCGCGATTGGAATCGGTCAAGGTTGGAATCAGACAATTTTTGTTCCAGAAAAGTAAACGGCAATCAGACAGTTTGTTATTTTTATTTTGGCCAGTGCATTTTTCAACTGGACAGTGTGGTACACTCTTAAAAATAGATGGTTATTCAAGAGTTCCTTAGTAAGGAAAATGGTTCTATATAGAACCATGAACACTTAAAGAAACCTCTGCATGATTGAAGGGTTCTTTAGATCATGAAAGGTTCTTCTTCAGAATGGGTCCCATATAGCGAAACAATAGCAGAACCCTTTTTGGTGCTCCACAGAACCTTTTTCAGAAAGGTTCTACAGAACCACCTACAGCACTTTCTTCATCAATCCGAAGAACCATTTCATGATGCCAAGTGTTTGTGGTTCTATATAAAACCATTCTCTTTACCGAAGAACCCTGGAAGGACCATCTTTTTTAAGAGTGTACAGAACAGTACGGTTTCTAATCTGAACCCATCTGTGTCCATTGCGTAACAGAACCGTGAAATTAGGTAGAGTTCTCTGGACACTGTGTGACGGTCACATGATTTCTTAGAGGATGCTAGTGTTAAAGCACTACTTGCCAGCTACAGTTAGTTTTGGGGATTTGGAGACCCCTCTGGTGGAAATGTGTAACTGCACACAACATACGGAGGAACATGTTGTAACATTTTGCACCTCTTCCTCCAGCAGACGAATCTGATGATTGTGCGTGTGTTGAATTTAAAGAGCACTCAAAGTCAAAATATGGTGAAGAATGTGTTACTTAAGAATGTCTGTGAATTATCAACTGTTCATTAGTGTAATGTTGATTTTGCATTTGAGACCTCAACATCAAGCCGGACATTCTTTTTGAGCGATGCGTGTGACGTTAGTACATAAAGTCCAAAAATACGTGGTCCAAAAAAGGTCAGTGAAATCTGACCCTCCTTTGGCCTCTGACCTTTAAAAGATTATTTCAGGCTTTACACATACATATTGCAGCTTTTACAGCAAACATAAAAAAGCACTTTAACAATAGAGCAGCTTCTGATTGACCTCTGATTTTACCTCTTGTTTTACCTCTGTCTAATACAAAAGTATGTAAATAGGACTGACTCTAGCAGGTGCAGTACGCTTTACAATGTTTTGTGCTTGATTTGTGTTTTGCCTGTTATCTCAGTGCTGTGAAATATAGGCCTTTAGTTTAAACAATAGTTTTACGCTTGAAATAGCAGCATTTTTTCTGATGTAAAATCTTTTCCATCTTTAATGTACCACTGCAACCGACTAAATTAAAGTGAAAAACATGTCTGGGTGACAGGTGGGGACGATGAAGCCATTTCTCCAAAAAAAAAAACAAAAGAGTTATGATCTGATGAGCCTGAAATAAATTATATGAATGATGAGCATGCCTTTGTTGACTGAGGCTAAATGATTAATTTAATTAATTAAATCACATAATATGAAAACAGTTGTTTTTTTGTGTCATGCATCCCTCTGCTTCAGACTCACTCAGAAACTCCAGCTATGAATAATTATCTCTAAATAATTAACTTATTGCTCTTCATATTCAGACAAATGCGTATCCACTTGACTTGTGGACAGCTAACAAATCTTAAGACTACAATGTGCATCAAACCCAGATCTGGCCCTTTAACTATACATATTTTAGATTATTGAACAAAAATCAAAAGGACATTGTTATCTGACCATACATCAGATGCACAAAAGAAAAAAAATGAACACAATTTTTAATTTTATCAGCAGGATAATTCTGTTCCACAACCAGTCAGAGTGAAAACTGAACCCAGCATCACAGAAAACCTACCAGACAATTATGCCTACCCCATTTGGAGCTATCGTCCACCCATTTGGAGGATTTCAAGTATGCAGGAATACCCTACTCTGATTCTGTCATGATTACATTTGACTAGTCAATGGTCTTCATTATTTCTAGCACCACCCGCACTGCACCTAGTCTATGATGCTTGGTACCACAGCAAGAAGGGTAACTAATTTCACTATGGGTACTCGGGTATGATATGGTTCACTTGGCAGTGGAAATGATGATGAAATACATGATAATGGGGTTGTAACCACATTGTACCCTACTGTACTGCACAGTGGAAAACACTGTCACTGATCTTGAGGTAAAAAAAAATCACTAAAACTTGGCCAAAAAATCAGCCGTCACCAATTTGGCTGTAAAGAAATCGAAATCAACCATAAAAGTTCATGGTTGGTGTGCTTCTAGAATTAACCCATGTGTAACTTGTGTACATTGTCATATGATTCTAACAGCTCCCACATACTGTAATTGCTGACTGGTTCTGCTGGAAATTCAGACTTTGGTACTAGTGTCCATTCCACTAGCACTGGCTAGTTTATAGCATGTGTGTTTTCACTATGTGGTTTTAGGATATTGGCTGGAGAAGAGCAACAAAGTTGCTGGTGTTCTCCACAGATGCTGCATTTCACTTTGCTGGAGATGGAAAACTAGCTGGCCTTGTGCTTCCCAATGATGGGAAATGCTACCTGGAGAATAACGAGTACACCAAGAGCGATTACTTCGTAAGTGTGTGTTAAATATCACTTAAGTAAGGTCACAACATTTACTTAAAGTAATACGTTTAAGATCTATGTAGTGCACACCGTGTCAAATATAGATTTAGCCTAAACGTCAGTAGATCTGCTCTTACTGTTTTGCCTTATTCTTTTGCAGGATTACCCCACCATCTCCCAGCTGGCTGACACTTTGAGTCAGAACAACATTCAAACCATATTTGCTGTGACCGAAGAAGTTCAGCCTTTGTACAAGGTCTGTATAACTGTTCTACACTGCGTTTTTTTTGTAGTGTAGAAATGTTGGGCTTGCAAAAGTGACTTATACTTCTTGTAATATAGATACAACAATAATTATTATTATAATGGTATTATTATATTTGTTTATCTTTGACCATGCTTACATTTCATATATTTTTCTTAAAAAATCTTAATCTGTGAGGAAAACAGATGAATCCTTATCAGGTTATCAGGTTTGTCCACAAATCTTAATCTCTGTAAAAAGTGAGTACAAGAAACATAATTGTTTTTAACAGGAGCTGTCAGATCTCATTCCCAAATCAGCAGTAGGAACTCTTTCTTCCAGCTCCTCTAATGTGATCCAGCTGATCGTTGATGCCTACAACGTGAGTCAACAGTGTTTGTTTTTGTACATTTGTTTGTTTGACATTTATAATCTTCTTGTGGAATATGAAGTAGGATCTTATAGACTACTCTTGCTAGTTCTAATTTAGAGACTGCTCTTGTTGGTTACCTCTGATTTGGAGACTGATCTGGTAGGTTACTTCTGATTGAAAGAGACTGCTCTTGTCAGTTACTTCTGATTCAGAGACTGCTCTTTTTGGTTACTTCTGATTTAGAGACTGCTCTTTTTGGTTACTTCTGATTGAGAGACTGCTCTTGTAGGTTACCTCTGGTTTAGACTTTCCTCTATCTGATTCTGTTTCCTCCTAGTATTATTGGGTATAATAATGTTTGAATGACATTGCTTTTGCTTTGCCGTTTCATGGATCTCTGCCTTAGTCTTTGTCATCTGAGGTGATTCTGGACAACAGCAAGCTGCCTGACGGAGTGTCCATTTCATACGTGTCCCACTGCAAGAATGGAGTGAGTGAAACTGGAGAAAATGGAAGAAAGTGCTCAAACATCTCCATCGGTGATGAGGTGAGACAAAAGCACTCACTCATATCTTTAAAGAGACAGTTTGGAAATTTACACAGTTTTCCTTAAAGCTGTGCTATGTGAGATTCTTTTTTTGTTAACCCATTAAGGCCAACCAGAAAAGTGCTATTTAATTGGCTCTTCTTTGTTAATTACATGATTTCTCAGTGCTGCTGTTTATTTTCATATACAAAGAATGTGATCTAATGAAGCTGAAAATTTGAAGAGGAAAAATCACACACCAGTTTTGCTTTATTGTTACAAACCAATAATCAAATATTCTTCTGCACATGATGTGCATTACACATTTCCACCAGAGAGGTCTCCAAATCCCCCAAACTTACACAGTGTAACTTTAAGTGTAGTCAAGCAAACAAGATATGGTTGGTCTTTGTTTGAAACATATTAACCTCCTGTATTTGGAAATGGTTTTGTCTTTTTAGCTTTCAGGCTACCACAAGCATTGTACTAAAAGTTTGGGCACCCCTGGTTTAGAATTTTAATTTTGAACCAATGAGGGCAACATGTCACCAATTCCTGGTTCCTTTCATCTCGTAGGTGAACTTTGACATAACTATTACCGCTAAGGGCTGTCCATCTCATGGAAAATCAGAGACGATACACATCAAGCCACAGGGGTTCAACGAGGAGGTGGCGGTTGACCTGATCTTCATTTGTGAGTGTGAATGTCACAAAGATGGAATCCCCAACAGTCCAGACTGTCACTTCGGAAACGGAACCTTTGAGTGTGGAATATGCAGGTGGGAGATCATCCTGAAATACATAAATACAATAACTTTGGGATGTCTGCTTCATTATCCATGTGTATGGTCTAATTTAAAATGCTAGCACATTTTATTGGCAGCCCTCCAATGATATCCCACACAAAATGCAACATATTTAAAATATTTTAATATTTCCTTTAGATTTTGGAGAATATAAACAGTATTTCACAGTATGTTTACAATATGTTCTAATTACACTTCCCGGGCCAATATTCCTCGGCCTTTTCCTGATGAGTTTGGAGAGAGAAATCAGCTCTCAATATATTGTAAAAATTGTAAAATGATTTTGTGTTATTTTTAAAATTTGCTGTGAGTCATCCACAAACCCGTTAAAGTTATCTTCCATGTTGAGAAGCACACTGCTGTGAGACACTGATCTGGCACAATGGAACTGTGTTCTCCGGAGTAATCGAGCCCCATCCAATTTTGGATGAGCTGGAGTGGCATTTATGATCCAAAACTAATCATTCAACATCAGTACCTGACCTCACTAATGCTCTTGTGGCTGAATGCAACCATATCCTCACAGCAATGTTCCAACATCAAAGTAGAGGCTGATACTGCAGACAAACTGTCCATTAATACTAGGAGTGGGAGGCACGTCTAGGCACCTCACAATTCGATTCAAGTTTGATTCAGAGTACTAAATGCGATTATACAATGATTCTTTATGCATCTTAATTTGATTCTATAGCCAGCTTAATTGTTTCCTGAATTTGTCCATCTTCACAGTAAGCTGCATCTTACAAAGAGCACATGTTGAGCTGAAAAAAGCAATACTGTATGACCTTTTTGTTCCCTCTGTCACATTGCATACAATATACTTGATCAGAAACGTCAACAACTATTCACTGGTCAACAGTCAACAACAAAGGTCAAAGGTAAACAACTATTCACTGTTGACCTTTTTCAATAACAAATTATAAAAAGGTCAGATTATGATGTTTTGTGCATCAATGTTTTGTGTAAAGTCTAGCATGAAAGAATTGTATGCATCCAAGAATCATTATTTTTTCCAAACCCTAATTAATACCTTTGATTTCAGAAGATTGATTTCAAACAAGCAGGCGTCTACAGCCTTTTGAACATACAGGGGATCTTTACATTTGTGTTTTATTGTTTGAGTTAGTTAGCTTGCTAACTGCACCAAAATGGATAGTTTTTTTATTGTCAAACTTTTAGTTCAGCTGTGGTTGTGCCTGTTTTGCATGTTTGCGTGTGACACAGACTGCAGCTTTAGAATTAAACAGGCTGTTTTTGGTACTGATACACGTAACTTGATATTGATACATGATACAGTCTGGGCCGAAACGCATAGCACAAAGTTCAGACATCAGTCCAACAGAACAACATTTATCTGTTTTTTTCCCCTCTACGTGTTCCTCTTTCCACTTAAGTGCTCTACAGACTGTCCGCAGTAACAGCACTGCTTATCACTTCACTGTGAATGCTAAAGTGCTGCAGGATGAATGGATGGGGTGGGGTCATATGTAAATACCTCCATGGTTGTGATATTACAACATGGATTCAAAAAGGGCTGTTTTTGTAGTTTATGTGGATTTTATAGACTATTGAGTGAATGCTTCTCTCATTTCAGCGGACCTCAGTAGATTGCTAGAAGACCTATAAAGTAACCCATCACTGAACAGTGCTGTTTTCCTCAGGTGTAACGAGGGCCGTATCGGCAGGTTGTGTGAGTGCAGCAGAGACGAAGTCAGAACAGAGGATCTGGATGCAAACTGCCGTATGGACAATGGCACGGACATTTGCAGCAATAACGGAGAGTGTGTCTGTGGAGTGTGTGAATGCAAGACTAGAGACAATCCAGAGGAGAAGTATGATGGGAAGTTCTGTGAGTGCGACAACTTCAGTTGCGACCGTTCCAATGGCAAGCTCTGCGGAGGTATGAACCTGTAGGGGACCATAATAGATAAACAGGTTTATTTATGTGTTCTTAAGGTTCGTCCTAGTTTACTACAAGTTTACTAAAGTGTGCTTGCAGATAAACAGTAAGTGTTAAATATAATCGCATAAGTCAAATACTTCAGTACATTTAAGACATTCCATCCTGTAGCCCAAAGTCACTAAAGTCATGGAGTGGAGTACCCATGACCAGGTGGGCACACCAGACCATGACCCACTGTTTTGTTCTGTTGCCAGGATATTTTGGTTCTGTGGACTATTCTCAGTCCAGCAGTGACACTGAGGTGTTCAAAAACTCCAGCAGCACTGCTGTGTCTGATCAACTCAGACCAGCACAACACACACTAACACACCACCACCACATCAGTGTCACTGCAGTGCTGAGAATGATCCATCACCCAAATAATACCTGCTCTGTGGTGGTCCTATGGGGGTCCTGACTACTGAAGGAGAGGAAGGAAGAGGTTAACAAAGTATGCACAGAAACAGATGGACTACAACTTGAATTTTAAGTATATATTCAGTATTCTATATGTGCTTAATGTATTTACAGTACACTTTTTAAATGTACTACAGTATACTGTATTTTTATGAGTAGAACATGTACAGATCTATGAGTTTAAAGAATGTCTAAATCAGAATTGCCTAAACAAGTGGATCAACACTACGCCTGGATCGCTTAAAAAGTCTCCAGGAGGTCTTTTAAACTTATTTTATTAAACTTGACACTCATTCATTCATTCTTTGGATCAGTTTCTGAGCTGCTAAGCTGTGTTTATAGCCTTTATTTTGATTGAACTGCAGCTGAAATACAGTTAGTGTGTTTGGTGATATGACTGGTGTGGTAGAGTTGTGGTGTAACTACAGTCCCATACTTTGTTGATGGGGGAGGCAGGAGTGGGTGCGCATATATTGTTACAGTGCATGCTAGGGACTGTAATGCAGTGCATTGTGAAATGGGCTAATATTAATAGAAAATTCAAATAATTTGCAGGCCAGATGTGACTGCTTCACGAACCCGGCAGCCGGTAATTCTCTAAATTTTCAATGCCATAAAGAACCACTAATGGTCCCCAAGAGAATCTTTCAATGGATGTTTCTTTAGACAACCTTTTTTGTAAATGAGATTTGTTAGAGTGGAGAACTTTAAAGTTAAAAGAACCTCCACAAAATCTGAAATTTCTAGGAAGAACCTCTTTTTGCAGCAGCCATTCTGCAAGTGAATGCAAATTGACTTGGATATTTTTAATTGGCATAACCAACTAAAGCAGCTTTCCCTGTAATTCTGTTATCAGATTTACTAGGACACTCTTGGCTGTCTGTGTGTGCGGTGTTATGACTCTTTGTTAGGCTGTTAGTGAGCAATGAGGACTGAAGGGGGAGGGGTGAAGCCCCCTTATGTGAAACCAGCTTATACACAACTACAGATTTTATGAAAAAAAAAATAATCATGTTAAACTGCTACAATAAAAAACAGCATTTAGACACAATAAAACACACTTTTTAAAATATTGGCTTGTATGGTCAGCCATGAAGATAAAAATCAAGTCCATTTGAAGTTTTAAATCATACACATTTCCTTCGAAATTTGTTAATGATTAAAAAAATGCATCGTGCAAAAAACTGAAGGACCTCCAAAACAGGCTGAAATTGTACTTTATGGTTACCTACTAAGACTAGGGGTCTAATTAGCAAAGAATCTTTACCTCATGTCAAGGTGAAGTCTTTCAAAGGTCCATCACACTCACAAATCTGTTTTTCAAATATCGTTCTTGAGGGAACTAAAAGTGGTTCTTGAGTGGCGTGTACCACTTTTTAAAAGAGTTTCGTATAAAACCAGCAGCTTTAACTTTTTCACAAAAAAAACTTTAGATGTATGTCTGAAAAATAGAGGGTAGCTAGATTTCAGATATGGGTGAGGTGCAGATAGAGTGCAAGCAGGTACAGATCTATGCAAGTTCTCCCTTGTACAGATAGAAAGCATGCAGATACAGATCTACACAAGTACTAGTGATTGCAAGACCAAAGCAGTCAGAGCACAAAAATGTTTTTACGGTTTCTGATTAGATCTTGCACAACACAAGCCTATGATGCTTTTCTTCCTTTGGCTTTGTGAAAAATATACTAATGGACCCTCAGCTTTCCTATATTAATATATGCATTCAGGAGGTTGTGGAGGTTGTATTAAAAATGCTGGCATCATAAATCTGTAGCACTCAGTCTAGATCAGGGGTGTCAATCACTAAAAGGGCCATATTAAAAAATCTCAACGAATCCATGGACCAGAGAACATCTATGTTTTATGTCATTTTTATTTAACATTTTGCTATAAATTGAACTGATCAGTGTTCAAAATACACAAAAAATCAGCAGTAAAATATAAGCACTTATATTTTATAGTAGACCTTAAAATATTACATGAATACTTGAAATATTTAAAATGTAAACATCTCAGGAGCTCAGTCTTTTAAATCTACCTATTTGCTTGAATTAGACACTTGACATCTTCTCTTTGCTGCAAGGTCATTCATTCATGGGCTCAATTTTGGAGCTGCTGAGCTGACATAAAGTGTTTATATTGGCTGAACTGCAGTAAGTTGTGTGGAACTTTGTAGAATTGAGGTATAACCGCTGTCCCACAGACAGTTGTTGGGGTAGGAGAGTCAAAGTGCACATTACGTTGCAGTGCATGCTGGTGATTGTAGTGCAGCGCATTGTGAAGCTCACAGTAATAGAAATTTAAAATACATTTGTGTTGCTGGCATGATCTGGCCCGCAGGCCTTGTGTTTGACACATGGGGTCTAGATGCTCTGCAAAGCTCCAAAATGGTTGGCCTTGTTAGCCATGTCAGCTAACCACAGAAGACATGGTAACAGACCACTGGTGAAAGCAAAGTTCACTTTGGTAGTGTTTTGTGAGTATGAAAATATTAGTGAAGCACAGAAATGAAAATTCTTTGCTGAAACTCAGGATACATTTTGCTGCAGACTGACACCAAAAACAGAAAATGTTGACAATAAATAAAAACAATTGACACAAAATAGACTTAGTAGAATTTTACAGTATGTAGGCTTCAGTATGTGTCACAAAATCTCGACAACAGAACGAAAGGTTAACACTGCAAAAAAAGTAATAGTAAAATAATAAGTCCAGTCAGTAAATCTAATATTTAGAGATTGTTGGAGGAATATTATGAAATTATTTAACTTATTTCTGGACATTTTTTCTCATTTCAAGTTACTTTATTAAGTGAAATTATCACACTATATTGGCATTATCTTCCAATATAGTGAGTTCATTTCACATAATAAATATACCAACAAGAAAATGTCTACAAATACGTTTATTTTATTTATTTATTTGGTTCTTGGGATCATATGCGCAACTCTTCTTTCTACAAACATAATTGCCAAAGAGACATTTTTGTTTCATCTGTTTGTTCGAGTATAATGATGACAGGTGCTATTTCAGAATGCATTAATATCTAGAACTAGATTTATTTTTATGTAACATTTACATACATTTTTTAATATAGTATCTGAATTTTTCTCTCAGTTTCATTTTTGAAACAGATCTTTGTTAATGCATAGTCTCAGATTTTGACACTTTATTGTGAGCTTATTTAATCTTTGCTTTATCCATCAAAATGTTCTGCCTTTATTCTCTTCCAGCCAAAAACCAAAATTGCCATTTTTGACTATTTTGGACAAAAACGTTCAGAGCCTGGCATTACGGTGAATAATAAGTATACTTACATATACTAAGTATACAGTGTAGTGTAATAAGTACAGGGTACAGTACTGTGCAAAATACGTAAGCAGCCATGAACATTGTTTAGTACTGTTTGTCTTGGCCTTAAACTGACCAATGATTAATGGGGAAGAGAGAGGGTCACAGATTGTCATAGGCTACAGTCTTTAATTTAGCGCCTACATAGTGTGACCTCATTAAGCGGTCAGTGAGTGGAAATAAAAGGGTTGAGTTTCTAAAGACATAAATGATGTTTGTCTCTCTCTCTCTCTCTCTTTCTCTCTCTCTGACAGGTCATGGTCAGTGTGTGTGCAAGAAATGTGTCTGTGATGAAAACTACACAGACAGTGCATGTGATTGTTCTCTGGACAAGGAACCTTGTAGGGCCTCAAATGGGCGAGAGTGTAATGGCCACGGGAACTGCATTTGTGGAAAGTGCGAATGCACTGACCAAAAGTATCGGGGCACCACCTGTGAGGATTGCCCCACATGTGGTGGACTCTGTGGCGAGCACAAGTGAGTTAGCATCACACCAAGATGCAGTGATGAAGGGCTGCTGAGGTGTCCTGTCCCAGTCCTGATGACCTCGTGGTCCTTAAAGCACCTCACTCAGCTCATGAATAGTTGAGTTAAATCAGATGTGTAACATAAGACCATTGGGATTTTGGAGGTCAACATGTTACACTTAATGCTACTGTAACTGGTTATAACTCATAACAACATTGTTACCACTGTTTGGAGTTAATTTTGTGTCAGAAGTTTTAGTTAGAATGCTTTAAATATTAAGCATGAAGATGTGAAATATATTGCTAACACAAATAATGAGAAAAACTTTGGACTGATCTTCGGTCATTTGTTTCTATAAAAAAAAAAAAATGAAATGAAGGGGCGCCGATAATTGTGGCACACTTAAGTTTAGGGAAACATATTTCCTGATAAGACATAGGGTTTTTTATCATTGTGCTTCAAATAAAGGTTAGATTTTTGTTAGTATTTTGAATGAAAGACCAAAAGGATAAGCGATAAAGAATGTGTTTTACAGGGTGCCAATATTTGTGGAGGGCACTCTATGTATGAGTGGTATGATTCGTGGTGCTTTTGGCTAGTAGATAAACTAGCAATATTTGTTTTGTAGACATAGCAACCTCTGGTTTCTATCACATTAATCAAAGTCTGCAAGTTTCTCTACAATACATAATGGTACACAAAAATTTTGAATAATTTTGTTTACATCTTAAATGACTTGTGTAGAAATAAAAAAAAACCTACGCAATCTACTGTACATCTGCAAAGTAATCATCCGTAACAACATGCATTCCAGGGTTATTATAGTTCTGAATTTTTTTCATTAGTTTTTTATTTACTTTTTCATCTTGATTTTTGATTCCAGTTTAGTTTTGATTGGTCTTAAGGGAATTTTAATAGTTTTAATGTTGTTTTTAAATTAAAAAAATAGGTTATATGTAGTTTCAGTTTTAGTTTTAAGTATTATGATGGACACTGTGATGGCAGATATTTGTTAAGATTTACAAAAAAAAACAAAAGATTCTGTCTCAGTAATTCTGTTTTGTTTTAGTTAGTTTAGCAATAGACATTATGGTTTTGATTTTACTTTTAATGTTTATGAAAATTGTTACTATAAGTAACATTTTTTCACAGCTAGTTTTTGTTTTACGAATAGTTGTAACTTTAATCTCCCTGGCGCACACTCACTGTATTTCTGCTATACCTTGTGCAGGGAGTGTGTTAAGTGTCGAATGCATGAGAAAGCAGGAGATCATAAGTGCCATCATGAATGCTACCACTTCACTCTAACGAAGGTGAAGACAAAGGAAGATCTCCCACAGTCTGATGGCCAGTCTGTCTTCCAAGACTGTAAAGAGCGAGATGATAACGACTGCTCCTTCTTCTTCACCTATCAAGCCAATAAGACCTCCGGGGCTCACGTTGTGGTGGCAGAGGCAATTGGTGAGGAACCAGCTATGGAGTCTTCAGCTATCTGTATCACACAACTACCACCTGCCTTTAGACTAGTGCTTCTCTATCTAGGGAGCCTGATGAGTTGAAGCATAGTGGGTGTGAATAGGGAGAATACAAGAACCTGCACTCTGAGTCATAGTGAAACATATATGAACTCTAGTTTTGAAAGCCGGATGAATTAGTTTTTAACATTGCATTGAAAATTCCAGTATGTATACTCAGTGTAGAAAGTTAAAGAACTCAATTTTTAAAGTTGATCTAGGTGTGACACAGTACTGGAGATGAAGGAAGAAGAAGGTTCTGATGTTCTTCAAGTGCTGTAATGCTTTTCTGTTTCGGTTCCAGAGTGCTACACAGCTCCTGAGCTCATTCCTATTGTGGCGGGTGTGATCGGAGGTGTTGTTCTGATTGGTTTGGCCCTGCTTCTGATCTGGAAGCTGCTTATGATTATTCATGACCGAAGAGAGTTTGCAAAGTTTGAGAAAGAGAAGATGAACGCCAGGTGGGACACGGTACGTACCTGTAAAGCCAAATTATTGAGGTAGCAATTCCAGTTCCTTCTGTCAGCTCTAAAAAGTGATACTCGGGCAATAGGTAAAGAAAATTCCTGAAAATTCCTTGAACGTACTGATGATAATTCCATATGGCTATAGAGACACAGAGTACTGCCTGTGAGTTTTACATTAACCTTGATGTTTTCAGTACAAACTAAATGGCACAGTTTAGATGAAATTTGCAATAAAAATGCACGATGTGCAGGTCAGTGGCTTCGATATAATAAAGGTTCAGAACCATTTTGAAAATGTCTGTATAGTGATCATCAGTGCTTGTATAATGAGGTGGGTTGAAGAGTCTAAACTTATATTCAAGTAAAGGTTGCCCAGATGTAGTGGATCAGGCAGCCAGGTATGTTTGGTGTCCAAGGCCCAATCCCATTTGACTCCTTATCCCTACCACTTAGCCCTCACCCCTCAGTTTTGTGCATTCACGCCTAAGGGTAGGGTGTCCCATTTTTTTGTTGAGATAGAGGGGTAGGGTGAAGAGTTAGGGCTGCATGGCCCTCTAAAAGGAGGCACACTCCAAAAGGAGTGTTATGAGAAAAAAAAGAAAAAATGGCAAGATGGCTGCACAAACAACCAAACAAACCCACAAATGTGAATATTTTCTCCATTAAAAATTACAATAACCATTAATTCATCTCAGTTTAATGTCATTTCAATGTATTATGGTATATTGGTATGGTATATTTCCTTCATAACAAGCATAAAAAATTGATAAAAGTATGCTGGTGTCTCGGTAGCTAGCGAGCTAAATTTCCTGTTCCACCTTAAATTAAGGTTGAACAGGAAAAGATGTGGGCATGCGATGCCCTAAATTTAACCAAACCCCATCAGTGAGGTCGCTGAGCTTTACCGCTGCTCTGCTATCACTGCAGACTGGCAAGGTTGCCTACAGAGCACCGCTAGCAGCCTGTTCATGAAGGAATGTTCTTTTTATTTGGGGATTGTAACATTTTGTAGGGGGAGATTTCAACCAGTGTAACAACAAAAAGTGAAGTGACACTCGAAAACAAGGGGTAGGGGTAAAAATAAGAAATGGGATTGGGCCCAAATCTTGCTTCTTTAGTTTAGCACTGGAGCTAAATTAACAGTAATGTAGTAAACACTGGAAGTCAATAGTCACCCAAATCTTTTCTGTAAAATTGTCTCCAAAACTTCCTTCAACCCACTCAAACTGCTTTCAGGCCTTCAATAAGTTTGCACAGATTTGTTGATGAAGTTTTTAGCACAGTATGACTTACTGTGGGCTATAAAAATGAACAAAGCTCACAGTGTAGCTGAACACAGCAGGCACCCATATTAGGCAAAAGGTGTTGTTGAGTTTGACTCCCAAGCAGACTTCCCCTCCTGTGAATGCATGCCATGCAGGCATGTGGATGCACGCTTTGTTTCCATTTAGAAAAATGTCTTCAGTTTAAAAATACTGGATACACAATTGTTTGTAAAAAAAAAAAAGAAACAACAGAAATCCTGAACGTAATTTGTAGTGTTCATATGCCTGGGCGATGTTGGTGCACATGAAGAGGAGTCAGAATTCTGCACAGCTCTTCAAAGTTTAATTTTTATGGTTCACAGTAAGTCAAGCCTGCAAAACCTTAATGAAGACCTGGATGTGGTTTGAATGTGTTGAGGGTTTTGGGGATATATTTACAGAAAAGATTTAGGTGTCTTTCTCTTTTTCTCTTTTGGCCTTAAATAAATAAAATCACAAACCGCAAAAGTCAGAGATCACAAAACAGTACAGATGCCACAATTGCAGAATGAAAAAAAAAACAAAACAAAAAGAATTAGTAAATAAATGTTAATGACTGAAATGTATCTGAATGAAAAGTAGATTACTTTTCTCAAATATCTACTTGAACAGATATAAAAAATTACTGAGCAAAGTATAAATCTATCAATATATTGCTTGACAACTTGTAACCGATCACGTGTTCAGTGCTGTGGAACGTCAATTACCATGCTAAATACTGATTCGTAAATGTTTTCACAGACACAGAACCCGATCTATAGGAGTGCAGTGACGACGGTTGTCAACCCCAAATACGAGGGCAAGTGATGGAACTGCAGTGTGTTCAATAGCAAGACCTTTTTTGTGTTTTTATTTTGTCTGTTTTGCTTCATTTTACACTATTTTGAAATCTTCCAAAGGGTGTGTATTATTGTTTGTTTAGATGTTTTTTGGTATATGCTGTTTCAGGTTAAATAAATAAACTAACATGTACAAAAAAGATTTTATAATTACACAAAGTATTAGGAATACCTACCAATTACATCCTGGTTCAGATATGAGCTGGGAAAGTCTCAGGCGTCCAATTTAGATAGATATTAAATATTGTACATTAGTAAAAATATTCAGTAGTTTCAGGCAATAGAGCATCATGGGCTTCAAATAAATACTGCAAAATGGAAAGACATTTTTATATTCATGACCGCGTTGCTTTGCACAAAGTGTTACTTGGAAACTTGAAGGTAATATAACAAATAAAACATGGGTGTTTATTTTTGAGGACATTTTCTTAGTTTTTTGCAAACATTGTAGCATTTATATGCCATCATCTTTTCAAAACAAGACAATAAAGAAATTATATTTTAAAGATTTTAGATTGTGAAATGTATATACATATGGCAATAATGTTATATATACAATAACTCTATACTGGAAACTTTATTTTTTGTTCAAGAAATAATAAACATCCTTGTGTGAATTGGTTTCTGACCATGTGTTTATGCTTCACTAAATACTAAATCATTCCATGTGATCATGTGGTTCACTTAATCAGAATGAGATTAGGAGATAAATGGCAAAATTCTGAGTATCTTAGTAGATTTTGTTTGGTCTGCTTGGTTGGTTAGTGGATCAAAATGGACAAATATGCAAACATGCCTTTTAACAAAATGTATTGGATTAAACCCTTCACTGTCTTTCAGTGCAATACTTTTACTTACTTGAAATTCGGTAATTAAAAAAATTGATACATGAATTAATTAATTATGTTAAAATGTTTTCTTCTGCAGTGGCGTGTGAGTATTTAAAAAAAAACACTTTTAAATGAAACTGTTACTGTATGTTAATTTATTCCTTCATTTTTATGCTAAACGCCCCCCATTTATGTCCAGAGTTTAGAATAATAAGGAAAAATGCCACAGAATTTATTCTGATTGTTTTGAAGAAAATTTTGTACACACTTTAAAAAGATGGTTTAAGTCTTATTTTGTAAAGTCACTGGTTCTCTTTAGAACCATGAGTTCTACATGAAACCACTTCATGCTTAAATGGTTCTTTGCATGGTAAAATAATTCTTCAGATTGATGTTGTACATGGTTCTATACAAGCTTAACACTTACATGTACATGTTACAAGCTTAACATCATAACAGTGGTTCTATATAGAACTCATGGTACTTGAATAATATTATAAGTAATAGAACAACAAAGAACCCTTAAAGACCCATCTTTTTGAAGTGTGTAGTTATAAGATGGATGATCAACTACCAGTAGCCAGCAGATTTTTCTGTTCACCTTCAATATTCAAATCAGTAGTCCAATGTAGTCATTTAATATTATAACTTTAATAAGAAATTATAAATAAAAACAAAATATTTTTATTGTATTTTGTTTTTGAATGTGAGAGGACCTGCAGACCAGAGGAAATTTAAAATGTCATATGCGGCAGTGAATGGGTTAATAGTGAGCTATTTTAGAGGCGGGGCTTTCTCTTCTTTCCCCACCGACAGCTCTAAAGGGGCGGGGTCTGCGGAGATCTATCGCCTGTCCAATCACAAAGCTTCAAGCTTCCATTGCAAAGTTGTACGCTCACCGACACACTGGCTTTCTTCAAGACTTGGTTTGCTTGTTAATCTCTGAATAACTCGGATTTTCTCGGCTGTTTTATATGAGTATCCGTCGTTAGGGAGGTGTCTGGTGATTCCGCGACGATGGTTTCCCGGTCTGGCCGATATGTCATGAAGACGTGGACGGCTCCAAGTATAAAATGTCTCGCCACTCTGCAGCTCAGAGCTTGGCCAGCACAGACTAGCGTAGCTAGCCTGCTGAAGTCGGCACACACGAATGTCCGTCTGCTACCCGGTAATGCTGGATAAAACTGAAACGGACAAAGCGGAATATTTGAACATCTAAAGTAGCAGGTAAGTCCAAGCCGGTATTCTTTTTTGTTAATCCTGAGCGGTGAATAATTTAAAATTTGAAACGAATTGCTAACGAGCTCCAGCTAGCTAACCTAGCTAGTTAACGTTAGCTCTTTTAAACTTAGTTGCGAGCGGTTGTCATTATCGATGTTCGTTCAGAAGACTGACTGCATTGTAACTGTATTTGATTTGTAAATCGAAAATATATAGCCAAAGTCTGTATTATAAACGTTACGTAGGTAATATCTGCGTTTAAAGTGAGAATTGTGAACTTCCAAATGAGCGTGCCGTGTGCACTTTTCTAGGCAGCTTGTTAGCAAGCTAAGTGAAGCATCTTTACCCCTGTTTAACCTGCTGGCCGTTTCTGGTCATTTCTGAGTGGGACGTTGGGAGCTTTACTGCAGTCGTGTCCTAGCTAGCTAGCTTGGCTGGTGAGCTTGGGCAGTGTCAAGGAATCATTTTCCCACATTAATGGGGCTTATTCATTTAAAACCTGTCTTGGAAGGAAGATTAATGCTCAACGGGGTCTTTTTCAAGACTTGAGTTATTCAGAACAGGCTGAGTTTTCTGCTTACGTGACCTTCGTATTGGTTACTGTGCGTTATTTGATCTTAAAGACACAGTAACGTTTTCACATGCCCACGCCCGGGGAAAGTAGGGGTGGCCTAATTTAACGTGGGATTAGAAAATACCGTTTTTAATAAGGCTCGTCATGGGTGTTTAAACGAAACAGACGTTACTGTTTGACGGGCTTTTATATTTAACGTTATCCCCTTTAGTGAACCGAAATGACCCCTCGCGTCGAGCTCGAAACACAGCTGCTGAGGCAGGAGATGTGCTATTGTTTCTACTGGGTGTGGATTAGTGGCGCTATTGAGTTTTGCTGAATTTGATTGACAGTTCACGACCCCAGTTGACCCAAAACCACCCAAACCAAGTAACGTACATATCCCAGTAACTCATAAGTAGAGTTGACATACTACCACTTTTCTTTTCCAAAGCCACCAGACCTTGAGTATCGGCCCATACCAATTCATATTTCTCCTTAAAAACTATAAAGTTTTGAAATTAGCTACTTGATATTGATGCACTTGTGTATAAGTAGGTTATAATGCTCAAACTACTCAAACACTGTACTACCTGACAAAAGGAGATGCTATTTTAGATGAGATTGGTTAAAGTGTTCTTTTTTTCCCCTCCAATATACAAACCCAATTTCTGGAAAAGTTGGGACATTTTGTAAAATGCAATCTGTGATCTGTTAATTCTCTTGAATCTTTATTTACCTGACCAAAGTACAGAGAAATGACTTGATGTTTTGGTGCACCAACTTCATTGTATTTTGTAAATATAAACTTAAATTTGAATTTGATGCCTGCAACACACTCAAAAAAAAAGGTGGGAATGGGGGCAAAGAAAGTGAAAAGTTCATAGAATATTTAAGTTACACCATTGTGAAATGTTCTTCAATAAGCAGGTAAATTGGCAACAAGTGAGGGATCATGGTTGTGTATAAAAGGAGAATCCATCAAAGGCTCAGTCGTTGCTAGCAAAGATTTGTTGTGACTCACTGCTTTGTGCCTAACTTGATGAGAGAATTGTCAAACAGCTCAAAAAGAACATTTCTCAACACAAGATTGCGAAGAATTTAGTTCTTTCACCATCTACAGTACATGATATTGTGAAAAGATTCAGGGAATCCAGAGAAATCTCGGTCCATGTAGGGCAAGGATAGAAACCACTGTTAAATGTGTGTGACCTTCAAACCCTCTGATGGCATTGCCTAAGAAACAGTCATGCTACTGTGTTATATATAGCCACATGGGCTTGGGAGTACTTCAGAAAGCTGTTGTCATTTAATACAGTCTGCTGTTGCATCAAGAAATGCAACATGAAACACTATTACTCAAGAAGAAAACCATACATCAATTCTATGCAGAAACGCTGCTGAGTTCTTTGGGCCCAAGCTCATCTCAGATGGTCCAAAAGACAGTGGAAATGTGTGCTGTGGTCAGATGAGTCCACTTTTCAGCCCATTTTTGGGAAAAACGGACATGGATTTCACCATGCTAAGGACAAAAAGGACCATCCAGACTTTTATCAGCAAAAGGTGCAAAAGCCAACATCTGTCATGCTCTGGGTCTACATCAGTGTCCACAGTATGGATGACTTGCATATGTTTGAAGGTACCACTGATGCGGCGGTGTATGTTGATTTCAGAGAGATATATGCTGCCACCAAGATGACGTGTTTACCTGGGAAGGTTATTTCAGCAAGATAATGCCAGACACTTGGGTGATTTGATTTTTGACCAATATATCTGAAGGCAAGGTTTCAGAGCAAAAACCTTAGATTACAGAGTTAAGACGGCTAGTTTGAGAAGTACCACTGGAGGCTGCACACATGATAGTCAGGGGCTTTATCAAACCAGGAGTCCTCAGTTAGGCAGAGTGACAGCATGAGTGCGTGGGTTGCAAGTTGTATGATCGTAATCTGTGTACTCTGTACAGGAGCTGTAAAGATGGACGGCACTGAAAAGAAATGGATTGGAATTTTAGGAGGACATTGGGGTGGACTAGGCTTGCATGAGGTTTTGGCCTGGAGTAAAGGTAAGATTAACCAGCCAGAGATTACCTGGTTCACTTGCTGGTACTTGTACTGATACTTGGGCCTGTGAGGATGACATTTTAGCTGATGATCAATTGCCATATTAATAATTGTGAAAAAAAATGTTGCCTTTTAATTTATTGTATACAACTATTAAAGTACCTGCCTAAAGTGAACACATTGGCTGATTTAGCTGTCTTGCTTCCTCATTGTCAGTATTTAATAGTTCCCAACTGACAACAGAAATGGCTCAAGCTCAAATTCACATTCAAATTGTTGCTGATAAATATGACTGAAATTTAACAACTGTGGAAAATAATTGCAGACATTTAAACAGTTGCAATCAGGGCAAATAATTGCGATCAGATGATTATGTAATAATTATGACAGGTCCACTCACATCACATGCAGTCACTGATGCTTTTAAAGGTTCTGCATATATTGTGGAAATAAACTATATACTCAAAAATAGTGTGATTGAATGTAAACCATCCATTACGATTGCACAGCCATTCTTTTCACTACTTATGTACACATTTTTATATTAACGGCATATTTAACTTTCTAAATTTCTTTAATGTGAGGAAAGATACAAACACACTCATTGGATGAAACAGAAATGGTAGCATACCTATTTAAATACCTGAACCCAAAAGGTACAAAAGTACTTGGTCAAAAAAATGTCTGATGTTGAATGTAAGTTTAAAAAAAAAAAAACCTTTCCTTCAACTGGTATGATGATGATGATGATGATGATGAAGGGAAAAAATGGTCTTTGGCTGGTACAAATCCTAAACCCCTGACCAAGCTTGACAAAGGAATTAAAGCATCAGGCGCACAGAAGTATGAACCTGCAGGGCTAAGCCTGATTTTAATTTCTTAACATAAGTCCCTTTCACACAAGCACTTTTACCTGAGTGTTTAAAGGTAATGAAACAGGAACTGGTTAAGAGTGAAAGCAAGCCAAAATTCTGGTAAATTGACATGACACTTGACCTGCATGAGACCCAAAACAATTCCTGGGAAATTACCAGGATGGCTTAAATGTAAACAGAAGCTTATGTACTGGGAAATAGAAAGACTACATTACAGCCAGCAAGGTTGAATCATTTGGTGATGGCTAGTGTTTTTTTTTTTTTTTAATTGATAGAGTATATATATTTTTTTATTAATTTAATAGGGTTTTCAGTGTTTATGGAAGTAGAAAAAGTCACGAGTGTATTCTTGTACATGATTTCTTAATAAATGAGCTGTTGGCTATTTATGCTGACAATGTCACCTCTTGTTTACCAGGATTTTTATGGTATGTGAATGCAGGCAGGCTGATGAAATACATTTAAGGGCTGCATGTGTGAATGATGCAAAGCTTGAACATTACCGGTAAAAGTATCCAAATAATATCCTGGATTTAATTGTGAGAGGGGTTTTACCCTTTGTGATGTCAGTTAAGGTTAACTGTGATTGATGTAGTGAATACAGATTTATTCAAGAAAACAGAGATATACCACAAAGCAGGACTCAAAGAAAGTTAACTGGTTTTAATTCAGGCTGATCAGTCACTATGGCAACTTTCTGTCCACATCTAATCTTATGTTGAGGTTTAGCCAGGAAAAAGAACTTCATCAGTCAAGTTCAAGGTTGCATTTTAAGCAACATGACCTTTTTTTTTAGTGCTGGAGTAATATCATAGTGCAGAATTATTTTTCAGTATATAGTGAGTATTTTAGTACACAGTGAATACAATGTACAAAAGACTTTTTTCTCCCCCACTCAAACAGAATACAGGTCTTCATTAAGGTTGCACAAACTAGCTGATGTATTTTAAGGACACTTAAACTACAATATTTAAAGCTACACTCTGTCAGATTTGGTGATTTGGAGACCTCTGGTGGAAATGTGTAATTGCATCCAACTTGAAAAGGAAAAACGTTGAGAGTTCAAAGGCACCATAGTCAAAACTCAGCAAAGGACGTGTCTCCCTGGTATGTAAGTGGATGATATCCTGTTTTCAACATATCTTCGTCAGTATAATGTTGATTTTGCATTTGAGACCTAAACAGCTGAGCTGCAGGATGTTTGTAAATGTGCTGTTTTTTTATCACAAAAACAGTAACTTTTAAACACACTGCGTTTCAGTTTTTCATTTAAGTTTATGTATATGGACTTCATGGACTGGGGATCCAGTACTGTTTTAGGCCTTTTAAATAACTTGGGATTGAGGGCAAAAAAATGGATTGGCATGTCCCTAAAATTAGTCCTATATTAACAAGGAATTCCACCAATTTTCAAACAATTCTGCAAAATTCAGTGTTTGGTATGAAATAGTGCATTATAGAGAAACTATAGAGCAGCTCAAATAGCCTGTAGTCATTGTATTGCCAGTGAACCTTCATGTGTCTTCTGAGTGTTTATTTGTAATGTTGATACAGGTAAAAGAGTCATAAATGAGATTTTTTTTTTCATGTTTCTCTGTCAACTCTGCAGTTGTATTTACTGTGGCAAATTTGGTATTGGGCAGTTTTTGATTATTATTTAAATGTGTTGAATGTTGTATGCATTTGTGTCAAACCAGCTTTCCAGAGGCTAGTGGCTCATGTGTAATTGTTTGCAGGGGAGCACTCGAGAGCCAGGGTTGTGAACCATTCCTCTATTTTCTAGCCCTGATCCTGGGGTCCCCTCAGCACTGCAGTTTCAACTTTTACTTTCTCCAACACACCTGATCCAGCTCATCAAGTAATTATTGAGCCTTTAATGAGCTACAACAGGTGTGTCGGGACAATTAAAACTATGCAGTGCTGTGGGTTCCCCAGGAGAAGGATTAAACAAACTGCTCTAGAGTCGTGTGTCCCAAACATCAGTTCTGGAGGCCCACCTGCACTGCACAGTTGTTCCCTACATATCATTATCAGATTCTTGCTTCCTCAGTCAGGTGTGTTAAAAGATTCAGATCACAGAAGTCTGGTGTTCAGGTGGACTACAGGGCTGGACTGGAAGAACTAGAGAAAACTTGACCACTGACTGGCAACACCCTTCCACCAACAATACATCCAGCCCGAGGGATTCGTCTTATAAATGGAATTGCCTTTAAGTTTTGAATCAGTGTGCTGGAATATATTGTCTCCCTTTTCTGGAACCTTTAACTGTGCTTGTATAAAGAGGGAACACGGTGTACAAACAGCACTCCAGTGACTGAACCCGCATCTCCAGCACAGCCAGGGAGTTTGTTTTGAATTGCAGAAGGCGCGCTGTGTGGAGAGGAGAGGAGAGGAGGGGGCCATCACACGCACCGCGCAGGCGCTGTAAACCTTGTGGGAATGGCTGTTCTGTGATCAGGGGGTTGGGCCGCGAAGAGCGAACCGAGTCTTAAAGAGTTTTTAATGTCCGCCATGTTGGCCATGGCGTATTGAACCAGGGAAAGGGAGCGGAGCTACTGGGAAAAGTAGACCGAGAGAGAGCGACCAAGATCCGGGCCTTCCCGGCACGGCTCGCCCCGCCATATTAGACCTATAGCCAGTCGAAACCAAAAGCTCCGGGATCACGAAATAAAACCATCCATGACAGCTTTAATCGGATCCGTGGTGAATATTAGGAGATCGGATAGATTTATGCTGCATCTCGAGTTATAAAAAATGAGTAAATTGTCGTTTCGGGCACGGGCGCTGGACGCTTCCAAGCCGCTCCCCGTCTTCCGTTGTGAGGACCTTCCCGATCTGCACGAATATGCCTCCATTAACCGGGCAGTGCCGCAGATGCCGACGGGGATGGAGAAAGAGGAGGAATCGGTACGTTTTGCTGCTTGGAAAAAATGCATTTACCATGTTCGCCTCTTTTCACTATTTCGAGCTGCGCCCCTTGCTCGGCTGCGCAGGTTTGCACAAAATGGCCGCCATCGTTCTCCGGAGATAGACGGCAGTTTTTCATGTTTGGCTCGCGGTGCAGGCGACATCGGACGCACTGCGCCCAAACTTAAGAGAATTAAGTTCTCAATTAAGGAAAATATGACCGTCTGTGTGTGATTTTTGGGGCATGAAACGATTTACAGAGTACAAAGAAGTCACGTGACCACTGGCAGCTCCGCCATTTTGTTGGCTTTCTTCTTGCTCTCGGTGCCGCCGCTGCAGTAGCGAAGAGCGCAAGACAGAGGGACCCAGAGAAACTCAGTATACTGTTATAGGGGTTCAGGCCTCATTCCTAGTCAGGACTGTTGCAACGAAACTAAAGTCAGCTCCTTGTTCGCCAGCTTCTTCTTTGAATTTTCCCGTTCCACCTTAAATGGCGCAGCAGTTACGTTCTAGCGCCTGAGTGTTATTGCTGCACTATTTAAGGTGGAACGGAAATTTCGAACAAGGAGCTGACTTCAGCTTGGTACATTTGCAGTGAGGCTGTAATAGACTAACGAGGAGCCAAACAAACAGCCAGAATCGACTGTTCTTGACGGTGGCTCTTAATGTCTTTGTTGCCGTTATTGTCGTGTCCAACTCGCCGTGTTTGGCAACAAACAATGAGTCAGTCAGCGACACTGACTGACTGTAAACACGAGCAGCAGCGCTATCTGTTAGCTAACCTAGCTAGGTTAGTTAGCCAGCTGCCTCCGTTCGGCAACCGATGCGTAACTAGAAAGCGTCAACATTGACGAGTATCTGAACCTAATTACGCTGCCGTGGTGTGTAAAGTTGGACTTTAGTATTTTTAACCTAAAGATTACACACACTGGGCCTTTATTATATTTTTTCTTTCAATTTTTGGTTGGCCTGGGCCGGAATCGCTAGCTAGCATTGTTGCTAGCTACCTGCCTTGGGTCGTTCAGCTCTTACGGCTAGCGCTCTACAGCTAGACGCTGTTTTGGTGGTTTTCTCCGTAGCTTTAGCCTTATACGCTAAACAGCACAAACTCAGAACAGAGATTTTTCCACTAATTAATTACTGTTTTCAACACCACATGTATGAACAATGGCACAGTAACCCCTCAATGCAAATTCCATTAAACATTCATGGTTTTACGGTATCGTTAGTGTGTTTCTTGTTGTGCTACCTATGCCTTCTTGCTCCACATATTAAAGATGAATTCCCCCGATTTTTCAGAATTTCTTCATAATTAAATGGTTAACATGTGAACTAAGTCATTCAGTGGTTTGGTGTGAAATGCTTCATTCTAGACTTATTGCCGAGTCAGTATTGTTAACTGTTATGGTGATGGGAGCCAGACGTCTGAGGAGTTTAATGCCCCTAAAAGCCCCCTCACGAAGTTATTACATGGAAATGAATATGAATACATTGCCTGGTGTCTGAGATATTGTTTGACAGTAGTTTTGTAATGAGGTTTTTGTTCTAAAATGCATTTTAATCAGTTTATCATAATGTAAGGATGCAAGATGGGTGTTTTAAGGCAAAATAGTCCCAAAAGAAAACTTTACATAGTTATCACTATTTTACCATAATCAACAATACATATAAACTCTGACCTGCGTAGGTTTGATGATGGTGTTGGATAGTAAATAAACTGGGTATATTTGTTGTAGACGTTGCGACCCCTGGTTCCCATCACTGTAAAGAAATGAGTAGACAAGTTCTCCACAAATGCTCCTTTGACAGATTGCTTATAGCCTTCATCATTAAATGCATGGTCACGTCTGGGAGCCCATTTGCTTGAAAAAAGGGTATTTCCATCTCACCTGTCCTGGGTGAATACCTATTGTGGAGAGAAAGGACTTTAGGTGTGAAGAATATGTGCATGTCTCACTTTTGTGGCCGTGTCTGGCACCTTGCCAGAATGATGTTTGTAGTAGTGATGAAAGTCTGAATGTGGTCAGGGAGAGAGAGAGAGACTGACTAAGCATGAGAGCCGTATAAATTTGTGTAAAGATTCCAGTAAAATGGTAAATAGGCTGATCAGGTAGTAGTATAGGATGTTATCAGTGTGGCAGCAGCACGCTAAGAGCCAATTTGTAAGTGCCAGATATTTTATGTGGTTGACTTAGCAATGAAAGAGTAGCTGCTTATTTATTTAGTTAATTATCATCTAGTTCTACAATAAAAGCTGGAGGTCTCATAGTATGAAAAGTTCATAAGGTTATTGCACATTAACAGTTTACTCACCTGCTGCCTGGTCTTATGTGTGTTTCAAGGAGCAAATGTTAGGATGGTCTCATATAGGAATTGTGGGCCAGTGCTGATGTCTGATATTTGATTTATATCTCTGTCAATACCATTACAAAAACATTTATAAATTGTAGAAAGTGACACTACGTCCACTCTGGTTGGCATTGTAGAGATTTATTACATTTATTTCTATAGGGTTATATACACTGTAAAATGAAGATGACATTTTAGTGCAGAAGAAAGTGTTCTGGAGTACAAGAAAAATGACATCAAATGTCAATTTGAAATATTAAGTTTAATAATCTGTCCAATCAAAGTTTTTAGTTTTTGACATCTTGCATTTCCATGCATGTTGTGCATATCAATTGTAATTGTAGATCCTTAAAAGAAATGAAAGACAGGGAGGTGGGGAGGTGTTTGTCTCTGATAATAATGTGAACTTCACTGTGCTATCTGCATTCATTAGGAATCTCACTTTTCATGGTAATTTACAAGCAAAACTGAAGCACAGGTTAGTGTGTCTCTACTCCTGAAGGAATATCTTAGAGCTTCTATCCAGTGACTGTGTGAAGTGTGTTTCATTTTTGAACATGTAAATTTCAGAGCTGAGAATCATAAATGCTGTAAATAAAAAATAAGATAAAATGATGGTGGTTTCACAGCATCTTCCCAGTGCAGAGCTGAGCTGCTAGCATGTTTGCTTTGTCAGTTTGCTATAGTAAGTTTCAGGCTTTCTTCCATAATGAAGTATTCTAAAATAAGACTAATGGTTTTGTTCTGGTCAGAGTCCAGATTTAAACTCTGTAGAGAATATTTGGTCTCACTGTAAACACAGTCTAGCTTTGCAGTGGTGGTGTGTGTGTTTTTTTTTTTTGTTTTGTTTTGTTTTTTGTTTTTGTTTTTAAGCTATTTAAAGCTGAGTGGAACAATGTTAAAGCCCAAAGTTACTTTATCTGATTGTTTAAAAATTTGATGTTAAGAACATTTAAAGCTTAATACTTTGCCATTTGGGGTTTGGCTCTTTTTGAATTTTTTGCTTATTTTCACTTATGAAGAATTTGTAGCTTTTTAAAATGAGGTTTTTTTTTGTTTGTTTGTTTTGTTTTTTTACGTTTTGAGAAGCTGGAACTTGGTCTGGAAACTTAAGTTGAACGTGCATTGAGCTGAGCATTGTTTCTAGATCTAAGCTTTGGAAAAGTCTTAGAAGACTTTGTAGACAAGAACAGGCTGTAACTTTAACAGTGACAGTACTTGTAACTCTTCAGCATTCTCAATCTAAAATAATTTCTCTGCCTTCATTTTGAATACTAAGCTAATTGTGTCTTAGGTCACGGTAGGTTAGAGGGTAGGTTGGTATTCGTTTTTCAAAATGTGCAAGTGGTTTCCTGTCCCGAACCCAGGGAGCCCCTTCTACAGTATAGTTTTCCCTGCTTAGACACATCTGAATTAACTGGTAATGTATTTATCATACACTGTATCATCATGCTGGGTATGTTAAAGCAGGGAAAACCTATGAAACATGGGTTTACCAGACTGGGCCTCAAACACTGAAATAGTCATGACTGTGATTTCTTAGTTTCTCTTGGCCTCCTGTTTCTTACACTTCTGCAACTGTGTGATTATGTGTATGTGTTTAGGAGCACCATCTGCAACGGGCGATCTCAGCACAGCAGGTGTATGGAGAGAAGAGGGACAACATGGTGATTCCCGTGCCCGAGGCAGAGAGCAACATCACTTACTATGATTCCCTCTACGCAGGGGACTTCAAGATGCCCAAGCAGCTTATACACATCCAGCGTGAGTGGTGGGAGGGGTGTGCAAAGATTTATTTAGTGTAGTTTTGTCAGGGCTCTGTCAGCTTGTGTTTATCACCAGAATTAAGTCCCACCGATGCTTGTGATGTATAGCAGCTTTTTGAGAACTGATGTTTGACAACAAAGAATGCAGGACCCTCTCTGACATTTCTTCTGCTTGTCTGTGCAGCCTTCAACTTGGACACGGAACAGCCAGACTATGACTTGGACTCGGATGACGAGGTGTTTGTGACCAAGCTGAGGAAGAAGTTGGAGGTGGGGGCGCTGCAGTTTGAGGAGATGATTGACCGGCTGGAGAAAGGCAGCGGACAGCAGGTAGAGCTGCTGACTCTTGTATAGAGGCTGGAATACTTCTGGAATAAATGTGGAATGTTGGGATGATTATGGGATATAATGTGGAGTTTCTGAATTATTGCATGGTAGCTTTGAATGGGTTGGGAATGATATTGGAACAGAGATGAAAGTTTGAGGAATCATTTAGTTGGAAAATACTTGTTTTTGTTTGTTGGAAAGGTTTAAATGTGCTAGGCCATGGCAGAATCATCTTATTTACATCTGCTCATCAACATTGTGGAGCCTCCATGTTTTCATTGATGTTTTGAATGTTGTTCAATTAAACTAGGCGTTGGCTGTTTGACAAGAACATAGTTACAAAGGTTTTGTTAATGCATGTGTTTATGCATGTTTTATGTTGAGTTAAAAATGAAAATTCAAATACAGTACTGTGATTTTAGTTTGCCACATGCAGATGTGTGTACATCACACAACTACTGTGTCAGTACTGTCATATTTCACCTGAATTTAGCTAGGGTGTCTCTAATGTTCTGTCCTTCTTTTTCGAAATATTCATTTTCAAAATCACTATGTGAAGCACCAATCACGGTGAAGCACCAGAATGTAACCGCTGCTCTGTTTAAGGTGGACCAGAAAATTAAAGGAAGCCAAGTTCAGCCTTATTTTTATCAACTAGATTGATACACCAGAAAACTTGGCCACACGTTGCATCAAACTCATGGAGTTGTGTATAAAGACATTAAGCATCACGAATGGCCATGTTTCTCCTCACCTCTTCTAGCTTAAGAGTAGCTGTCATGTTTTCATATAAAGCCTTTTCCACTGCATGTACTCTTGGCCTCACCGAGATGAGATGATTTACAGGTTGGAAAGACAATGAAAATGTAAAGTGCTCGGATGCATTTTTAAAGGCTTTTTGCCACACAATGAGCGCAGTAGGTGAGAATATGTAATTGCAAAGAGGAGGGGGCTGCTTTCATTTTTGCATTTTAATTTTGAAATCTTTCAAGTTTGGTGTTTTCTTTGATAATGCAATTTAAATGCATTGTTAGAGTAAAAGTGCATACAAGAAATTGTTTTTGATTTTAGCCACAGTTATTGCATAATCGCATTGAGCATAAATATGCTTTTCATTTAAATAAAGTTACTCAAAGCATCTAAATCTTTGTGTAAATAAAATGTCAACACTAGTATACCAAATGGCAAATTAAAATCACAGTAAACAGTTAGAAATAAAGTTACTATGCAGGTACTGCATAAAGCTACTGATCTCTGAGGATTCTTAATGATTTTTCCAGGTCAAAACTTTGTTTTTGGACATGGTCACAGGTGGGGCTGAACAATGTGGGGAAGAAATCTAAATGTGACTTTTCAGACTTACTGCAATTGCAATGTAAATGTGATTTTCTTTAAATTACACTCCAGCAGCCAGCTGCACCAGCGAACATAAGGTTGATCGTAAGTTTATGTAAAGTCCATCCTAAACATTACGTGGAGTGTGGTTAGTTTAAAACTAGCGACACACAGAATTTCGGTTGTACCGCAGACATTTACGGTATATCTCAAATAGTAGTGCATAAATTGATCGTAGATCAAAATGCTGTCGCACAGAATGACACATAACTCTACCTGACATAAACAGGAAACATTACACGTATGATCTCGACGCGCAGTAAATCGCTTGCGTTTCTCTTTGCGTTCCATGTTTACTTCACTTAAGGAATGTCGGTCGTATTAGCTATAATTCAAAAAGAGACTGTTTTATAATAAACTGCTGTCCTTAAAGCATCCCTCTCTTGTAAGTGCGTTTATTCTGTTCTGTTGCTTGGAGTTTAATCTGTTCAAACTGGGTTCTCGTGCACGATATCTTAACGGCACTTTATCAATGAACGGTTGGTACCATTAGCGAAGCTGCGACTAACGTAATCACTGTTTGAATCTGCTGAATGACACAAAGGTAATGTTAGCTATGTTATAGCTTTATATTTTGAAAAGGTCAGTGTCACAACCTGAGCCACTGATGCAGTTATTTCTCTGCACGCAGGTTACTTGTGTACTCAAACAGAGTTACCTACCTGTTTTGGAATGATATCTCTGTGCCAGACACAAAGTAGGTCTCAGGGCTCCGTTCCTGTTTGTGTTGTATAAATCTGCGGCTAGGAGGTCTGTGATCTTTTCTGTCTCCAATGGACGAAAACAGGTGTAATCTGTCCTGCAGAAGTGGTCGTTGGCGCAAACCAAGATGTATTTTATTTTCTTTCAGTGTAACTTCCCATCGATCAAATAGACCAGCCATTTTAACCGTTTTTTACAGCAGAATTTGCACTTTGGTTTTAGCCTGTCTTGCGCTCACTACTTTATATATGGATTACAATGTGAACATCCCATTCTCAGAATAGTATGCTGCATTGGTCATGGTTATTGCAGTCCTAGCAGTTACGTGGTGTATATATACGTGTGTGTGTGTGTGTCTGTGTGTATGTGTATGTATGTGCTAGCATGTATACAGTTCAGTTTTGTGTGTGAAGTTAAATGCTGTCCAGTCATGCCTAGCAAACAGTTGTCATTGCATACTACTTTGGTTTTCTGTGGGTGTGTTTTGTTGTAGTACACTGTTAACAATTGCTTGCTGTAGCCATGTAGAAAAGTCTCATTGGTCATTTTGCTTGTTAAATTGCTGCTCACTGCCAAAGTAGGCAGTTGTTCACGTTGAGTGACAAAACCCACCAGATTCTTGCAGAAATTGAGACTGGGTGCTCAGTACTAAGACATAAGGGACTTGAATTTTGGATGGCCACAGCTGACGATTTTTATATTGTGCCATTGAGGAGAGACAAACGTGGAGGTTTGAGATTGAGGTGGGATGGCTTGTCCCTTTAAGCACCACTGATCTTCTCTTTGCTGTGTTTATTTAGATCATTGTAACTAGGGCTGCAGTGATTAGTCAGCATCAGTTATGAGTGGATGGGGGAAGAGTTTGGTAATGCGTCATTAACTTAACTTTTTGTAGTTTTTGGTAAGATTCACAGACTGCAGGAATTATTGAGAGGAGCATAGCTGATGTTTTGCTCGTCACAGACAGCCATCGATGGTCACAAAGGGATCGGACCTGAAGAAAGCATGTTTAGTCAAATCAAATATGTTAATTATAAGAAAAAATCATTAGTTGCTGCTCAACTGCAGACTGTTATTCACCGTGCTGTCTTCTGCTTTTGATGGAATGTTTTGATCTTCTTGGAATTCATTTCTGGTCACTGAAATTTGATGTTGAATTAGTCTCTGTTTTCCTTCCTCCTTTCTCTTTAGTTGGTGACTCTGCAGGAGGCAAAGCTCCTTTTGAAGGAGGATGATGAGCTGATCAGGGAGGTGTTTGAGTACTGGAGCAAGAAAAGGAAGTCATGTCAGAGTGGATCTCTCATTCCAACCGTGAAACAGGAAAAGCGAGACGGTTCTAGCACAAACGACCCCTACGTGGCCTTCAGGCGCAGAACTGAGAAAATGCAGACGAGGAAGGTGAGGTCAAACATCTCAAGGGCCTACAGAGAGGGATGACATACGTAACTGTTCATTACCTCTTCGTTCATGTTTAGGCTTCATGGCTTCATACATAACATTGATCCTTAATTCTCTTTCTGTCTAGAACCGTAAGAATGATGAGGTTTCGTATGAGAAGATGTTGAAGTTAAGGAGAGACCTGAGCAGAGCCGTCACCATTTTGGAGATGATCAAGCGACGTGAGAAAAGCAAGAGAGAATTGCTGCACCTCACACTGGAGATAGTGGAGAAAAGGTGAGATCTCTGACACATGCATTAACGCACAGAGTGAGTCTGAAAATGCACTCACTGTTCACACACTTGTTCTCTCTGACTAGTGATGTATCAATACTTTTAGACAGGAGTACTATTTTTAGTCCTCGCTGATTGAGTCACACACAATGAATTACCATTAAATCATTAAAATCTCACTGATATTAAACAAAGTGCATGAGCTAGCTATGTAACATTAGTTACCTTGGATTAAGTAGCGCTGCAAGATTGAAGAATGAGATTTGTTTTGCTTCAGAGACGCACTTCTATACGGCTTCAAGCTAATTTCCTAGTTTTGCTCTTCATTGGTCTCTTTCAACATCAGTCTCTGTAGCAAAGTGACTGCAGGAATCGTATCCGATGAGCTCATGTTTCGAGGTTTAAATTTTGTTGAAGTCTGTTTGGCTGGTTGAACTGTAGCTAAACATCCTCTAAAGCAAGACATACAGTGTGTGATTTTCAGTCAGCTTTATAGATGCGGTATGCGGTAATGTATTTATATAGATTTATTGTTGCACCGATAATTGTAGTTTTCTGTGAAGCTGCATACAGTCAGAATTGACTTGATTTTGTGGGAAAGAGTGACACCTTTCTAGATTGATAGCATTGTGTCAACATAGTTGTGTTTTAATGATGTATTTTTGTGTTGCAAAGGTAAATTGTAAGCCTCTTGTAAGTTTATATTGAGCACAGAACAAGAAATGGATTGCTTTTAGAAAGTGTCTGTACCACAGTGACACTATTTTCTGCAGTTGTGCTATAACTTCCACTTTATGGTAAGAACTAAATGTAAGGCAAAGCAAAATAGTAAAACTACAGTATTTGAGGCTTTAGAATGTTGCAGTGAAGTTAAGCCTAATCCATTCACACTGATTCATGCTTGTTGTACGTTTTGAACCCAAATGTGGTTGCAGTCCATCGGAGGTCATTTTGTGCTATATATTACTTTTATGAGCATACATTTCACCAAGCCATACATTTCATATTTCTTCAGATTTATTAAGGGGGAGAGGTTTAGTGGAAAACAATTAAACCAGCAAAGTGGTTTTGTTTGATAATGTTCTGATGCATTTTTCTAATATGAAGAAGTTTACACAAGGTGTCTCTGAGTAACTGGAATAGAAGTGGTTACAACAAAATATTAGCTACTGCAAGTTGTGTGAAGGTGTGTGTTTGTGTTTTTTAGGAATGGCATGGCCGATTTTGGTGGTGAGGTGATGGCAGAAGTTTTGGCTCAGAGGGCTCTGGAGAAGCCGGTGATCCCCCTGATCCCAATCACCAACAGCAACCAGTACAGACACGCAGAGCATGATCGTGACTACAAGAGCAAGGTACCTATGCACACAGCGAACACCTAAAAGAAAAGCAACACAAATGAAGCAGTTGTGAAGGTATAATCAGTTCCCTGTCTATGAAGGACAGGTTTTCCACCTTCCTACAAGGCAGGTGGCCAACCAGTTGCACAGTTTGTTCCATTAATTGCCTGTAGTAACCAGGACTGAAAAAAAGTGGTAGGAGTAAGGCTGCTTAAATAGTTTAATAAGGCTGTTTTAAGAACGGCTCCATGTATGTTGATATTTACCTATCCATGTGCATGTCTGTTCAGGTGGACAAGCCAGAAGTGGTGCGTCAGAAGAGAAAGTATGAGAAGAAGCCGAAGCCGTTGCCGCTGGCTAGCTCTCACCACTCCAGCCCTGCAGCCTTCAACACTAAAGACCTCAACCAGTACGACTTCCCCAGCTCAGATGAAGAGCCCTACTCACAGGTATGCCTCTCATACAAACCACTGTACAGGCCTTCTCTAATAGGATTGTGCCATCTCAGATAGCTACACAGACTCTTTTGTGTTAACAAACTGTGCTGTAATCCTTTAGCTGTTTTCTGGCTCATCGGAGGCAGAAGAGGAGAATGATCCTGATGGTGTGTTTGCATTCAGGAGAAGATCCGGCTGCCACTATCACGCTGTGAGTTTTTCCTCATACACGCAAACACATCTCTTGCTGTCTTGGACATGTTTACAATGTACTTTATTCTATTCTTTATTCTTAATCTCATGCAAGTGTGATTTAGTGTTATTTTTCTTTAAACTTGACCCCTCTCTTTGTCACGTCTCTGTCACAGGTGCGTGAGGGACAGGCTGGTTCCTGGCGTTGGTCAGACCCTGCGGAGGGAGGTTTAGGAGATGTTCGCTACCGATACTCTCTCACCACACTCACAATACCACGACGATGTATAGGGCTGGCACGGCGGCGGGTTGGGAGAGGGGGCAGGTGAGGCTCTAACTCCTACGTGCTTAGTATTAGTATCTATGCTTCGGTGCCAATTTTTCATATAGCTGATGCAACTCTGTGGTGAGTAGTGACTCTAGCAACTCTGTGGTGGCTAGTGAAGTAAATCTCATGCACGCTTACATTTCCTCCAAATAATACTTAGCTTTATTCACACTCAACTAAATTTGTCCAAATTTTTGTTTTGTACTGACAGCTGTTTCTTTGTACCACTGTAATGGAGGTGCCATAAATGGACATTAACCACAACCTCCAGCAGTTTCATAAGTTAACAAACGGTCTAAACGTCTGCAGTCCCAGAAAAAATGCCAAAAAAGAAATGATGAATACTTTTAAATGTTAAGCCGGAAACATCAACGCGAGTAAACAGACGTAAATGACATTGACTGGACAACACATTGCAAATGTCTGGTCTTTTTGTACATGAATGTGGTTGTTAACACTCCATACTTAAGGGCGCAATGGAGGACAAATCAGAACGGGATCTACTGTTATTCCAGCAGCTAAACAAGTAGGCAGTAAAAGAGTGTGAGCTACTTGTTTTATTGGAATGAAAGGCAATGATGTATCATGTATGTTACAGCAAACTTGCGTGGCATTGTGAATGGCGTTTATAATTAGAATGCATCAACAAGCAAAACAGTGTTTGTATAACTTTGTCAGTGTTCACGTCCTTGCATGAAGCATGTTTCTGGCCCAAAAAGTACTTTGGCATACCTTGCCTACAGTGAATTGGTTGCACACTTGAAGTGTGCAGCTACAAAAAATACAAATTACATCTGGCTCAGTGTTTGTCAGTACTATATATTATAGGAGTTGAGGACAGTTTGGGGTTAGAGGGACCAGATTGGCACATCCATGGTTTTTACTGTGGTATACGTTGAGCGGATTTCTAATTCTTGTGATCTTTATAGGTAGGTAGGTAGATAGAACTTATGATGTATCTGTGTCTGTCCTGATGTCTGTTGTTTGTGTTCTTAGGGTTTTGTTGGACCGAGCCCACTCTGACTGGGATGCTGTCTATCATGGGCTGAACCTGGAATCCCCTGCATCTCCCGCTCCCTCACCCGCCCACCAGCCTTTTACTACTTATACCTCGCACACCTTCGTCAGTACCTCCTCCTCTGCTTCTGCTCCTTCCTCTTCACCCTCCTCATCCTCACCGGACCTCTCACAGATCCTTCGGAATATCAAAGCCAGCCGCTGGAGGCACTTCAGACCCCGACCAGCGCTGCTCAATGACCCCGACAACCCTCAGCCTGGTTTTGCACGGAGACCTGGCCGCGGCCACCTCATCCAGCCAATCAACACGCTTACACGAAGTCGAGCCAACAGCAGAACGCTACCCCCTCCACCCACGCCTGGTGAGCGAGAAAGTGTTGTTGCTTTTATATGTAGTGAATGTTCAGGGAAGGTGTGTCCAACCCTAGTCCTGGTGATCTATCAGCATGGAGAGTTCAGTATCAGCACACCTGGCTTTAACATTCATTTATATTACTGGTTATTATTCGTGATGTAAATAAAAAAAAAAAAAGCAGCCCTGGTATTGACACCTTCTGTGTGTGCCATAGTGTTCACAGCTGAGCAGTACCAGCAGCATCAGGAGCAGCTGGTGTTGATGCAGAAACAGCAGCTGGAGCAGGCACAGCAACAGCAAAGAACCAACGCCAACACACAGGTGAGTTTTTGTTCGTGAGCATTGAGCACACATGGTGTGGTTATGCTAACTGCTATAAATGTGTCTTTTATGTTAGCAGTGTCGCATTGTATGCACATAAACTCCCAAATTCACAACAGATGCATGACATCATCACATAAGCGCAGTGCAAGTGAAATACAAGCAATTGTTGAACACCATCATCGCCGGTGGACAGCCCAAACAGCTGTTTATTGTAACAAAATCACAGCTTTATTGATGTTGCTTTCAGACAAGGTTAATCTCCGCACACTGTTAGTACAGTGCAAGAGCTGCCCTGCAAGTACTAGGCCAACAAGACCATAACATTTTAGTATAATCAAAACAGTGGGGCAGAGCAAAAGGGCACGCATACATCTTGTGCATCCAGTGAATGTTAAAACGTTCATTAATATGAAAGTGTGTTTGGTGGGCGGATTTTTATTTTTTATTTATTTATTTATTTATTTTTAAAACAGGATGGATGATGGTTATTGATGCCTGGTGATTGTAAGGGAGGTGTTTGGAAAAAGTTAGCTTCAGGAGGAAAACGTGTAACTAAAAGACTAATATTGCTGTTTATCTTTTTTTTTCTTTTCTTTTTCTTCAGAGCTCGTCATCTAATATTTTAGACTCTGCGAGTGCGCAATTTGCTGCTTCTGCACTGGTGAACACAGACCAGCTGATTGCAGTGAAGAGCAAGGAGGAAGGAATTCTGGGAGTTGGAGTCAACGGAGTTGTATCGGCCTCAGGTGAGAAACAGTAAAGGCTCCTTTTAGACCTCTGATGAAATGTTACTCTCTTTAGTGGGGTTGCTACTGGTTTAAATTATTACGTTTGAGAAGTTAGACATTATTTTATCAGGTTGGTAGAGTTGGCATATGTCGATCTAACATAAGGACGACTTCCTGTGGTTGGTTTATTCACATGTAGTTGCTGAACCCGAGAGAATTCTGTAGTGCGTTGATTCTCAATCTTCGCTTTAGGAGACTGTGCATTTGTTTTGCCTGCTCTAATGCACTTGTAACCAACTGATTAATTAGCGATGTAAAAGAAAGACTCCATGTAGCACATGTCCAGAGCACTTGGGCCCAGTGTTCTCCAGCAAACCTAAACGTTGGGCTGGTATGCCATACCTGTGTGTGATTTGTTGGGAGTCTCTAGAATTTTCTGTATTTGAGCTGGTACGTGTGGCTTTTCAGTTTATATGCTGTGAAACAGTAACGCCAACGGTGTTGAAGCTGTATCTTGTGTGCTAAAAAGCATGATCAGTAAGTAAACCATACTTCCCATCTCTCTCTCTGCGCAGGAGTATACAAGGGCTTGCATCACACGAGCACAACCTCCGCCAGCCCCACCCCCTCCTCTAACCACCAGTGTGACGCCCCTACCTCCACCCCCAACAACGGAACCTCCTCAGCCAATCATCACGTTGGCTCTGCCAGCCCCGCCCCTGCGCAGGCACTATTAGCTGGGGCTGTAAGAGTAGGCGTGCCAACGCCAGCGGCAACACTGAGTGTGCGGCATCTCCAGCGGCAGCTCACAGTCCCGGCCTCCGCCCTCAAACTCGCCGCTAATGCCAACAGACAGATCCCGAAAGTCACAGCAGGGTCAACTGCCCTCGACATGGGGACCAGGTGAGGGAATGAGGGAGCGTGTGTGTGTGTGATGAGGAATGAGACATGGATAAGAGTGGAGCGTGATGGACAGATTCAGGATTTTGTTGACCCGGTATGCTTCATTCCAGTTTATCAGGTCAGATTAAACGCTGGTCGTGTGTGTTGGGGCCAGGAATACTCTAAACTGCAACCCAGGGGCATATTTTCCACTGTAGGGCAGAATGGAGAGCAACAGTTTGTCAGTGTTGAACCGCTACTTCCTGCGTGATTTCAAAACTAAAACCAATCAAATTAGTTCTGTTTGCTTACATGTTTGCCAAGTAAGTGAAAGCAGTGGCTGCACAATTTTCCATCCATTGTTTTAAAAATGTCATACCATTTAATCTCACAACTGCTTAATGTGAAATAGTGCTTTAAACTAGGGGAGAGGAGATGGTTAGCATAGCATGCTAACAGCTCAGTTTTTTACAGAACAGGTTGGATTCTGGCTATGCTAACGCAATTTAGATGATAATGACTCATATCTGAGGGAGTGAAGTCTATCTTCTGATGTTGGGATGACAGAAAGCCAAAGTCACACTTGTTGCATGGTGTTTGCATCTGTAGCCTGCTAGCTATGCTAATGCTAGCTGACTCCTCCCTACTAGTTAGCAACACTTCTAGTTAGCTTAGCTAGCAGGCTACAGATCCAAACAGTGCCACATGGTGGTGTTGGAGACAGAACGCCAAAATCAAAAGTTATGGGGTGTTTTTGAGCTGTAGCCAAAGTGCCGCTCACCACAGCACAGGCTCAGTTCCACCTAACTGATGCTTAAATAACACGTGTAAAGGATAAAACTTCATCTGAGAGCACAGTGTTTAGTGACTGGTGTTGAAGTGACAGCTGGTTTGTGGTGTTACTAGCTTGTTTGCTGAGCCTCTCCAGAGATTGTAAAAACATAAGAGAGTTTTCTTTCATTTTTTCCTGGCTCTGCTTTGGCAGCACAGCAGATGAAAAAAGAAACTGTAGCTGGTCTCAAAGTCTGCACCAGCACAGAATGGCACTATATGCTGTTTGAACCATTTGGCTATTCAGTGGGAAACATTATTGTGGTAAATTACGTCACGATATGCCACAGTGCTTTTGTGGATAAAGTCACTACTTAAACACTTCTCAACTGCATGTTGGACTGCAAAGTGTTCATAATAGCTCCTGTTTAATTCACTTTGGTGCAGCTTGGTGTGTGACTATTGTGACGCATTGTTTGTTGTGAAATTAAATTTTAGGCATATTCTGCCATTTCTAGTTGAAAGATGTTGCAAGACTTTGCGTCCCCAGAAGCAGAATAGAGGCATTTTGCCACCAGGCAGTGTGGCTTGTTACAGATATAAAACCTGTAACCAAATCTCCGCTGCAAAGTGGCCTGTACTGTACCTGTGCTGAATTTGGATACCTTTCCTGCACCAGTTGTACCAAGTTGGGATGTATGGCTGGAGTTAGAAATAGTTTGACTGCTGGGCAAATGCAACAGTCAGAGAATCATCACACGCCCACCATTCACTATACACACAAACGAAATGTACAGTACAAGCTGAATCATAATTATAAACTTGTTCCATCGTTGCTGCCATTTGACTTTACTGTGAACAGCAGGTCTGTATGAAGATATCACATGGCCTGAGAACCCTGCCTAGTTTTACTGTTCTGTAATGTGGTGGTAGGAGGACACAAGGACTTGACCAGGGTATGAATCATAGTGGGTTTGTATTAGTAACTGTACTGTGCTGCACCTTTTTAATACCTGGAGGAAAAACACAGTAAGACACAGACCTGTGAAGGTGGACATGGCCTGTCTTGGGGTACTGCGCCTTTCAGGGTCTAAACATAACCTAGAATCCAGATAAGCAAGATCTCCCAAAGCTCAGGAAGACGTCTAACTCTGTTTCATTTTGTTTTAGGGAAAACCACGATCAAGAGAAGCCAACATTGAACAGTATAACGGAAAACACAGTAGCCATGGAGGTTACGTAGCCCCACCGGCCCTGCACCCCCTTCCTTCTCCCGCCACCCCGACATTTGGGGCATCTACTCTAGGTGCTGTGCATCGTAGTGACGCTGTGTTTCCATGGCAACCGTTGGGACTTTACTGCAATGCTTGTCTTTTTTTTTCTTTTTCTTTGTTACTGTTAAAAAAAAAAATATCAGCATCTGTAAATTATGAAATAAGGCATTTATTCTATGTACAGTACTACATATTTGTAATATGGCCCTTTGTATATAACATTACTTGAATACAGAAATTGTTCATTTGTGATGTTTTGCACTTGGGGGAAAAAATGAGAAAAAAAAGACTAACTGCGACTTTGTTAGAGTGAATGGTGGGGTGTGTGTGTATGTGAGGTATTGGTTTTTGTGTGTATGTGTGAGAGAGAGAGAGAGAGAGAGAGAGAGAGAGAGAGACATCACATGCATGGTGTAAAAACCTGCTGTTTTATCTATTTATTGTGAGGTGTTTACAGGATTTTTTTTTCGTTTCTTTTTTATTATATACACTGTAACCTCTTGGGTTTCCGTGCGTGTGGGTGTGGGTGTCCGTGTGTAACCGTTTTATGTGAAAGTTTCTTGTGAAAAGATGCAGGGTTTTTTGCTCACTCGTTCTCTCTTCCCTTGTTATGTACCACAATCAGCTCCTCTTCATCATAGTCATTCGTCTCTTGCCATTCTCAAAGATCCTGAGACACGTGTCTGAAGCCTCCTACAAACAGCTGCTCCCTCCCTCTTAAAGCACTATTTTTTTTCTTTTTATAATTAATGCTGCTTTTATGTTTTGTTTCCTTTTTCTTTTTTTTTTCCCAGACTAATTTGAACTTTGGAGAGAACGGAGTTATTGTTGGAATCGCTCCTCCTGTGTCTTTTTGAAGACTTGATTGTATGGTTCCTGTGTTGTTAGGCTTCAGGCCCCCTGCCTGCCTTGCCTTTTTTTTTTTTGGGCTGGTAACTTAGGATAAAAGGGAGAGGACCGCAGTGAAATCTCTGTATGCATCATCATTCCACTTTGTATGAAAAAAGAAGAAAAAAAGCGAACAAAAAGGATTTTTTTTGTTTATTATTTCCTGTAAGAATTCTCCAGAGCCACCAGACGTTGTGGTGCCTTCCTTTGGGAACTGCGTGAGCTCTCTTCCGTGAAGAGGACGGTACTTCACAAGGCTACTCTGAGTTGTTCTTTTGTATGTACCATGATCTGAATGCCCATTACAAGGCATAATCAACTCTTGAGGTTTTGTTTTTGTTTTTTTGGTTTGTTTTTGATGTTCTCCCTCCCTCCCTAGTCCCACATGGAAGATTAAATTCTTGGAAAAAAAAATTGACTACATATGAAGAAAAATGTTCAATAAAGCCAGGGCATTAAGTGTTCGACCAGCACAAACCTGTCTCTCCATCTCTTTCTTTTCTGGGTGCTTAGAACTGGATCCAGTTTCTAAAGGCCATAGAAGTAAGTCTAGTAAGAAGGCAGAGTAAAAGGTAGAACTAAAGCCGTAAGGTGAAAGAGCTCAGTAGGAGAGTCTGAGTTTGGGATCTAGCTTTTGGTTTAGTCTTGAAGGGAGAATTCATGGTGATGGGAACTAGACGTCTGAAGAGTTTAAAGCCTCTGAAAACTAATTCAAAAGTTATTACATGAAATGGCTGCAGATACGTTGCCTGATGCCTCAGACTGTTTTATGATAGTTTTGAGAAGCTTCTGGCCTGAAATATTTTATTGAATTCATTCATGGCGCAAAAGAGTGCATGCAAAGCGTTTTCAGGCAAATTAGTCCCCAAAGAAAACTTGCTTTTTCAAATTTGCCACGGTCTTATCAACATTACGTATAACAATGCAGAAGACGTGTAGGTTCACTTGTAGTTTTAGGTACTAAATACCCATCACCACCTCTGCGAAATGTGAACTGATATGTTTCTCCATCATTTCACATCACAATTAATCTGAATTACTTTGGTAACCAAGCAATCGTATCTTCGCAGAATCACTCGGACACCTCCAAACACTGCGCAGGTCATATCAGTCACTGCAGTTTCTGAACATTTAGGGGCCCTAAGTGACATCCTGCTTTGGGTCCCCTCCCCTGCCCCAGTCATATTCTTTAGTATGCAAGAACAGAAAAAGATTTATATTAGAAATAAACATGAAAAAGTTTCTACTGTCACTGTCTTTTCTACGATGGGTATGTAGCCCTGATTATCTATACAAATGTCTGTACTGTTCACTCCACATTCTCTGTATTTGCTGTATTAGACTTGTAATACAGTAATCTGTTCATTTATTCAAACAGGATTGCTGGGGCTGCTTTGCTCCACAGCTGATTTCTGGATGGAGTGTTTTGTGTAAACAGGGCAGCATTTACACAAAACATGGCATCTTCAAGTGAAGGTCTTTCAGCACCTTTCAAAGATGTTCACAATTTAAGCTTCAGCAACATTGCAGTTTTAGCTTGTTTTCCAAGGACACCAGTCTTAAGCCCTGAAGGAACCAAAATAAAACACCCACACCAAACACAAATTGCATGTAAGCACAGGATTTTAAAACCAGAAGCTTGCGTCCTCTAGAGTACACAGATGGTACTGCAGTAGGTCATTCTCTCTGGTTCCAGCTGTTTACACAATCATCTGTTAAATATTCAGCTGCTTTCTGAAAATGACCAACATGAGCAATTAGTGAGCTTCAAATGCATCTGGACACACATTAGGTAGCACATTCGATATTCTCTGGATATGAAGTCACAACTGTGAAAACCATCTGTACGTTAATAATATTTTAATTCAGATGATGCTACAGCCTGTCTTTGTTCAACTGCCTGTCCTTTGCATGTGATCAATTAACATGTCTATGGCTTCAGTACAGGCCTGTAGACATTTAGTTTCTGCTTCTCATCAGAGGAAAAGAAATTTGCAAACTGCAGCTGGACAGCTGTGGTGCTGAGTTGGATTAGCCTGGTAGCTAGTGAGTGTAGTCTGTGACTTCTTTTACACAACTTAGCCAACACCAGCTGTTCTCAGTGCTGGAGTCCCACTGATTCTGCTTAGTTTAGTATTTGAGATGTAAACAAAGTAATTCAGAGTGGTTTGGTGTGAAATGGTGCACTATAAAAAAAAAAAAAACTCAGAAACCTACAAATAATCTATAGTCATTTTTTTTTACCAGTGAAGCTACACGTGGCTTCTATCTATGTAATGTTAATGGTGAAATAGTGGTAAATCTGAAAAAATTACTTTTCTTGGGGAACTGTGTCAACTTACAATGCCCTGCGTATGCCACTCTGCCCTGAACAGACGTTATTCATCAACATTTTAGGCCAAAACCTACCCTCAAAACTATCATGAAACAAGGTCTCAAGCATCAGGCTGCATATTTCACATCAAACCTCTGAATGATTAAGTTCACATCTTAACAACTGAATTATGCTGAAAATGTGAAACATGTTATTCTCTTAACTGTCTGGATCAAATATGTGAGAACAAGACTGGAACTGAGCCATGTTAAACGTTCAGGCAGTATGGACCGTCATGTGTTTGTCCTATTGCCTCGGGCAGCACTCCTTGTGAGGTGGCCACCATCCTCACGCTGTTGCAGTGCCGCAGCTGCCGCTCGTACTCCTGCAGTTGCCTCCAGAAGCCAGCGTTGGGCCGGATGAACGGCCGGGCCTCCAGAACCCGCTGGTGCGCCTGCAGCAAAGAGAGCCCTTCGTTCTTTATGAGGAAGGCCATGACGAGCGCTGGAGACCTGCTCCTGCCTGCGGCGCAGCACACCAGCGTGCTGCCGCTGTGGTTCTGCTGGATTCGCTCCACCACGGCGTCGAAGTGCTGGGCGAGAGTGGCGTGTGGTTCATCCCGGACAGGAACACGGACAAGCTCCACACCCGCAGGCTCTGGAAACAGCAGCTCATCTGTGGCGAGAACCAGCAGAGTAACCCGCCTGTGAGCGAGAGCAGCTGGGTTCACGGCCTCCACACCACTCAGGTAGAGAGAGGGTGTGATCTGGGAGATCACCATGGAGCCTGGAACCACCTACACAGACGAGATATTATATTATATATATATATGTCCACATTTATTCATTATCATGGTAGAAACCTCTCTGTTCACAAGAACAAAGTTCAAAGCATCAGTACAGGGATATTAGTCTTGATATTACTTGATATCAGATCGAAAAGAAAACGGGTGGTATCAGCCACCCCTACAAACTAGAGGTGGGTGATATGGCAAAAATATAACATTGTGATACACAATGTCACAATATTTATTTTTTCAGACATCTTATCAGTTCGAGCAGGAAAAAAAAACAACCAGCAGTGCTGCATTTTAAAAAATGACTATCAAAAACTGATTTTGAAACAATATTTGTCATGCAGACCTGCAATGATAATCAGTTAAAGGGGAACTCCACAGATTTTTCAAAATATTTGAGTAATTAAATGGTTGACATGTCAGCAAAACGATTGAGTGGTTTGATGTGAAATGCTTGTTCACAGTGTTCACAGTGGTGGTGATAGGAACCAGACGTCCAAAGTGTTTAATGCCTCTAAAAGCTCCCTCACAAAAATGCAGTTACAACATGAAATGGTTATGAATACTCAGCCTGATATTTGAGACACTGTTTTACAGTAGTTGTGTGATAAAGTTTTGGTCTAAAGCGTCTTTTAATCCATTTGTTTTAATTCATTCTTGGTGGAGGGATGCATGAAGGTAAAAAATAGTCCCCAAAGAAAACTATTTTTTTCAGATTGATCATTAGTTTACCATCATACACATTACATATAAAACTCAGAGAACTCATGTAGTTTCAGTGGTGGTTTTGGATAGTAAATACAATGGCTATATTTGCATTGCAGACACTGAGACCCCTGGTTCCCATCACCACCACTGTAAAGAAATCAGAGTTGGTCAATTTCTGTACAAATTATTTATTTCACATCAAACCACTCAGAATAATTTTGTTTACATTTAAACATTGAATCATGCCAAAACTTTAAAAAATCGGTGGAATTCCCCTTTAAGTCTCCAAATCCTGCAGCACCGCTGTGTCTGATCCACCTGTAAAAGCCACCACGCCAGTGTCACTGAACTACTGAGAGTGATCCGCCACCGAAATAACAGGCGACCTGCTCTGTGGTGGGCCTGTGGGGGTCCTGACCATTGAAGAACAGGGTGAAAGAGGGCTAACAAAGTAAGCAGAGAAACAGATGGACTACAGTCTGTAATTGTAGGACTACAGTGCTCCTATCTTGTAAATGCAGCTGATGAAATGCACATTGAAAAACGAGGAGGTGAACCAAATAAAGAGCCGGCGAGTGTAGGAACGGTCGACTGCAGAACATCAGTCCAGTTAACACAAAGCACTACAGAGAAAACTGACCTATTAAACTCGGGTTTAAAACAATTCGAATACAATAACCTCTCGGGCTGCTGGGACACGCGCGAGGCTGAAGTTGGCTTCCCCTTGCCCGGCTTCTCGTTTGAATTCTCCCGGTCCACCTTAAACGGCGCAGCAGGTACATTTGAACATGACACTGGATAGTAAAAAAATAACTTCAGCTTCGGGGGAAACGACGCACCGCCGCTACAGTACAATGATAAACAAATTCAATTCAATGTCTGCCCAATCAGGACTGAACACATGTAGTCATAACTAACTAAAGTTCTGGGAGAAACGTCGCTGCTCCTCCGGCGTTAGCTACAGCAAACCCAACAAAGTCCAGCGTTACTGCAGTGAACACTGGACAACACCTCCTTTCATTCCCAGTAAGTAATGTAGGATTGTGAAGATTCATTTGCGTCATGTACAAAAGCTTTAAAAGCGGAGTACATACCTGGGTAAGGTCTGCTTGGTGAAGACAAGGCTGGCTGTCTTACTCGCCCGCGGTCGAGTGACAGCGGCTGCTGACTGTAGCGATCAGCTGCGTGTTTATAAGGAGAACGGAGCTGGCGGTTTTAGTGCTGGAGCCCCCCAGTGGTCATATTAATGTACTGCAGACAGAGTCCACGCAGGCGCAGTAGAACACGACTGAGGAGGATCACAGCACTTCAGCTGTTTTTGCTTCTCGCGCCTGAACAAACGATTTAACCTATTAAATAATCCACACATTAAAGGGGCTCCACCGATTCTTCTCTCGGATTTCTTCAGGATGGTCGTAAAGGGAACCAGGGGTCACCATGTCTACAGCACAAATACAGACAATTTTATACTATCGAAAACCACCAGTGAACCTACGAGTGTTTTTATATGTAATATTAAATCTAAAAAAAAATGTAGACTGCTTTGATCTGCAACATCTTGCCTATACAGTAGTGTGCAAAAGTTTGAACACCCTTGGTCAACACGTTTTGCTGATTGCTGTTAATTTGCTGATAAACATAATTTAATAAAACAGAATTTAAATGTGCCATAACCTTTGCACCAGCCACGTTTTGTATTTTTTTTTTTTCAATTTTCTGTAACTTACTTTTCTTATTTTAATTTACAAAATCAACAAAACATGTAATCTGAACAGGGGCACCCAAACTTTTGCATAGGACTGTTCCTCTGTACCCTGCATTTTTCAGACCTTTTTTAGCCCTTCTTAAAATTTCATTAAACAAAGTCTCAGGCATAAGGCAGTAAGTATATCTGTAACCGTTTCATGTAATAACTTTGTGTTGCCGTCTTCAGATGTCAGGTTCCCATCACCACCACTGTAAACAACTGATTCAGTAGTTATCTAGAACGCAGCATTTCACATTAATCCACTCTAAATGGCTGTTTACATCTTAATTATTTGATTATGCAGATATTCTGAAAAAACTATGAAAACTACATATTTGATCATTCATTCCTTACGTTTTCAGAAATGTTTAATACTAAAAAAGTTTTGTTTTTTTTAAGAGATACATCTAAGATTCCATTACTGTTCTCACCCGATATACTGCACATGCAGAGTTTAGATCCAACCCTGACCGAGTACTGTTTATAAAAATCAGACACCTGAACAATTAGTACGCCTTCAGGATCATTAACCTTTAGCCGATGATTAACTGTCATGCAAAAAATAGTGATTAACTATATAATCGTCTTTTCTTGTTCATTGTAAGCAACTATTAAAGTACAAGGCTAAAGTGGCCAAATTGCCAGGAAGCAAAATCAGCCAATGTTTACAAATGAGCCGACACTCGTTGTTGAAATGGTGGACTACACTGTTGTCTACAGTCACACAGAATCATGTGTACAGTCCAGCAATTCTGCTTTAATACATACTGAAAACAGAATTAGATATAAAGCTAATAAACATTACTCGTACTGCCCTCTAAACGTTGGAGCACCAAGTTTTTTTGCTGTTTTCATAAGACCCATTCTGTGTCTCAATGACTGTCACATTAACCACTTTCTTTTATTCACATTTGTTCACCTCAGCCCAGCCCACCCAATTAATAATTTGCTTGTTGCAGCAAGAAAGAATCCAACAACTGTGGGAAACAATGCGGTTGGCTTAAAGAACTACAATCATTTCATATAACTGATCATTTTAAATAATTGCAACTTAGTGATTAAGTAATAGCTGTGACAGACCAACTGATGAGATCTGTTATCTGTCAGATCAGGAGCCGAGCACGACTGCAGTTTGATCCCCAGCATCCAGTCTGAAAAAGTCTAAGTTTGTGAGTGAACACTGAAGGAGATCTTAAGTGGAAAAGAAAGGTCATTATACATCCATACTTTTTTCCTCTAATAAAAAAAAAAAATCACGTGATATGCATGAAAATGTCAAACATCTCTCAATCGATGAACTGAAGACTGAGACTGTGACATCACATTTGATCATAATTATTTAATCACACATACATGTACATCATGCAGTCCCTCCAGAAAAAGGTAACATCATTCTAGTCCATCCCTCCCCTTTCCCTTCCCCTTCAGCATGAACCGTCCGTTTGTGCCCCTTTTTCTCTTGGAATGATCCAGTGCCTTTCTCCATTGGTCACTCCTCCTGTCAATTACTGATGGAGTTTCTCTTACACAGTAATAAAAGCAGCTAATTTTCTTCAAGCTTAACGCAAAATATCATGACAGCTTCGATGAAGAGCCAATATCGGTAATTGGTAACCAGTTGGAAGGGAAAATCTGGGGCTATTACACAGGGAGTATTGCTGAAGGGCATAAATCAGCCAGATCAGGAGTGTCAAAATGAACACAGAAACCACAGCTAACCGCTAACTAGCTAACAAGAGCTAGCTACTCATTTCAAGTCCCAGTAAGCAGAGTTGAGAACTTGTGAAGAAAATGGTTTTAAATCATTAGAGGCTTATGGCTACATAGAAACTGCAGGCGAAATGATGCTCATGTTACGTTTATAGTGTCATTGGAATTGCAAATTTTTTTAGGATCAACAATACGGTCATTCAACTCCCTGTTGTGGTGAGAATTGGTTTCAAGGGGAAAAAACAAACAAACAAACAAACAAACAAACAAACAAACAAAATCAGTCTAAACAGGCAGCTGGTAATACAGTTACGTGGTTGGGGGGGCTGTGGGGGTCAGCAAAGACCACACATTTGCCATTTGCCCAATAACCAGACTGCAGGCAGGAGTAAAAAAAAAAGCCCAAGACTTCTGCTAAACCAAATGGCTGATTGGTAGCAGAGGCAGGGTGCCGTCAACTTACAGATGTGCACGAGAATAGACATTTTAATAGGAATGGATGATAAAGACACACACCACAACAGGTGGTTTGAGGACCGACTGCTCTGAATTTCTCATTCTCTTCATCCGTGTGAGGCATCGCAGTGTGAGAAATCATTTCATACTCCACTCTACAGGAGAGGATCTCCAGCCAAGTTCACTTTCTTTCTGAACGCACCAAAAGCCTCAGTGATCATGTTTTAAAATGTATTTTAAAATGAATGTGTTCATCTAGAGTCAAGTTTGATTAATCACCACTAGAGTCCTTTACCACTCCCCCACCCGACCCTTTTCAAAAATCATTAAGTTAATTTCTTACAAAGTAAAAACCATCAACCATTATCTGCTTCAATACAACTGTTACAGTCACTCTATGTACAGCAGAACTGTAGTGGTAGATAGAAAGACGACAGAAATCTACTTCATATGTGCGAACGGCGCATAACTTTTCTTGTCGGATCTCATCTCTTGAGTTCCAGAAGCTAAACATCAATTACTCGGACCACAACGAGCTCGACAAGGTCACTAAACGTAGTGGAACCAGTGCGGAGAGCAGCCAAAGACGTGTGATCAATAATGTGCTGACGTGTTTGTTGCGCCTGATGAAACCCGCCGTACACGAACGGCTCGGTGTGGTGCAGGGCAGCGTGAGAATGAGAACAACTAACCGCAAGAGAGAAGTTAACCAAGGTACATTCAAAACTGTTCAGCGTTGTGGCCTGTTTTGCTTAACTTGCTTTGCTTATTTCTTACTTGTGGATTTTGTTTTTGTATGTGTGTATACCTGTGCGTGTGTGTGTGTGTGTTCATAAAATTATTTGTTTTTGACAGAAGGAAAAAAAATATGGGGGGAGTGGAACTGTACAGCCCATGAATATTCATATTTAAAACTCCTCCCTCGTGCGCATGTGGGAGGGATCCTGTTAATGGAATGAAAGGGTTCCATGGTGACATTTGCATTCTGCATCATCCGTGGTAAGCAAGCAAAGTCCTCGTCTTCAACTGAGAGGAAAACAAGAATGGAAAAAAAAAAACATTAGAATACTGTTAGATCCTGTATTTTTCCTTTTTTCACTCACTCATATCTTATATTTCGCTCTAGCCATTAAATATCCCACTGTCATAACTGTAATAGTACCTCTTAGTTTTTTGATCTTGCAGTGCATAAAAATATTTTAACAGTAATTTAATTGGTAACTTTAAAGCATGCATGAAATTGAGAAGGCTTCAGAAACATGAAGCTTGATATTACTACACTAAATGTCCAAAAGTATCCAGATACCAGCTACTTTAAAGATGCACCCATTACTGATGCAGGCATCCAACAGCTTATATAATCTCCACAGAAAAGCATGGTCAACAAAAAGGGATCTGGAGCAGCTGCACATAAGCCATGGTCACCATGCCTAATGCCAAGCATCAGCCAGAGGGGTATAAAGCCCCTCAGCATTGGGCTGTGGAGCAGTGGAACTGTTCTCTGGAGTGAGGGACTTTTATCCAACACTTGGGATGAGTTGGAGTGGTGTTTGTAATCCAGAACTAAACATCCAACATCAGCACCTGACCTCACTAACGCTCTCGGCTGAAGAGCCAAGAGCATTAGTGGCTGTTTTAATTAGTAAGGCTATTTCTCCTGAAGTATGGATACTGCCATGCTTTTTTGTTTGTATTTTTATTTGCTGACCTCATCTATCCTTGCTTTCATCTTTCAACTTCCTTTCTTGTTCTCATCCTCTCTTTCAGTCAGTTGTAAGGGGTCTGTCTGAAACTCCAGTTTCTATTTGCTACATCACTGGTCAGCCATACACGACAGAGAATCATGACACTCACTAGGTGGGATTTACCACTAGTTTTATTAAATTTCAAACTGGATTTTGTTTACTTTCATTAATATCAAAGCTTCTAAACCTCACAAACCTCTTCTCTTGTTTGTTGGCTGCACCTCCTCTGATAGCGGCTGGTTGGCTGTTTTGGAAGAGGCTGCCACCCCCTCCTCCACGGACTACGTTTGGGTGGGTGGGAGAGGCTACAGGAGGCTGCCCCGGGCGGATGGGTTTAGCTGGGAAAGAAAGAGAGAGAAGGTGGATTTGAGGCTTGACCATGCCTCGGTACAAAAGAATACACATGAATCCTTTCCTGCGATTATCTGCTGGTGTGTGTGTACATAAACTCTTGTCACTTGGCCAAGTTTCACTCGTATCACACAATCAGCAACAGGCTGATTTATTTTTTTGTTGTCCTACTAGTTCTAACTTTACAATGTGATGTAATGTGAACCAGCTGAGTGGATTTTGTTTCCCATTGCTACTTCTGCTAATGAAAGTACTAGAAATTAGACCATTAGACCAATTGTGATCATTTTTACTATTCAAACATTCCAACGAGAAGCTATTTTATATTGTCATTCATGCGAAGTGCTTTTCTCCACTACCTAGCCCAACCTGTACCAGCATAAAATAAAGAAAATGATATTACAGTAGCTTCATGAACATTATGTAGCAGTATTTAATGTAGAAACCTTCACAGACATCTGAAGCTTGTAAAATATGTGTGAAACACATTCGTTACTTTGCATGTAGGAGTTTTCGGTGAAACCTTTGGTAAATTTTGTAGTAGCACAACTCTATGTATTATTGAAGGAGCCTGTTAACCTATTTGCTATCAGCCGAGCTGGTCATTAAACTGCATAACCCACTTAAGAATTTGGTTTTGTTTATGCCTGCAGACACATGTGCATTCGTGCTAGAAATGTGCTGGGACCCGGCTGATGCAATGTTACAGGCTATAAAAACCATGGTAGTGGATTAACAGAATGTCATGTTCTCTCAAACACAAAAATTATGGTTATGGTCAGTGTGTGCCTGTCCATACTTATGTTTTTCATATCCGCATTCAAGTGCAATGTCCTTGAAAATGTCCACAAAATTAATTACAGGAACCGTCTGACCTTACCATAAACGTGGATGCATGTAAACTTACCTATCTGTGCAGAGTGTCCGCGACGGGCCATGTTCTTGGCTCTCACTGCCTCTTTGATGCGGTCCACCTCCTGTTGATAGCGTTTACGGTCACGCGCTGCATTCTCTTTGGCTTCCTTTAATGCTGACTCCAGAGCCTTCACCCTCTCAGCCGTTGCTCGCAGACGCTTCTCCAGCTTGGGCAACTCACAGCGCAAATCTGCATTATCCCGCACCAGCTACAGAGAAAAAGAGAGGTTACAATGAGTCACAGTAGATTTCTGTTGGATTGTTAGAAGGATGAAAGGGAGAGACTAATTAGCAGATAACAAATAACGTTTGTATTATTTTAGATACGAAATATACTGGTTAAAATAGGCAAAATAAGCAATAAATTTTGTAATATACATGAAAAGTACTTCATGCATGATTATGCTCTTATGTGTGCGTCACATGCATATTTTACCTGTTTGTGAACCTTGGTGAGCTGCTCCAGATTGTTCTCCAGAAAAGAGATCTTCTGTTTCTGTGCAGCGCTGCCACCAGTATCATCTGAGTCCATCTCAGCACTCTGTATACACACACACACACACACACACTCTATTACCCCATAAATCTAGACACTTCTGATAACAAAAAAAACGTAATACTTCTGAATGAGCGAGTTAATTATTTCTTCTATTCAGCTGTGTATTAATAACATGAAGCAAGAAGAGAAGCAAACCTGATAGTAGCTAAAAATAAATGAAACTGTTAAAGACATTAATACCTTTTTCACCCTTGTCGCAAGATCTTGAACAAAGAGTTTTCGAAGGTTATGAAGAGTCTGTAGTTCTTTGGCCTAACAAACAAATGAAACATTTTAGTGAGAGTTTCAAGCTGACAACTTTCACTTGAATTTTTGTTTTTACTTTTTATTTTGAAAAGAACTACACCAGTTTTGTCACATCATCCTCATCAAGACACAAAAAAAAAAAACAAAAACAAACAAACTCACCACTGTCTCCTCCAAACCCTTCAGATCCTGTCTGGCCTGCTCCCTACGGTCCTGCATCACCCTGTTACACAGCACACATACGAAACACTTAAGATAAGCGAGTAATAAATCTGCAATACACACTTTTTGTATTTTTGACAGTATGCTGCTTTTCATGAAGCTAATACACAACACAAGCCTGAAACTTCCATTATAATCAAATGAAGCCATATAACACCAGTTAAATGATAACAGCGTTTGTGATCATACGTGAGTTCGTGCAGTTTGCGACTCTTCTCCTGATCAGCAGATTTCAGTTTCTCATGTTCCACCCTCAAACGTTCCTGCTCCAACATGATCTTCTGATTCAGACTAGAGAGAGAGAGAGAGAGAGAGAGAGAGAGAGAGAGAGAGAGAGAGAGAGAGAGAGAGAGAGATTCATTGATGCAGGTTTTTTAGTTCAAGTTTTCAAAGTCTGACCCCTTTACTGCCCCCTAGAGACCAAGTGCCAAGTGATGTGTTTTCTCTTGTGTGTCTGAGAGCACAAGAAAGGAAAATAGAGAATGGACAAAAGAAGGAGAAATAAAGAAACAAAGAAAGGTAGAACAAGAGACAGAAAGACAGTGAAAGAGAGTGCAAGAGAGAAAAAAGGTGCGAGAGAGACAGCGAGAGCACGAGACTGAGGATGAAACAAAGGGAGATATAAAATCAAAACAGAATGAAGGACAGCGCATGAGTAAAGAGAGCAGAAAGAGAAAAATGAAAGCATACAAAAGAGCGTGAAGAGCAAGGAGGAAAAAAAGCGAGAGAGAAAGGAAAGAAAGAAAAAAAAAGGAAGAGAAACACATACTCCTGCAGTTCTGTGATTAGTTTCTCTTTGCTGTCCAGTTCATCTCTCAGGCTGCTGATCTGTTTCTGGTGGGCTTCTCTGTGACTCTGAATCTGTTTCTCTACCGCCTCCTACAAAACACACAAACACAATCACACACACACACCCACACACACACCCACACACACCCCACACACACCCACACACACACACACACACACACAATCACAAGGAAGCCAGGGAATACCCCAAAACTAAAGACGTGAAGAAATACTAATTTTCATACTTCATGAAAAACCTCACTATTGCCTGTGCGCTTAAGTGTTTCTTCCAAGGGCTGTCAATTGAGATCATAAGTCAGAATTTCCTCCTTATTTGTTTCATTGAATATGTTTAATTTTGAAATGCATTATTTTTCTGGCTGCAGAGAACATTAGCAGGATAAAGGACAGCAGTAAACCGCATATCAATTAAATATCAAGCATTCCAAAAGCACGTCGATTCCAGGGGTCTCGATGCCTGATGCCCAGGGCAGGTAAAATGTGATGTCGGGACAGCAACACGAAAAAAACAGAACTTCCCAAACTCTATTCACTTGAATATCGAAAATAAGCTGCTAGCGCATCTAGACTGCCGGACATGTGCATACAACGAATGAACAGTGAAGCTGATTCCACACTGACCAACTTAGTAACAACAGCATATCACATGGTTAAAAGAGGTAGACCTTAATAAATAAATAAATAAATAAACAAACAAACAAACAAACAAACAAACAAACAACAAAGTCTGCAACTGGTGGGAGTGGCAGCAGTATCTGTGCAGCAGGAACGTACTGTGTCCCGCAGCAGATGGCTTTAACATTCAAATGTACTAGTAGTTATCATATTCGCCTCAGACGCGAAAGGTCCCCGGTTCGAAACCGGGCAGAAACATGCTGCGCCCCCCCAAATTTGATCAATACTCAAATTTCAGATTTTATTTTGACAGAACTGTTCCTTACCTTCACCTCATTGGTGCTGTGTATCTCATTCTCCTTTTCCAGAGCATGAACTTTCTCTAAACACACACACACACACACACACACACAAATTAAAATCATGGTTCTGAAGGTGGTGTTGTGCTACCAAACATCACTCAGTTTACTTATATTCATTCAGTCAAATGCTATAATCTTTTGTTATTTGATCTACTGTCAGTAGGTCATAGGTCACTAATTTCCTATAACCTGCTGTCAGTAAACCAAAATCTTATGTAGAGCAACAAAAGACATCACCATACTTGTCTGAATGAATGTGACTAAACTCAGTCAGTAGGCATCTATTTGTGATTTCTATGTAGCTATAATGTCAGCTCTTCAATTGTATGTGTACATCTGTGTATTTGTGTTTGTTGTACCCTGAGCACTGATTTTGACCAGCTCTTCATTGAGTAAGTCCACATTCTCCTCCAGCTGCCTCTTCTTCTGCTCCACGTTCTGCAGATACTCCGTCAGAGACTTTATTTTTGCCTCATGCTAAAGGCACAGCACGAGAGAGGGAAAAGACGAAAGACACAGCAAGTGAGTTGGGCTCCTGCTTTTCTTTTTAATTCCCTCTGGGCAGTGCTATATTCCAATGACGCAAGGATACATTTCTTTTCCTCAGTTACAGCTGATACGAAGTGTAAAATCTTACATACTTTCCAATCAGCAGAGACATAGTTTCCAGTCACTTCTCTTGCACAGACATTACCAGTTTAAGAACTTTTTCTTATACTAACTGTCTTAACATATGAATGCAATACCTGAATCATTGGGTGAATTCAGCAACAGAGGACCCTCATAAGAGCTACATATTTTTGATTTGTCACAAGCCTTTCAAATGTAAATGTATTAAAACTGTATTGAGTAATTTTATTTGGATAAACCAGATTGTTGAACAGAGTCTGGCACTGTTTCACTAATTTACTATGACCTACTGACAGTATACCAAAATCTTACGTACAACAACAAAATAATTCATCACATTTAACTGAATGAACAACAACCATTAACTGAAACAGCTTAATCTTTTAAGAATAAGAGCTGTGGACTTTGGCACATTCCAACCCCCTGGCAAAGAACTTCAGCTCCCTGACTGTACTGCTCTGTAGAGTCTACCATACACTAGTCATTCTGTACTCGCTCTTTTCATTATGCCCTCTCTCCACTGATCCATCTCCAAGTGTCAACTCTTCTTCATTCATGCTGTCTTGTCTCTCTGTGTCCTCTGTGCCTTTTCCTGTCCATTCTGGTTTACAGACAACAGAGCCGAAGTTCATAGAGGCTACCCAGGGTTTCCACTATATGGGGGCTGGTGGGGGGCAGTCTGGCCTGTCACCACTGCTGAAAAATATCCTAGAAGAAACACTTCAAACCTCTGCTGCCCTGCACACCGAGGCACTTAACACAACTTCAGCTCCATGTCATGTTGCAACGTTACATATCCATGACTTCAAAAATGCATATGGTGTGTCATGAACGTAGGACTATACACACTGAAGAAAATAATGTTGTTCTTTGGATATGAGTGTTTAAATGTCACCTAGCTAGGGCAACACAACAAATTAAAAGTCACAGAAAGTTAACTTGTATGTCCTCATTCCAACATATGCTCAAAGTGGTAACACAATGTAGATCTCACGCAACGTTAACACCAATGACTGGAATTTTACCCATTTGTCTTTTTTACCCAGCTGATTTGTCGACCCACTAAGCATGTGGTTGGTGGAACCAGACTGGTTTCAGATTATAAACACACCCATAGTGATGATGCCAGGCCAGTAAAGACAAATGCTGAACGACTAGGACCCTGATAGTTACATTTGATTGGCTCCAGTAACTGAAAGAACAATACAGCATGAAGCTTATTCGCCCCACTTGCTGAATTCACCCTGCCGTTCTACTACTACCAAAACTGGTTTCACTGTGTTCTCAGTGTAGTATCCAAGAACTGATTAGGTTGAAGGAGTGGGAGGATGAAGACCAAGACAGTATGTTACCTGGGAGATCCGTAGCTGGCAGGCGGCAAGCTCCTTCTCATTTTCATCCATTTTCTTGTTGCTCTCTGACTGGCTGCTCTCAAGTTGCTTACAGCGCTTTACCATGGTCTTCACCTCTGACTTCAGCTTGCTGATGTAGAGCCTGGCCACAGTGAACTCCTCATCAATCATCCCACTGCCCTCATGCTGCTGTAAAACAGTGAAATAGACAGAATGAGCGTAAGGGTTTATGTGTTATACACACGGCTTTTGAATTCACAGTAATGCAGAAGAGTAGCATTACATTAGAAACTTTAATGCCCTAAATGTTAAATTATAGTACGCTGACAGAATTTTACGGGGGCGGGGGTGGGGGGTTGACTCTAATCTCTCTTTTTTGTCTTTTACAGACAGTAAAAGCCTAGCTCCTTGAACAAAAAAGCCGTTTTTTTTTTTACCACCTTGGGTCAGCGCAAATGCTCTGATACAATTTACAAATTTAAAAACATTCAAATCTCTTGCCTATTGCATAATGCATATCCTGTCAAACGTACTGCTAGGTCTCTCATGTTAAGTGATGATCTCAACTCTTGGCTCAAAGGTTTTTTTAGACAGAAGGAGCTCATTCAGTCATGTTCACCTTGACGTCATTGCTGCCCACAGCAATGCCAATCTCAGCCAGGTCCTTAAGCAGAGATGACATCATCTCAGTAACCCTCTTTTTCTGGTGATTAGTCATCTCCTTTAGCTTCTGCAGCTCTGAGTCTATGGACATCAGGATGGTCTGAAAGAGACAAAGAAAGCGTAATTTCTACATGGTTACATTTTCTGCAGTTTATAAAGTCTGTTTTAAAGCCACCTCTACAAAACACCTGCAAACATTACAGACTTTAACCCAAACAGCTCACTTGTTTCACTCATAACCCCCTACTATCACACCTCTTCAGGTTAGTCTGAAGCAGACTAAATAAAATAATGATGTATTTCAAATTCAAATAACGAAAGTTGGAAACTTTCACATTACTCCCCTTTACTTAATCGTTAAGCTGTAAAGTACAGCACCAACTAAGTAAAGCCAAATAGTGCACCTCATCAAATTAATATTTTTTGAGCTTCAAACATACTATACAATCGCAGTATTTCCTCTACCATTACACAGACAGAATTACATGCCACCTGGCTTGGATGACATACAGACATTAGGATGTAACTGACAGGCTAAGGCTTTCTTCCAAGCGCTCACTTTTAGGTGGTATGTGCCTATTTCTTGGCCAAAATTAAATTCTCAAATCTATTTTCAAATATAAACATGCATTATTTTCAGATCCCAACTACAATGTGGATCCCAAGGAGAGCTGGCTTGTGGGAGAGGAGCTGCAACTAACTCTAGTCTTCTAGTGATTTATCTTTATTCATGAAGAAAACCAGCAAGAGCTCCCTCTACTGAATGTCTATACATAAGTGACTAACTTTAAAGCATTTATTACAACCTAAAATGCAAAAGCAGATCTGTTTGGGAATTTTACACACTTCACAGCCCAATTAACTATTATTAACACTATTCTTATACATTTCTTTAGTATATAGGCAAATTATTGTTTGTCACAGTATCGCACAGAAATTATTTGGAAATATATTAAATGAAACTGATAATAATGCTGTGCAAAGATACTACCCTGGCCTTGCATGTGTCTGATGACACCATATACACACAAAACTGGTAGCTTCGAAAGGTCTACCACCTGGCCTAGAAAATTGAAAGAAAACATTGTTTTTGTATTAAGACTGGTCCTCATCCTCAACCCAACATCAACCTTGTAGGACGAAAATGCCATTTTTTGTATTTCTTTTAAATCGACTGTAGTGCCTGAAAATGAGTGGCAGAAGTCAGGTTTTCTCACGCATGTACACAAGCACTCTTACGGATTTCTGGTTAAGCTCCTCGCTGAGGGTTTCAAACTCCTTGGTCTTGTCTTCCACCTCCTGGCTCTTCTGATCATAATTGACAGCAAGCTCCTCCAGCGCCTGCAGAACTTCCTTCACCTCCTCCTTAGAAGCCTCATTCTCCAGCTGCAGACGTGTCAGCTCTGCCTGCAGATTATCATGGTCCCGCCGTGACGAGGCTAACAGCTGCAACACATTAAAGAAAAATGAATAAATTAATGATTGGTCAATCTTATTCACAAGTGCCGATGTGGCTGCACGTTTTCAATCCACTAAGCAGAAGCACACCTGAATCCACTGGTTTCATGAGTTAGTCTCAGTCTTCAAGCAACAGATCAGCTGCATAAGGCGTAATCAAGCTTGGCTGGAATAAAAACCTGGGGCCACACCAGGTGACCCCTGCTACTGACATTTACTTTTGTGAAAACTCCTTGGAGCACTGAGTAGATAAAGACCACAGATCATGACATTGCACACAAGCACAGCACACATACAAAGACTAACCTCCTCCTGATCCAGCATTTGTTGTTTGAGTTTCTCTACCAGTTGAGACTGCTGATTAATCTCATCATCCTGGAGAGAGAAAAATAAACAGAGCAGGATTAATGGTGTACAGAGGAAAAACCGAGGTGCGGTCAGTCTAGATGTAGATTGTTTGCGCACCTTGTCATCCAGCTGTTTGTAGAGTTTAGCGAGCTCTGCCTCACACTTCTCTCTCTCAGCATCAGTGAGGCGGACCCCAGGAACTGCGGGCACTCCCGGTGTAGAGGCTGGTTTATCATTATTCACAACATTATCCAGAACCAGAGCATCTGTGTTAGCCTTCTCCTTATCATACTGTTCTTCCACAGGAACTGTCTCACCTGTATGACACACACAGACAGACAATAACACACAGGCAAGGGTGAGCAAAATCTCAAACCCAAGCCCTCTTGAAAACTCTATAGCCAGGGCTGAATAATGCATTAAAACAGCAATTTTTCATCCCACTGTTGTGCCAAATAGTTCAAAGGGCCATACTGTGCTGTTCTGAGCTGGTTTGAACTCATAAGACAGGTTACAGTTTCTGTTTCCATTTGCTGCACTGCTAGCTGGAACCGAGCCTGTACTGTGGTAGGTGGCACCTTTAGTCTGCTAACTAGGCTAGCATTAGCTTAGCCAAGCAAGCTACAACCAAAAACAGAGCAGAACAGTTTTGTGACTGTCACCCTTCACGTGACCACTTTCTCAGTCATGAGTTTGAAAATCATCCACACTTGTATAAACCAAGTGCCAGTTCGAACCCGTACTGTGGTGTGTGGCACTGTTTAGATCTGCCGCCCACTAGCCAAGGTAGAAAGCTGCTAACTAGAGAGGAGCCAACTAGCATTAGCCTAGCTAGGAAGCTACAGATCCAAACACCATGGAACAGGTTTTGTCACTCCAACACCAGCGACTCGACTTTCCACAGTTTTGAGTCATGATCATCTACACTTACACCAATGTAGCTTCTGTTACCCAGAATGAAACCTGTGAGTAGAACTGTTACCATGCAAAGCTAAAACTAACCAGCTCCTCTCTCCTAGTCTGAAGCGACATTTAACATTTAGCAATAGTTTTTAGATAAATAGTAGGACATTTACTGACTGGTGAATTCGAAATCATGCACTGCTTTCATTTATCTGGTGACTGTATAAGCAAACTGAACTTATCCAGGGGTGTAATGATGCACATATTTTCAGGTTCAACATGATTTTCGATTTTGAGATCAAAATTCAAAGAAATAGATTTCCATGTTAAAAAATGTCTTTACTATTACAGCATTATTAATTTATACTCTAACCTATTTGTATTTTACTTCTCACGCATAACTCATTGGAAGTAGATAAGAAATTCTATCAAAAGTATTGAATGTATTTAATTTGAGGAGAAGTTAGTTTTGCTTCATCAGAAATCAGAAGCACACTATCAGTATGTATGGGATTCCTTTCATAACTATGAAATTACACTTATGTATGTGTAGGTATGTAATATGTGTAGAATACTAAGTTGTGTGTGCACATGTGCTAATGGTGGTTAATGAGCGCATTTCTCACCACTCCTCCAGCGGTTGAGTTCATTCTCCAGCCATGTGATGGTGTTCCGCAGGGCCTTGTTTCTCTCTTTCTCTCTTTCGTACTTCTTCTTCCACTGTTCTGCTGTCAGCTCCACGTTCACACACACAGTGTTCTTAATTGTCTTTGCTCTAGACACACACAGACAAACAAATGGATTTTTTTTCACTTTATTTTTCAACAAATGCACAAGATTGCATTAGGCTTTTGGAACAGAACACCAGTACCCACATTAGAAGTGCATACAAAGTCTATAAAGGAGCAAAAAGAAACTTGCTTGAGTGTAAAGTGTGTTTGTGTCTGTTTTCACCTCTGTCCAAACATGAGTGTTGATTTAGTCTCTGCCTCATTAAAGCTTGAAGGGGAACAGCAGATGACAATGGTGGTCCTGCAGTTCCCACCCAGAGAGTCCTGCAGGATCCTCGTCATCTTACTGTCTCGGTAGGGAACATATGTCTGAGAGAGAGAGAGAGAGAGAGAGAGAGAGAGAGAGAGAGAGAGAGAGAGAGAGAGAGAGAGAGAGAGAGAGAGAGAGAGAGAGAGAGAGAGAGAGAGAGAGAGAGAGAGAATTTGAGACCCCTCTTACACTCACCAAGTTCCCCAGAAGACAATAGATAAAACAAAACTATCAAAACCTAATGACATGTTTTGTTAACTATTCCTTGATGTGAAATTGGACAAAATGGAATGTTCCAGATATAAAAGTGAAATATATATTTTAGTGTGGATGTAGAGGTGTGCAACCGCAAGACTGACCGATCCTTCAGCCAAAGCTGAGATGACATTTCCCAGGGAGGACAGAGATTTGTTGATGTTTTTGGCTTCATCCAAAACGGCACCTTCAGCTCCTGTTTTACTGACCTGTCAAAAAGGACATAAGTTCACAAGTTTAGTGCTAGGTCTACAGTCCAACCACACTCAAAACCAGATAACTCACTACTGGAAAAAGCACAGTAATGTGCAAAACTCAATAGTGGAGAAAATACAGTATTGTGCAAAAGTCAGAGACTACCTTTCATTTACTCAATTTTCAGTTAAAATGGCCATCAAAGTACAAGTTATTAATTTTTCAGAAGATATTTCTGAGGAGATTAAATATACAATAATCCACTTGCATGAGGAAGAAAGTCAAAAGGACAAAACAAAACATTGTTAAGAGATAAAATGGGACACTCAACCATGCAAGAGCTGGTAGGTCACCAAAATTGTCACAATCACAAATTTTCAGCTTTGAGAAAAGAAAACATACAAAAAGAAGAAAATTTTGCAAATCATGAAGAAGTGGTGGGTGTTCCCAGAACAGTTGACTGGCCACCTCAGTACCCAGACCTTAACATTACTAAATACTTTTGGGATAACCCAAAATGCAACCAACTTCTACGAATGAACTCTGGAGGTGTGGAAAAGTAACCCTGCAGATTTCTTTCAAAAATGAAAAGCAGGTCTCCCAAAAAGAATGGAAGCTACAATAAAAGCTAAAGGGGGACACATTAAATACTGAACATGTGGTATCTTATTTAGTCACCAAAGCATCTGTGTAATTGTCTGATGATCCCCCCCCACCTTACGCTGAAAAAGAACAAGCACTTGAAAATGAAAAACAAAGGGTGGTCTCACACTCTTGCACAGTACTGTTCCTGCAGATATTTCAGACTCTGAGGATTGAAGCAAGCATCCTTGGTTTGCTTTCACTGTAATGGTGTAATGTTTAGTACACTGTGTAATTCATGAACACTGCTCCTCACAGGTACATACCTTCTCACTACCTGCCAGGTCCACCAGGTATAGTTTGCCGCTGAGCTTCTGCTCTGTCTGAGTGTTCTCCTGCTTTACATTTATCAAGAAGATGCTGTGACTCCTGGAGCTGTGCTCATTCATGTCTGTCACACACACACACACACACACACACACACACACACACACACACACCTTATGGATAACAATCATGAGCATAGTACAGATATTGTGGTGAGGGAGTTACTTTGGATATACTTGTGTTAGTGTGTTTGGCAGGAACTAAATAACACTTTGGACATGCCCTTTACAAACTTTCGACATCAACTTTTTAAATATGACTAAGTGTGTGCGTTCATACTTGTCACTGCTACATGTCTGTTGGATTTGCCCTCGTCAATGGTGTCCATCACCTCTTCTGGACTACACACAAATCGCTCAGTGCAGCCCTGAAATTCCATCAAAATAACACTCATCAGCACTTAAAAGGTTAAAAGCTTGAACAGCGGAACACAAAACATTACAAATTAATCACTTTTTGGATTTGGGTCCACATTTTGTAATAGCATCAATTGGCAAGTAAACTGACCAATACTTTATAGCCCATATCAAGGAAAACCATAGTTTCCTTACAAAAACAAAGAGTCTGATGTGTAAAAACTGCTATATTTTAAAGATGTACCACTCACTCAGCTATAAAAAAAATGTGTGATAATGAAAAACACATTTACAAATACATCTGTCTATTCAGTCTACAGCAGTTTAGCCCCCCCCCATTCACACTAAAGTTAGGAGTGCTTGAGCCAGGACAGCTTTTCTTTTTTCTTTTTTTTAACCAAGGTACAATAAAAGGAAGCCAATCAGAACAGAGGTAGCTTACATACATCTTAAACACAGCAACAAAAGCTGCCTGTTTACTTCTAAGGGGCAAAGACAGGCTGAAGAATAATCATGTAAAAAAAAAAAAATATGTCTGTTTTTGGTATATAAAACAAATGGTTGCAAGCATAAGAGAAAAAACTAATTACAAAAAGCAAAGTGCAAGAAAAATTTAGGATCAGGGCCCTTTAATAGTGTAACTAACCAGATTAAAGGAGTAAAAACAGAGATGATGTGCAATTGATGGTCATGAAAACTCTGAGACTTACCTTGACATAAGGAACTCTGTTTTTGTCTTCATGTACAGACAGGTTAGTCTTTGACACTGAGACAAACAACAACACAGGCAGAAAGAGGGAGAGAAAACAAAAGTCACTCGAATGCACTAAATTCTTTGTTTTATATGATTATATAGCATCAGTCACTTTTCAAGAATCACAACAGATAAAGAAAAGAATGGCATAAGACTCACCATCCAAAAGGTCCCGGATCTTATCCAAATAAATCTCAAAATACGAAACCTGCCGTCACAATAAATCACACATTACAACAAGGTACCAAAAAGAAAGAAAATAAAGAAACCCAGCAGGAAAGGATCACAAGTGGGTTTTTAATCAATGGCTATTATGCAAGTTTTGAAAATGTGCATAACCTGGATGGAAAAGCCAGAATTTCAAAAATGCCTAAATATTGCAAAAAAGTTTTTAACATTTGAATGAGGTAGGAATGTTGGTTTATCAGTATAGGAGAATTGCAAAAAAAACAGGGATTGAACTGTTAGAGCTACAGCCGTGTACAGATGAGAGAGTAGTGTCAAAACTGCTCTACTGAAAAATAATAAAGGTTCAGATCCCTTCACTATATACGCCATGCTCCAGTTGTGCTGTGTGAAAGTGGTTTCCACTTCATTTACAAGTGGCACATGATCCGGTGTATGTTGCTTTTGCTACCTTAAAGCTCCAACTTTAGAGAGAGAGAGAGAGAGAGAGAGAGAGAGAGAGAGAGAGAGAGAGAGAGAGAGAGAGAGAGAGAGAGAGAGAGACTGAAAACTTACTTTGATATGAAACTCCAGGTTTTCATCCATGGAGTAAATGTAGTTAAAAATGTCCTGCACTATCCTGGGAATGATTCCCATTGCGTCTGTGTCATGGAGATTACCCTGGGGGAAAAAAAATTCATCAAGCTCTTAATAAATAGTGGGCGAGCTGGTGTTAGTATTCTTCCCCTGGTAGAACGATCTCACACACACACACACACACACACACACACACACACACACACACACTTTCTAAGCCATTTATCCTCCTGGGTTGCAGGCCCGGTAGAACATTCAAATTTAATTTAAAAGAAAGAACATGCTTACTATATCAATACTTCACACTTTTCCTTTCAAACCTCCATCTCTTACCTCCATTGTGTGCGTTTTGCCTGAAGATGTTTGCCCGTAAGCAAAAATGGTTCCATTATAGCCATCCAACACATCTGTAAATATAGACAGATCATATTTACACTCTTGATCCTTTCAGTACAGGATAATTAATATACAAGTCCAGCGATACTTTTCAATAGACAAGGCTATACCACTACAGGCCACAGTTGGAGCATGTACCTTTGACAATCTTCTGAGCACAAGCATTATAAACTTGCTCTTGAGTCGTGCTGGACTGGAGAACTCTATCAAACACGTACGGTTTACCCTAGAAAAGAACACATACACATACATAGAATGAGTACCATCAACATAAACCACAGAAAGAGCAGCTCCCCTTCTAAACATCTCATTAGAATGAAAAAAGATTTTGTAAAGTCCATTTCTTTCCTCTACATGCCAATTTGACTTCGTCCTTTCTTTTTTTTGTCAATAAAATAGCAATGAAAAATAATCAGCAGCAAGAAAGTAGGTCTCAAACAAATGATCTATCAAACAGGGTCATAGTTATACAGATAGATCCCAAACAGAAAAGGTCTGATTTGCATACACACTTATACATGCATACTTATGCATACAAACTTAATGTCAACTTGTTTTGTTTATCTGTTTATGCTTTTAGTTACAGGCTCCTGCACATATGACTGACTGTCAAACAAATAACAATATTGGTCATTGTGATTAAGAGATTTTTCCCTTGGTTGGACTTGATTTGGGCAGGGCTGTCTTAGAAGATACTGACTTTCAGTGGTCCCTTGAACCAATCAGAAATAAGACAAGTGTTTCGTCAGCAGCTCCTTACCACAGCTTCACCCCACACAAACCAGTTGCGCATGGTCGACTACCAGTGAGCGAACTAGTCAGCTAGCATTTTAAAAACATCTCTTACTGTGGTGAAATTACTATAATAGCTTTAATAAAAAAAAGAGTCTCCGCAGCGCCTACGTTACAGAAGATTAGTTACATCTATCTTGGTTGAATATAAATGTACCTTTATAATCAGATCTAGGCTACACCACTGTCAGTCAGTGTGGTCTGAAATGTCCACACAGTCCTAAACTTCAGGCACAGAAGTTGAGCTTTTCTAGTTTGTCACTCCATTTGAAACACTGTTCAAGATTCCTTTTTTGCAAATCTGACTTGGTCATCAAATTACAAACCTATAAGATGACCGAGACAGTCTTAATCTCTTGTTGCTACTACTACTATTGCTATTATAACTGCATCTCTTTCAAAATAAACATGGCAGGACCATGTTGTTTAAAATACTGCTATTCCTACATCCTGAACCGCCGCCCCAGGCAAAAACATGGTTTCTATATTTGCATTAGATCCATCTTCAGTTGTGAGAGGAGTCATCATAGGCTTTGGTTTTCTCCTCCCACATACAGAGGACAAGGCTTTATTTTCACAGTGTAGCAGTTTCTACCACTGAACTTTCCTGTTCTGCCTTCGGGCAAGGCTGATTGGTTATATAAATACAGCCTGCAGGCTTTGATTGGTTGTTAGGAGGACACTCAGCTGACACAATGTGAAGGAACAAACAAACCCATGACCAATAAAAAGACTGGGTTTATTCACACGCTTACACCAAAGTAAACCAGCAGTGTATTCGCTGACGCCATGCAGCGCTGCATCGCTTATAAAGTTCTCTTCTTTCTAAAACCTTCTACCTTAAACTTCATTAAACCCCCTAAAACGCAAGATTCCTTATGTTGTATGTGAGCCCATGCTTCAACTCTTTATTCTCATAAGTACATATCTAGAACATTAGTTTCATAGTTACTATTTAGTAATATATAGTAATGAAAATCAATTAACACAATAAACATTTATAGTACCTGATAATAACTACGTAGTTTAAGGGGCTGGAGAGTATTATATACAGTTGACCTGCATCACTATCCTGAACAACTGTTAGAGGTGGATTTTAATACACTACTTAAAATCCAGTTTTCCATGTCTATCATAATATGTGCACATTATGCCAGTGTTGATGCTCTGTAAACATTAGGCTTCCTTGAAAACAAGCTTTTGTGCTGAAGGGGATTTTCCTTAATTGTGAGCTTCCCGTAGATATTCTCCTTAAATCTATACATCATGTCAAGAGCACTGGGGATGGGGGAATATAATGTTCAAATGGTATGCTGTGGTGTTTAAAAACAATGAGGATATTTCAACATTGTGACATGTCAAATTTGCATTCCCCATCTGAACAGCCAAATAAACACACCCTACCCCCTTATATTATAGAGATGCTCATTGGTGGTGTGAAACTCACTGATAGGTGGCCCTCAAAGAAAGAGGGCAAAAATCAGACCGTGGAAAAACCTTAGAAAAACTAAGCATGACAGCGGCTCAGCGACAGCCAAGAGCCACAAACACCCCAGGACCCACTTGGTTTTGGCTTTCACTCTAACACTAGTCACTTCACTTTGTGCTCTCAGATATCCTCTAAACAGGAGTCATTTTAGCATCAGTTAGCTGGAACCAAGTCTGTGCTATAGTGTGCGGCACATCTGGCCTGCTAACAAAGCTATTGTTAGCTTAGCCAAAACACTACGGTCCCAAACACCACAGAACAGGTCTGAATTCAACTTTGTCACTCAAACACCAGTAACTTGATTTTTGCTGGTGATTTATCATCTGCACTTGTTTCAGCAGAGCACCAGTTAGTCTGAATCAAATCTGTTCTGTGGTGTGTGGCACTGTTTGTGTCTGAAGCCTGCTCACTAAGCTAACATTAACAGTATGTGTCCACTGCATCTGGTGCAGAATTGTCCCTCTGTTTCCTTCAGCAGCACCTCACTGCTTGAGGGGTGTGTCTGTCTAGAACGCAGTATGCAAATGAAGCTGTCAATCAGCCATAGACTTTAAATTACTTTCGAATAAATTGTCTTCTCAACTAAGCTACCTGTGTGAAGTTACACAGGCTGTCAATCAACAAAACAGATGCTACTAGCCTGCTATAACTCCAATTCAGTACTGTCTATTGACCCAACATGAACACTGACAGTGTTAGAGGCTTTCTGCTATTAGATATGTATTTTACTTTTGTATTTGTACTCATTTAGTTTCTAATCGTACAGAATGGGGGACTCAGACACAGCAGTTATTAACTTTACTTCCATGTTGTCCAGGCAGAACTATGTAGGCACAGACTCACTATGCTCAGACAATGACTGACTGGTCAGCGCTACACGCCCGACGTGCAATTTGCATGAAGTCACAAGCCATGTTTGCATTTCCACAACTATTCACTATCCACACTCACTATTCCACAATCCCTGGCACATTTTTTGATACACTCCGATGAAAATGAGTGGGGCGAAATTTCCGATAACAAAATTGTGGGAATTGGACACATACTGTAAGTTATCCTATCAGGCTACAAATCCAAATGTGATGGGACAGGCTTGACTTTGCCTTCCTGTCCCTTCAGCGCCAACTGCTTGACTTCACTCCCTCAGATTTGAATCATTATCATTAAACTTGTGCCAGTGCTTTATTTACGCAAAATCAAACATGTTTGTGAGCAGAGCGGTTATCAAGATAGCTAAGCTAATGCTAACCAGCTCTTCTGCCGTAGTTAGCAGCTGAGATTTATTTAATGATGCTTTAAAAATCACGCACTGCGTTCATTTGGTGACCATGTAAGCAAATTAAAACTCTGATTATTCTTCAATTTTGAAATAATGAAGGAGGTGGCACAAACCTTCATGCTTTTACATCACTTACGGTGATTTCATGCTATTTTTGTTCATTTTCCTTGTCTATAACTTGTCTAAATGAAGCACATTTAAGATAAATGGCAAAAATCTGCCTCTGCACCACTGCTGCGTTATTAATGTGACCTTTTACGTTTGCCACATTTTTCCATTGTGCCAGGCCCAGTTCCATAACAAAATGAATGAGGGTCCATCAGAAATAAAGGGAGGTACACACTAAAAAAAAAGCACTGTTACTCAAAAGTATACTGAATTGTGCAGCTTACATTTGTTCATGATTATATGGCCAAAAATTTATAAAAGATTTAGAACATTACCACAAGTAAAGGCACTGTTCTTAAGTAAGACGGTCATTTATTTTCTTTTTTCCCCAAATCTCAACTGAGGGTGCCATGCATGCTTTTGGGTCCCAGTAGAACTGGGCTTGTGCCACACAATGATCTTTTGCTGCTTTCTGTCAACAAAATGCCACTAGAAGCATGTACAAAATAATCCAGTTCGTCACTCATAACTGGCTGTTTACTGGTAAAGCAACAGGGATCCTTACGTCAAAAGTATCATTGCTCAGAGTACAGAGCTGATCAGCCTAATGAGCTGTCAACATGGATAAAAAAAAATGTAAACAGGACACGAAACTAAACAGTTAAGAAATGTATTAATGTCTTCATACTTAAGGTAAGATCTGAATGGATTACAGTTAAATACATAACAATTAAGTATTGCCATTATTTTAGTATTTTTGTATTCCACAATCTCACCAAGTATGCAATAATGTTGGCCTATGCATGTTTCATTCTTTTATCATGGTGTGCTATTGCACTTGTTGATTGAAAGAACAGTATAAACAGTACTGAGTAAAAATGCGCTAAAAGCGTTTTTGCAAGTTTGTCATATTTCGCTTCATAAAATATTTGGTGGGTCTCAGGACAAACAGTACTTCTACATGTGGGTCCAGCATGAAAAAAACTGGGGACCCCTTGTAAATGTCACATACAGGCATTAGCTAAAAGCCATTTTTTCCTTAAAAATCTACTTGGCATCCAAATTACAGGTATGACTAACTGGCAAGTTTCATGACTAATGCTGATGTTCAAGGAATTGCCGAAATTTTCAGTAGACATTCATCAGCACAAAGTAGTCACAAAGCTGCATGCATATGAACAGAAGGGGTCATTAAGTAAGTATATCAGTAAATCAGTAACATTTATTTATGTAACATTTAAAACCAAAGCACTTTACAATTAATGGACAAAAACTGTCATCATTAAAAGGTAGACTGGCTGTATCTCTGAATGGTCATGCAGCATTTACCACATGCAGCAGAACTGACTACGTATATGAATGACTCTAAATGTTTAAGGATTTTTAACAGTTTTGGCCCTTATTTGGACAGCTGAACCTGCTGTCATCCCAGTTCTCAAAAATGCTATTCACAGGAAAAAAAGTCCCTAATGATCCTGCATGTAATAAACGCCTTGACTGACATTCTGGTGGCAGGCCTCTTTTACGGTGGACCTTTGGTTTGTTTGTATATTCCGGAAGTCACGTATGTGCATTTGGCGGCTCATCGTTAGATTGTATATACCAGATGGTTAAACAGTAAACGTTCGGTTGCTTGTTGAAATCATTTTGTTGTATCATCTAGAATGGCAATTACGCATCGTTTTGTAAAAGCATTGTAAACGTGACTACAGTCAGCTGTTGTAGTGCAGTTTAAAAGTGGAAAAATTGTACTTCACAGTTTCTGACAGCACTCAAACGCAGTATAACATCATCTCCTTCCAGTCTTATGTAGCCTTTAAACAAGACTACTTACTACTAAACATTATCTCAGGAAACTGTGGTCAAGAATTCATAAAGAAAGTGTTATTTACATCTTCATAACAAAATCAGGAGTGAAAAATATATAAAAGAGCAAAATGTGTCCTATTTAACTGGATTTAGTGCAACACAGTATGGAAAATACTGAACAAAAATTGTGTTTTAAATATGGCACTACTGGTTCTTTTTTTCTTCTGTTCCAACTGATCAAATGTCTGAAAAAATAAATACTGTGACATGTCTTGTATCATGAAACTTGCAAATCAGAGTTGCCACGCATTTGAATTTGTTTTTTTTGTTTGTTTTTTTTTTAAACATTTAGCCAAAATAATAAAATGAAACTACCTACAACTACGACAATCCGTTGCTGTGCTTAGGACTAGTACTGTCAATTAGCTGCCACACCACACACTATCGCATCACACACCACCAAGGAAAACTTAAATTATATATTGAAATATATACTTTGGTATGTATAAACGTAGATGCCTTTGTACTTTCACTCGTGTATTTTTGACCCCATACTTCCACTTTTAATCGAGTAAGACTTCGATAAAATCTCATACCAACTCTTTCAGTTAAGTTTAATTTCTCTGTACTGGCAAAAATAACTCGATATCGAACCGAACACGTAGTAAATGTTTTAATGTTTGCAATGTGCTGGTTTAAGGGTGGACATATGACTTGTGCTTGTTTCTCGTGTTGAATCACTCTCTAAATTCACAAAGAAATGTTACGTTCATCTTAGTGAGTTCTATATTTGAGAGACATTGCTGCATAATGTTGCTATTAAGTAAAGGAAAAATGTTAATTAGAAAAAAGAAAAACCCTGTCGAAATCAGATCCTGGATCCTCGCTGGACTGATGAGCTTAGCGATAAACAGGAGGAGAGAAGGTGGGCCGGGGCCAGTCAGCTACAAGGAAAATCTGCTGTTTAGGCAAACGCTTGTTGACTCAAAGTGGAGCTGATATATCTGTTTACTGACATTTTGAAATCTTTCCCATATATACAGATGGTTAACTGTACATTACTTGTGTTTTATTCCAGTGTCTCCAATTTGCCATAGTCGGCCGATTTGACTGTCAGACCCTGAAACAACACAGACACTGCTTAGTTAGCCGGACTAGCTAGCTAGCTAGGTTAACTATGTCGGATAGTTCTGCTAGCTACGAGTACATTTAAAATAGCAAAGCTGGACTTTTGGTTGTCCCTGCTCTGTATCCCAATAGTTATTTTCAGACACACAGCTGTCAAGAACGAGTTGTCGCCTTTATACACTTTTGCCCAATGTATGTTGACCACCAGCTAAGTTAGTCGAACAGTTAGCGAGCTAACCTAGCGCGCTGTGGGTGGACTGCTAACGTTAGCGCGACGCTGCCCGTCATTTTAGCCACATCAGAAGCTGAAGCTCCTGAGCCAAGGCCCGCATTTACACTCGAGTAAACAAGACAGAAATGCGTTCAGCTCACCCCAATGACCACCGTGTCCTCCCCCTGGAACTTAGGGATGTACTTGTCCCCTCTTTCCACCTCTGAGCTGTTCAGTGGCCTGAAACGGCACATTACTTTGATGGTGCACTCCGCCGGGTCCGCCATCTTCCACGATTACGGAACGGAAAAGAAAAATCACACAGAGAGAACCGAGCCGACGGCGAACCACCACCCTGAGGGAAACCTGCCCGCCCCAAACTCGGCGACAACGGCTGAGTCCTCGAAGGGGTGTCGGCAGAGTTAGACGCTTAGGCCGGCGGAAGACGGTCACTTCCCCCAAAACATGGCAGCCATGGTGCCGGCTCGGTCTGCCCCGTCAGTGGGGCAGTTATTAAACAGGCGCTGACGTCACCGCCTCAACCACCGCAGGCAGGGCAGCAGAACCAGAGTTCCTTATACTCTGTAAATATGAACCTCTCCTGCCTTTATACCTCTCTTTCTTCATACACATGCTAATTAGGGTTCAAGCATGCAATGCATTGTATTGTAATTGTCAAGATTTTTCTTCCTATTCTTTTTCTTCCCTGAAACGCACAGCCCAAACCGTAAGTCCTAGAAACTTGAAACTTGGTCAATAGGTAGTAGTCCCTCCCGCTACTCAGGCGCAAGAAATCAGCCCAGTCGGCCACAAGGGGGCGCTATAGCGCAGGTCAACGCGTTTGGGTCTATAACTCCTGAACCAGATTTTTGCCAGACAAGACATATTTTTTTCATAGTTCCTTGGGTCCAACCAAACAACTTTGCCATTTGGACCATTTAGCTCCGCCCACACAGATTTTGAGCTAATTTGCATAATATGCGAAACCTACTTTTGCGAACTAGTCCTACAATTTTTGCCCAATCCCCATGTAATTGGTGTCAAAAAATTCAGAGGAGAATATTCTGACTTTTCTAAAATATTTTGACTTTTCTAAACAACATGGCTGCCATATGCAAATGAACCCTTCTGGATAAATTCAAAATAATTCAGAATTAATTTAAAATTCTGTAACTCAAGAATTCTTCAGCCAAACAAATTTAAACTTCACAGACGTAATCAGCAGAAGATTCTGAGGTAGCCATTCGATTTTTATGCGCATATGTCATTAGGGGGCGGAGTTAATGCTACATGGCTGTTTCTCAGCATCCGTACATCCGATCAGGCTGAAACTTTGCAGCTACCACCTGTTGGCCAGACTATAAGAGAATCCATAAGGACAATTTGATTCATTGAAGTATATGGTCGCCATCGCCATCGGCCATACAGCCACTTTCTAACAACCAATCAAGTTTCAAAAGATTTGGCCGCTGGGGGGCGCTATTCATAAAAATTAACCTATTATTACATATTACTACTTTATTACAACTTTGCTTGAAAATACTTATGTATCATATGTAGTACGTTATTCCAAACAATTTTGCAAATGCATGTTTATTACAAAACTGCATAGTTTTTTTGTAATCAGTAACTGTTTAAAAAGCCTACTTTTCGAACTAGTCTCTGGATTTTGATCCAATCTTTTCGAACTTTGTCTAGAAAATTCTTTGGCATGGGTAGGTAAATAATTATCAAAAACATGTTGACTTTTCTACTCAGTGTTCTGTGGAACAATCAATTAATTACTGTGGCCATGGCTTTGCTAACTTGATTTGCTATTACTCAGCAGTCACTGGTCAGATCATGTCCAAACTTTAAGATAATTTACATATTTAGATTTTAATGGTGTCTGCCACTTTTGGTCCAGATTGACCTTTAGGGGGCGCTTTAGCACTCAAAAACACGTAAGAATCAATTAAAATGCCATTACAATGTTAATACAAGGTCGACATATAAACAATTGGTGCCATGTGACTCAGTTCACTGACATGAACAACTTCCTAATTACATGTTATGTCAAAAATTGCACTGTTTGTCTTTTATTTTGGCTTATTCATTCAAAGATTTCACTATATAAAGACTTATTGTGCAAAGGTCAAAAGGTCAATCTGACCAAAACTTGGTAAACATCTTTGGATATGGTCCCTGATCAAGAATCATACCATACTGTGGCCTTTTCACTAATTCTGACCCACTTTCACTGAGCTCATACTTTACTTTAGTCCTATGTTTCAACTTTTCATCTTTTTCAACTTTACTCATATTTTTGCCTGTAACTTTTGATGAGAGTGAGATAGAGACAAAATTCTTTTTTCTGCTGATTCCTTGGGATATGCATCTAGTCACTTTTAGCTCCACTCCCTTAGTTTTTGAGCTAATTTGCATAATGTGAAAAACTTATTCTTGCGAACTAGTCTCTGGATTTTTTACCAATTTTCATCAAATTAGTACCCTAAGATTCAGAAGACACTGATGGTAAATAATTATCAAAAACATTTTGACTGTTCCACTGAGTGTATTGAGGATCAATCAATTAATTACTGCAAACATGGTATTGCTAGCTTGATTTGCTATAACTCAACAGTCATTGGTCAGATCATCTCCAAACTTTAAGATAATTTACATATTTAGACTTTAATGGTGTCTGCTAATTTTGGTCCAGATTGACGTTTAGGGGGCGCTTTAGCACTCAAAAACACTTAAGAATCAATTAAAATGCCATTACAATGTTAATACAAGGTCGACATATAAACAATTGGTGCCATGTGACTCAGTTCACTGACATGAACAACTTCCTAATTACATGTTATGTCAAAAATTGCACTGCTTGTCTTTTATTTTGGCTTATTCATTCAAAGATTTCACTATATAAAGACTTATTGTACAAAGGTCAAAAGGTCATTCTGACCAAAACTTGGTGAACGTCTTTCGATATGGTCCCTGATCAATAATCATACCATACTGTGGCCTTTTCACTTATTCTGACCCACTTTCACTGAGCTCCTCTACACCTAAAGTCCTCTTGTGAGTGCATTGGGCCTCATTATGGCCTACATCAAATCAATAGGTTAAATATAGAACCAATCCACTGTGCAAGTGCTACTATGTGAGAAATGCTGCCATTAAGCATGTAGTTTTGACATCTATGTTGACAACTACTTGGATGTTCTACAAACCAGTGTAGATCAGTACATATGAATATAAACCTATAATGTGTTTAAAGACCTCTGCTCATTGTTTATGGCAACTGAAAGCCTTTTGATGAACTGACTTCCTTTCAGTTCTATTCACTCTGCCTATAAATAAGACCCACAGCTTGAGGCCTTTTTAGCCCTGATGGGCTAAACGAAAAGCTTGAGGCCTTTTTAGGCCTAATATAATAAAAGGCCTGAGGCCTTTTTAGGTCTAATGGGCTAAACGAAAAGCTTGAGGCCTTTTTAGGCCTAATATAATAAAAGGCCTGAGGCCTTTTTAGGTCTAATGGGCTAAACCTGCAGAAGGGCCCATGCTGCTTTTGCATGCTTGAACCCGCTTATTGCCGCTTGCAGCTATATTTATTATTGTTATGTTTCTCCTGCTTGTAAATATTTTGTCCTCTACATTAATACCTGAAGTATTATTGAATTATCTTTATTACTGTTGTCACGCCCTTTTCAAACTCACTTACTGTTTAGATTTCATCAAAACACAAGAGAACAGAGCATGAAAAACACAAATCTTTACATTAAATTTGTTTAGATACATTACTATACACTGTCCATGTCCAACTATGATTATATCCTAAATCTACTCTTTTTTATTATCCTTTACATGAACACCATAATTGCAGTTCCTAGGTTTGTTCTTATCCTTCCTATAGAAATGCAACAGAACCAGGGCAGGGAGAGACAGAGAGAAGTGTAGTTATCAATTTATTTATTAAGAACAAGAGTGAGATATCATTAAGAATGTGTTTAAGAATTATGAATATGTGAAGAGGTCTGGCTGAGTGTTCTTTCAAACACAAACACATCCTTTAGTACCAATAAAGTTCTTCTAATTAATTAAGAATCTTGGTCATTCATTCATTTAAACTGCACACTACAACAGATGGTTTTTAATCATCTTTATGGCTGCCAATCACTGCATCAGCTCCTAAACTGTTTCCAGAAGTTGTAATAAGAAAAGATTCCCACTGTGGGGAAATTCATAGTGCTACAGCAGCAAAGGGATAGCAAGGCACTCAAGAACAGAAGTATTAAGAAGAAAATTAACAAACAAGGTTATTAACCTTGTTCACTATTTAACAAAGTTACAGTTTGCAACTTATTGCCATCTAGACAATATATATAATACTAAAGATGACAAAAATCTATCCAAGCTATGTAAACATTATAAATAAGCATATTTTACATGTGTTGCACATGTAAATATTACATATGGAGTATTGTACATAAAGTATTGATTATATTAGACATTTTTATGGTAATAAAATAACAATATAAACATTATAAATAGAAAAGCAAAAACATCTTTACACTACAAGCATATTTTACGTGTATTGCACATGAAGTATTGATTATATTGCATATGGGTATGGTGGTGAATTCACAGTTTACCTGTTGTAGGTGTGTGAGGTCTTACTGGGGTTCTACTGGGAGTAGTGCTGGTTGTACAGTCTAACAGCAGCAGGAAGGAAGGACTTGTGCCCCACTCATATTGAACTTCCTATCCATATGGAAATCATGTATATTTCATTTGAGTACATTTTTTATTATCTCATCAATATAGTAATCATGCATCTAAACTATTTCTAATCCCAGTAAAAGGGATGCTTCAGCTACACCTGATGTAAACATGCCTGTTCACCCTTCACAACAGTGCTGCAGTAGTCTTAAGAGTGATATTTTCCAGTTTAAAGACCAAGAAACCCCCCTTCTGATGATGTATCTTGAAGGTGGGAGGCACCTTTGGAAACTGCAGACACTTTAGGGCAGATATGTGAGGGCAGGCTGTTTGATAATGTTTTTTGTTTTTCAGGATTAGCTGGAAGATGCTGATTGGTAGTGATAGGAGGCTGAAACAGGCTAACAGTCAGGATTTCTTTATCACAGTGGTAGGATTCTCAAAGGTTGCATAATGTATTTGCATAATGCATTCTGGATATTGAAGTGAGAGAAAACTGATGGACAAAAACACAGAAAAGATACAAATTTGTGAATTCTATCAAACCAATGAGGCTGAGGGATGCAATGCTGTGCTAGAGAAAACTGCATAAGAAGACGAATAACATGTTAAACACTAGTGTTAGGCCGGAAAGCCCCTTTAAGATGAATATGCATCCACATGAATCAATTTATTATTTTCAATTCATAGTACATGCTGAAATTGGATGGGGGAAAAATACCCAGTTTCTCTTTTTGTGAGAAACATCTGTACATGTAACTGTATGCACTTAGTGGATTTTCAGGAAGTTTACTATCAAATTCTGACCCACATTCACCTTTAACCAGTTTAAACTTTGGACAAATGTTATGTTCAATAAGGAAGCAGTGGTGGGAAGGAACTTGTTGTACTTGGCTTCTGTAAAGCTGTTTTTCTAGCTGTTTTTACCTTCTGCCACACTACACTT